ATTTCTTACATTTCATCATCGCAAACAACTAATCTTAACACAAACTTTTAAAAATAAACACACAAACAAACCAGGTTCTACTCTCGCCACTAAAACTATAATCTTTTTGTCCACTTTAAATTGACCGTCGTCCACTTACAAAGATAATATTTGATTTGTTCCCAATTTGTGGTCAGCGTCCAGAAATAACATGATGACCTTGATGTGATCATGCATAATAAATAGATTGAGTGGTCTAAATGTATGGTGGACACAGTGGTCAAGAGTGAAAGATGACCAGTGTGTAGCCAGTCTAAACACATTATGGTCAAGATTAAGAGATGACCAATCCAATAATCAACTGGTCAGTTGTTAACAGAAAATGACCCTTTGTATTATACTGATCAATACTTCTTGGAAATGGAAATACTGGATGCATTTAATGATGACCAAGAATCACATTGTGAATTTATTTTGCACATATAAAAAGGTTTGTCATTTTCAGGAAATGATTTAGGCCTTGAATATATGTTATGTCTACAGAAGTACTGTAAATGTATGGAAATTGCATAATTCTTTCAAGAATATCTCAAACTAAAGAATTTCTTTTCCTATTTCTATATAAGAAATCTAAGAAATGACAACTGAATTTAACCAGATAATTCTGGACACACATGGATTTGAAGGATGTGAACACCATATCTTAACTAAAACATCTCATTTCTGAGACCGTCCCTTTAAAAAAATATAGTAGATGGTACTAGATAGTACATAGTACCAGTAACATCAGGAAATTTCTGTACTAACATTAATAATTCAAAAAAAATTGTGTGTCTGAAAAATTTTGTGTTAAGAGTGAGATTGAGATTGAGATTGAGATTTAAAAATCCCAATAAAAGCACTGGCCTAGGTCACAAAATTTTATCTATATTAAGAACAATTTATGTTGAAAACTTTTAGTGGTTGTCTATGTAATAATATAAATTGAAAATAAAACAGGAGCTGTTTGTTTGGAACTGATTATAGAAAATGATTGGGGAGACTTAGCACTAAATTGAACATGAGAATAGAGTAGTAAGTTGTTAGCTAGTTGGAATTCAGGAGAGTTTAGTAGACTATAAAATCAATACTAGTAAACTACTGACACTGGTATAGTAGTTAATGGAGGAATAAAGTTCACTCATCAAGAACTGAATGAATTGATTGGTCTGATTCATTCCTCATATTTCATTTTTCATTCATTGATAGCAGCTCTATTTGTGGTGGAAACTTGACGAACTGTTTCAGTATCACTAGCTATGATTGCTGATGTCATGTTAAAGATGGATTCCATGATATTTTCTTATCATAAAATTGAATCAATTCTGATTGACCAAGAGGCAGACATAGTGGCATCTTCACAATGTCAAGCTATTATGAACTGCTTTCTTATACCTTGACTGCGATAGTCACTATTCTTGTATCACGGAATGATGTAATTTGATTGGAATGTATGCCAGCGAATACAGTCAATCAGAACCATTGACAGAAAGGTTATGATCATTAGACTTTGTCAAAACTTCTGATTGACATACAATCAAATCACTTCATTTACACACGTCCATGATAGCAGTACAAGAATGGTGACTATTGTAGTCAAGGTATAGGTACAAAGTTTTTAATAACTTGACACTGTGAAGACAACATATGTAGCAGATATTAGAGGATTTAAAGAAATAGTTTTTCATGTTTCCAAAATTAAAAGTTAAAGTTGGATTGCAACTTTACTTCAATATTTTGATCACAATAACTATAACTTAGCCAGTTTCATCTCATTCATAGTTTGAAGAACAAGGAAACACAAAATGATGTGAAAAACTGTTACAGCTCAAGCAAGACATTACAATGTTTTAAAACACTTAACACTTAATTTTTTAATGCAGTGTTTTCAATTTTGAAATCACCGGTTCAAATTGACAAGATCTTTTCTCACGCCTACATAAAATCAAAAACTAAAATTCACTCCTCATGACCAAAAATGATCAAGTTTGAAAGAATTTTGCATTTCTCAAACCACTTATATATTTCTGCACCAGCAGTCTAAAGGATGATACAGTGTGTTTATAATTAATTCTACTCATATCTTTATATCAGCACTTTAATATCAAGTGTCACTCAACCAAATAAGAGATAAATATTTTCAAGTATCACTTGAAACCTCAGAAAAACTGTATCCAAATAAGATAGGGAGTGAGAGATTTGGCAGCTAGATCATATTGAAACCTTCTGCATCACTTCTATGTCAGCTTAGTTTAGATTCATGTATACTAGCATCTCTAAACCGTATTTGTAATTAAGTGCAAAAGTCTTCAGAACAACTATAACTGCCCAAAAATTACATAATCCTTTCAAATTTACTACAAAATACAAAATTTCTATATAATTGTCTTCACTATATATGGCAGAGTATCAAGAAAAGACGAGTTGTCATTGTAACTTTGTAAGCTGATAATTCTGACAAACATGGAATGGAAGGCTCAATTTCCTTTTAACAGTATTAACGATTGGCTTAGCTTAAATGATTCCCATTTCTGTGACCATGGTCAGTGGCGGAGCCAAAGAGTAGGGAGAGGGGGCAACTGCCCCTCATCACTTCCCCAAAAGCAAGTTTTTCAGGCAAAAATCTCATAACTAAATCAGAAATTTGGGCAATCTCAGATATTTTGCCCTCTCTGGGACATAAACCTGGCTCCACCACTGACTATTGTACGATTGGTCAAAAATAATGGTGCACCTGTTCCTTTAAAATTGGCATTTGTTTGATCTCAAACATAAACTGAAAGAAGCACCTCTATTGTAATATTGTTGCCAAAATGATGCTTCTATCTTTGATGAGTTTTTTGCCTTTCCTGCTACCAACAGTATACATTAACATAAACAGCATATCAAGCAACTTGTTTTTAAGAAAAAAAATTCTCTTCTTTTCTACTTTGTAAACCAAACATCAGATATTCATCAACTTTAGTTCTGCAACTCTGCACTTTAAAATTAAAGAAGAGAAAAACTGGCTCAGTTCATCTTAGAAACTTGAGAATATTTTTTTAAACTTTTGGTGTGAATATTGTGTAAACTCAAGAGAATAGTTTGGGATCATGTCGCCTTAACCCAGTGTTAAAGTCAACATTTCAACTTTTTTTTTCCAGGCCATGATAGGACAAAAGGACAATATGGTGTCTATTAACATAGTTCAAATTTGAGGACAATACAATCATTACTGGTTTTACATTGACCTAGTTCTCAATCTATGTACTGACCCCTGTCCACTTTGACATATCTTTATCATAAATTATTACCATGATAAGCTTGACTTTCAAATTGGCCATTACTCGAATTTTCAAAATGTTCCTTGTAAATTTATATTAGAAATTACTTAAACCTGTTATCCTTTTAGGTTGGTGAAATTATAATTGTCAATTGGAGGTTCTGAGATAGAAAAAGCATTCAATAGCCTGGTTCATAAACCTAAACCTTGTGTGCTACAGCATATCAAAGATATTTATACAACTGGCAATTGAAAAAGCACCGGCTATTTGTAACTGTCCACTGTCCAGGCAGAATTTTCCTTATTGCACACAGCATTATGTCAAGAATACAAAACTTGATTTCTTTCAAATGAAAACTTGAAATAAGTCTAAAGGAAACAGGAAATGGGGTTCACCAAATGTCAATTTTAGGGGTCTTAAATGTTATTTTTCTTGCTGCCACTGGGGCTGCAAGTAGCTAAACAAAATCAAAACAAATGGAGCTGGCACTTTCATTAGCCTATAAAACTTTATAGCTTGATGATAGATGGGATAACTAAACACCCAGAACCTCTTGAGAATTGGGTCAAGAAAGTTTGTCTGGGGTCAGAGATGTCGAAAAATTTCATGGTGATGGAAATTGTAGCTAACACCACCTTGCTTTGATTACCAATGGCAGAATTATTCTAGTGTCTAGTCTCCAGTGTCTTGTAGTAGACATTTTGAAAATAGTTTCACTGTTAAATGATAGGGGTGGATATTTCAACCATTCTGTTTTGACACTTTTAGACCACATGTAGTGTTGACAGAGATACTTAAAGAAATTTGGTGTCCTTTTTAAGGAATTTATGTTAGTAATAGGAAATCGGGCTTTACAAGCATTGGCCCTAGTTGCTGCCAAGGCTTTGGTGAAGTCAACATAACACTAACTTAAAGGGCTGCTCTGGTATCAAGTTATTATGTGGCATATAGAGCAACTGCTAGACATATTTATCATTTTCAGGGTTGATTTGGGTGTTGAATATATGTAAATAGTCTTCAGAAGTACTAGAAATGTACCAAAATCGCATAATTCCTTTAAAAATACTTCACACTAGGAATTTCACATTATATTTCTATACTCTATATTCTTCATTATATCGCAGAGTGGTGATAACAAGTGAGTCTTATGTTTAACTTTCAAACGCGGATAATTCAGGACATACATGATTTGAAAGCTAAAATTTTGACGAACACTATTACTGATTAGTTTAGCTAGAAAATTTCTGTTTCTGAGACTAAGGTACAATTGGTCAAATGAATAGCGAACCTTTCACTTTAATACCATGCCACTCTTAAATCTATCTTCCTCTATTCAAATTCTGTCCTTAATTCGTATCTTAACTGATCTTTTTGACATACAATACATTTTACATTTCATTTCACTTGCACTGAAGTAACTTGGTTAAAAGTGAAAAGTGACACTGTTTTGTTCTAATCAGATTAACAAACCGTGAAAATATGTGTGCCTTTTATTTTTCCAAAAAAAGGAACATCGATAAATGTAATCCTCTTGAGCGTGACCTTAATCCAGATTAAGAATTGATCAGACTTAATCTCACTATTAATCTAATTAAAGATCAAACAATTGAGCTGTCAATGTTGTTGTAATATCAAGGCTATGTAAGACATTCACACCTATTATTATAATAGTAAAACTCAGACATATTGGAGACTTGAACACCTTACAAACATTATTTTTCAAGTATCTTGTAATACCGAATTCTTATAACACAATTTTCTACAGTCTATTTCTAGTTTCTACATAACAAAACATAACACATTCTCAAGCATTAATTTAGTGCCTGTGGTTTTAAGTTTGATATCTAGAACAGAATGATGCCTTAAATGAAGAATGAGGTTTGATCCAACATCTTGGTACACAAATTGGAGTGTGAGACACTGGTAATATTTGAGTATCCACAAAAAAAAAACACAGGAAAAATTAATCTGAGCTTCAATATTCATGCCATAATTTTTAAGCAAAAACCTGTTCAACATCATATTTTCTTTATGACTGTCAAAGACTTTAGAAGCAATTCTTCATACTTTTCAATATAACTTTAAAGCAGCTATACAAGGGCCTATATATTATTATAGTCTATCTGAATATTGAATTGTAAGTAAGACAATATGGATTGAATAATCCCCACATTCTATATTATTATCAGCTTCACAATCCAATATTATGTGATATGTATTATGTATTGTGATGTTCATTGTGACATAATGTTTATATTTGTCATACTCAGTAACACAATGTTCCATTATGATTCACTGTAAAATGATGTGTGATGATTTTTAAAGAGTTTTCTTACCTGTGTTGTGTATGGAGGGCCTGCTAAATCAATTTCATCTTCTTTAAGTTTATTTTTCAATATGTGTTTAAGTTGAACTTTGGGGTAAGTGAGCAAAGCGTTTTTGCCAATATCGTAAGCATCAAGGCGAATGGGTTGACCGTCTAACAAATCAGGCGGATCTGGAGGGGCACCTAATTCATTCAAAACGGAATCATCATAATATCCAAGTTGTGGGGTAGCCCCGACCGTTTCCTCGAGGGTAAAATAAACGGCTGTACCCCCTTCTTCGCGTAATATCCTCACAGCTCGACACAATTTCTCTCTGTGTTCCTTTTTATTAATTCCAATGGCATCCAAATCTAATTCCCCGATTTGTTTGCACACTTCCAAATCATCATAACCGTTATCAATAAAGGACTGCGTATACTGAACCATGTTCAGAGAACGAAGCCATCCTTCCACGATATTATTATTGTTTTCCGACATTGTATATTTTTTATTCTATTACTCACGCCAACATTAGCAATCCTTGTATATTTTTACTCCATATTTTAGACCTAAATAATCCACAAAACAATGTGTTTTCACTCAACCACTAACACTCGATACACACAGCTGTCTACTGACTAACAACCTGCTCTACTATATCCCGTTGTCTGCTTCAACTTCTCAATACTCTCAGTGCGTGCGCATCAAGGGTGACGTCATCAACGGAATTCCCAAGTATTCATCAAAGGGATATCCCGCTATTTGCACGTGCGGCTAACAGTTTGTAAACAATGGCTTTGAAAAGTATTTTAAAACGTGATACCCCGTTTAAAATTTATATAATTGAGGTTTAGGCCACAACAAGATGTCGTAAGGCCTAACAAGTGGCATTTATCTGTTTCGCAGAAGTAGACCGATTTAAGCCTTCAGCCCATGGGATTTTTCTTATTTTCATAACTGTTTTAGAAAAATATTTCAAAAATTTACAAAAAATTAAACAAAATTCAAGTGAACGGAACTTGTTAAGATGTTTGCGGGAGAAGGGGGAAGGGGGCCTCATGCCTATGCCTTATGCGTTCAAATGGGTATGAAATTTTGGCATAGGAAAATGTATTCGGAAATTTGTAGGATTTCATGGCTACTTCTCATTCCTAGGCTATATTCCCTTAAGTGGTTGACTCTAAATTATTCAGAAAACGGAAAAATAGTAATTAATAACTTCCTCAATACACGCGACAGACGGTCGGTGATATATACAAGTCAACGAATTGTAGAAAAAGATAAAAGGCTTATGAAATAATATTACGTGAGATTATATAATACGGGATAATAAGCTTATAAATTGTAAACAATATCAATATACAATATATTTTTCTTTTGTTATGGTTAAAGGGACAGGTTCGCAGTTTTGAGGGGGGGGGGGGGGGGATCCTTTGGGTCTTAAGTATATATAATTGATCTTCAAAAGTACTAAAAATATACGAAAATCGTATAATTCTTTCAAAAAATACACCAAACTAGGAATTTCAATTTCTATATAGGACTGTTTCGGCCTTCTGGGCCTCATCAGTCCAGTGCTGCTACTGGAGTGGAGGTTTGGCTATATAGCCGTCTCAGATGTGGTGTCATCATAGTTTTTTTCTATATATATGGCAGTGTTTCAAGAAAAGACGAGTCGCCATCTTTTGCGGATAAATGAATGGTGAATCTGCCCCTTTAAGTATAAAATTCCTTCGTATTTCACATTTTCCATTGATTTTTGCTTAATGGATTGTGAATTTTAAGACTATTTTGTGTTTCAAATACATGTAGAGTTATATATATCAGTTTTGGAAATATGTCTATTTTGATTGCAGAAATAAGCCTTAATAGAGATAACATAATAATAAAATAGATCTTATCGGGTAAAATTAAGTCTTGTTTTCTCGAAATAATCCTTGTCAAGCGAAAAAATAATGATAGAAATAAATCTGGTTTATGTAGTACAAATAGATATGCAGATATATGGACTTGATTATTTCAACTATTTCAACTATGGGACTCAAGAAGTCGTTCAAGTCAACTTCAAAAAATCCAGGGGGGTGGGGGCAATATGTCTTACGGGGGTGCCCCTTAGACAGTGGCCTTTTTCGGGGCATCATCTCGGGATAAACTTATTAATGCAGATTGAAATCCATTCAAAACCCAAGCTGAAGGTTTTATTAGCTCCGCAATCACCAGGTTTTGTTAAAAAATCATACGAAGACCGACTAGGGGAGGGGAGCATATACCCTAACTGACACCGCCAGTGCTTATAAGGACGTGAAAAGTTAGGCACAATTCCGTACAAATATATGAACTAACCAGACGTGTGAAACCAATAATAATTGTTCTTGAAGAATTGGCATTCATTAATATCATTTTTATTACCAGAATACATTCATTATTTGAGTAAGAGAAATGTCTTTTAAAGAGGCATGCTATTTGATATAAGAGGGTTAGAGCCGACTCTCGAATGTACTGGCACAGGCATCAGAATTTTTCTTATTTGATTTACAGTATTTTCAGACCACAACAAGGTGATCATGGGAGACAATTACCTTAAGTTGATTTCATTTCAGACCACAAAGCTATCAATGTCTTGAATATTTTCACAGCTTTAACGTTTACATTAAGCATAAACAATTCAAAATGTTATTTTACTCTTGTTCCACTATCATGTTAGATTCTGTGTATTCCCCTCTCCCTAGACCAAATTCCCTGACGAGTTGAGTCGTCTTTTCTTATAGAAAAGACATCTATAGAAATCGGAAACTTTTGGAGGAATTATTTGATTTTCGTACATCTCTAGCACTTCTGAAGACTATTTACATATACTCTACAATCCTGTTAGATACTGTGTGTTCACCACTTCCCTTGACCAAATCTTCTGACACCCCCCCCCTCTCAGCTGGAAAATTCTTGCTGCACCACTGACTAGACCCTTTTGCCGAGTCTTTTGCTGATGAAAGAAAAGTCAAATTGACAATAAATCTACAGGTTTTAATAAATTAAAATATTATTTATAAATATCACAGTTCACTTGTTATTAAAGGAGATATTCAGTCTAATTCTATATTTTTAGCACAGATTTAGCAACCCTATTGTCTGAGCAATGCACCAAGTTTTTTGAATTTTTTGATATATCTTTTTAACTCGAAATAGTACTGTCTTAAATTGATAAAAATATAATTTTTTGTAAGTTTACATTGAAGAGAAACTTATTTCTCCCCTAGAAATTTCAACCCAAACAGGACCAAATTTTGGCTGAAATTTTCCCTCTGTAAAAAGAAATTTTGAAGACAAAATGTGTGCTTATATTTATATTTTTGTCAACGCAAAGACGTTCTAAGACTTACAGTACTATTTTCAGGCTGATTTTTTCTACTTTGCTCAGGCAATAATGCTTTTTCAAATAATAGGGTGTGACAGCTGACGCTGGGCTAACTCTCGAAAGAACTGGTACAGAGTTAGGGATGTCACAAGCTCATTTAGCTGTGAAAATATAGAATTAGACTGGACATTTTAGTCAAGGAAAGATATTTGTGCACATTTTGGTATGACTCAAAGACTATCCAAGAAATACGTTTTTTAGATAGAAAAGATAGTAAATTAACAATACAAGCTAAATTTAGACTGATTTAAAGGGATTGTTAAGAGGTTTGATAAATTTTTAAGTGTATAGGGGACACTGATAGCATCAATTTGCACCATTCCAATTTTCAATCAGAAGTTAGTGGTTCCTGCGATTCCACTAAAACTAAGTGTTTGATAACGTCACTAATAACAAAGGGCCTTATGTGATACAAGTATATTTTGCAATTAGTGACGTCATAAAACGGTTACATTTTGTGGAATTGCAGGAACCACAGATATCTGAATGAAAATTGAAATGGTGCAAATTGATGCTATTGGCGTCCCCAATAAACATACAAATTTTTAGAAAACCTCTTTACAATCCCATTAAATACTTCAGAATAAAGTGAAATGCTTGGTTTATGATTTGCACCCAGATGTGATCGAATATCTTTACTTAAAGACACCTTTAATGTTAAAATAATACTCTTTTACTACAATGATAACAATTAACAATATCTATATTACTTAATTTTACATAAATACAATTATTTGACTTCAGCTCTAGTATTTCGTTTCATACATTTTCTGTGGGTTACTTCACTCAAATTATAATCTTCATGACTAGACCTCATCCCTTGTGAAAAATCATCATCAGAACAGCGAGGTTTGGAGCAAAATTTTAAATTGGACTTGAGCATTTTAAGCAATTTCACTGAACAGGAGTGAGACATTTATATGAAGGAAATCTTCACAAATTCAGCCAATGAAATGCACTGTTCAGGATGGCATAAATGGAATTTGATCTCGAATGAGTGAAGTGATCCACAGAATAAAAATAAAATGAAATATTTAGAGTCTATCAGATATACATGACATAATTTTCTTTTTCAACTTAAATATATCATTCAGTTCTGTTTTGGCCCAATATATAGGCCTATTTGATTCTAGCAACAGACATGACTGATATTTAACTCTTTGGCCTATTTGTAAATCTCCAGTGTTTTCGCAATTATTTTTGATAAGATATGCTAACAGAACCTGTCATGTTCCTGAAACACATACAAAGGCCTGAAGATCTCTTATGAATATCAAAGTCTAATTTAAATTAGACCTAACTTACGTTCGTATTTTATTAGTTTCGTTTTGAATGTGTTATTAGCTATTAGCTTTGTATGTAACCACTACAGTAAGGTCTAACACTGTTCTTGACTTTTCATTCTGTTAACCTTTGCTTGACCTCTGTTTTAACCAATCACGTGGCTGCTTTTTCCAGCGACAGGCTAATGTGACACGAACAATAGGTGCATTCCAAGGCATATTAGACTAGTGGGCTTGATAAGCTAGTCTAATATAACTCGAAATGCACCTATTGTTCACGTCACATTATCGTGTAATATTCGAAACCAAACTAAAATTTGAACGGAAGTTAGGTCTAATATTAATTAGACTGATGAATATCCCAGATCCAAAAAAACATCCCACAATTTGCTTCAAAATCTGTACTCAGTTACGGTAAATTAATATCACTCAGAGAATCTCTCTTAAATATCGTGTAAACAAACTCAATACCCAAAATAAGAATTATAATTTTTGCCATTATTGGTATTGCAAGAAATAGACATGGATAATTCTTAACTTGAAGTTGTTGCAATTTGAAAAATGTGATATCTCTATCTTTCATGCAAAATTTTAGTATTTTTTACACTGTTTTATGATGCTACTTTTTGATGCTGTATCAATTATTGATTTCACTTCCACAGAAAAACACATAAAAATCACTTCACAGAAGTGAAATACAACATAACAGTGATAATAATATGGCTAAAACAAAATCCAAGTTTAGGCCAGGGTTCGAAAAAAAGTTCTTCTTTTTGCTTCACTTCATATCCAGTTGACTAATATAACCTTTTTTTTGTAGAGAGTGGAAACAAAAACAAAAGTGAATACTGTTGCACGCAGTCAAGATTTTAAGTTCCTTCTGAAATTTGTTGTTACTACGGTAACAGTCAAACAACTTGACTTAAGCCTATGCCTTTACTGAAATTTAAATGACAAGTAATTAACAATTTGAGTAAAATTCAGATCATTTGATTGGATCAAATGTTTTTTGGGATTGAAAAGTTGCTTCTACAATCAACATTTTAAAGGAACAATTTAGCTGCATTCTTTGATTTAGAAATATGTTGCTCATAGTAATTCATCTTCTAAAGCTGCCTGTATTCTTCTAGGTTCTTCTTTAACTTCTGGTAAATCATCGATTAAACCCCATTTATTTGTGGATGCTATACCTGACAAATGAAATTGAAATTTTCATATAGATGATGTGTATGTAGATTGTTTCTGAAAATGTTACTTATGAATCTAAAAACACAGTAATAAAAACAAAAAAAACAAAAATCCTGGTCATATCTTTTATCCAACAAAATTGAAAAGTAAGAACAAAACAACCATTTTTTACAAGGATAACAACAAGGATCAAGGAAAACCACTTAAGTTCCAGAGGATTCTTTCTACTATCCTTGACCATTTCTCTTGGCATTGATATTTCCAGGATGCAACAGGACTAATAAGGAAAGATAACTTATTCAAGGTCACCAGAATTTCATATGCTGACCAAGATTAGAACCCACAACCAATATATCTTTCATGTAACCAAGCAAATGATGTCAGGTATTGATCTAACCTATTGTATAAACCAGTCTATTTGTGGTCAGCACCTTCAATGTTAATTTGAAAATTACCTGTTTGTACAGTATGTGGATTATCAGGAGATTGTGTTCTAGGTGTAAAATCTCTACTGGAATGTTTAGGTGTGGTATCATCATCAGATATACCAGCTCGTTTCTTTAAATATCTGTTCTTCTTCTTCCTTCTATGACTGGACGGAGGAGTTGCTTCTACAGAATCTAAAAATAAACAGAATCCTTCAGTTTACAAGGTTAGAAGACTCAGCTTGTCTTAAACTTTTTTTGTAAAAGCTACCCATTAAGACCATTTTTATAATAACCACTTTTTTGCCAAACGTAATTGAAAATTTACATTTTTTTTTTACTTTGGAACTTATTCCTCATCAAGGTACAAAATCTTGTTAAGAAAGCCTGGTCCTGTATTCGCGATCTTCGATCTTAGCGCTAGGATGTCCTAGGTTCTTATCTTCAAACATTGATTCTAGGATATCCTAGTGCTAAGATCGTTTCGAGAATATGGGGTCTGATAGACAGGTAACAAAGTAATTCAAGGATAGTCAAAAAGTTAACTGTATTCATCTGTCAGCTAAATTGTTAAGGTGCCCTCACACCATAGCAATCACTGATGGTTGTGAACTGATGATGGTCATAAGTTGAAAACACCACTCTCATGCAATTTGTGTTTGAAACTCCCTGCCACAATATTTATTTGCTACCATATGCAACTGGTGATAGCTACGAGGGCACCTTTATAAAAGGAATTGTCTTTACCATCAAATGTCTGTGAAATGGACGGAGGAACAACTTGAATAAATGGTGGAGGGACTTGACGTCTGGGATGAGAATCACTTTCTTTATCGGTATCACTTTCAGACACTACATATTCTTTCTTCTTCTTTTTCTTCCTTCGTTTCTTTTGTGGAGTTTCTTTTGATAATGAATCATCATCCATTATTTCACCCAATCGGATTTCATTATTTGAGTCATGTGACTTTAGACTTCTGACACTATCCAGATTGTGTTCTTTGACTTCGACATTAGATAATGTTCGAAGAGATTGCATGCCGAATGATTCAACATTTTGATCTTCTGCCTGTTCTAAATCTTCCACCCGTGTTTTGGACTTTCTCTGTTTTTTCTTCTTGAAGGATTCCTCTGAAAATTTGGTACCCAGGGGTTTTTGTAAAGGGGGTAACAATGGGTTAGCACTAGCTCGTGGTGATGAGAAACTGTTTGTTGGGGGTAAGTGACTAGCTCCAGAAGGTAAAGAACTAAGGGATCTAATGGTTTGTGGGGTAGTCAAAGTTTCAGGATCTTCAACTGCTTTATCTTCTGCTTCCTTTTCTTCCTCTTCAAATTTTTCCAGTAGTTCTTTCTTTTTTCTTTTTTGTTCCTTCATCTTTGCTTCCTGAAAGGCAAATTGTAATCTCCGTCAATAACAATAATACATACATCTATCAAATATTGTGGATTCTCAAAGAGATTTATTAAGTTGACAAACCAAATTGCAGGGTGGTATTATGTGTTCCATAAAAGCTAATATGTTTTGCCTGTAGCAACAGGTCTCGTTTCTTGAAATTCAATAAAGTCTTTGGTTGAAGAAAGACATCGAGGAATTCCCAGGTAAGAAAAATTATTATGCCTGTGCCAGTGCTTTCAACCTAGTGTGAGCTCTCACCCCCTAATTTTCCATTCAACAACAACAACATCTGTTTTTATTAGAGAAGATAAGGTAAGAATTTGAAAATCTTGAGTTACTAAATTTACCTTCTTTTTCAAATCATTAACATCTAATTTTTTAAATGGATCTCCATCTATTTCTGTTTCATTATCACTCACTTTATCTTCAATACCTAATCTCCTTTTTTCTTCTTCTTCTTCTTTCTCTCTAAAAAATACAATGTTCCTAGACGTCTGATTGAAAATAGGAATGGTGCAAATTGATGCACATAAAAAAATTGGAAATCTCTTTACAATCCTTTGTAGACATTAGAAAAAACCAACTTTTATTAACAAAGAATTTTAAGAATTGTAAGTGTTAGGCAATGATAAGGTCAGCAGAAATGTATCTGCTTCACATACCTTTCTCTCCTCCTTTCTTCAACTCTCTTTTTTCTTTCAGCCTTTTCTATTTTCCTCTTTTCATCTTCTTGTCTGATAGCTTCATCTACTCTGTTCTTTAACTGATCCCATTGACCACCTATTATAGATAACATCCATTTCATACCATTGTGAATAGATTTATCCATTTTCTTACCACTACCTTTTATAGCTGAACAGGTTTCCTACAATACATTAAATATCATTATAGACTTGAAATTCTAGTCACCATCTCATAGCCATGGGGACATGTTGGTCGGTTTCTTTGGGTCTTGAATATATGTAAATTGTCTTCAGAAGTACTAGAAATGTACGAAAATCGCATAATTACTTTAATAATACCTCAAGTCTTTTTAACTTACAAATGTGGATAATTCTGGACACACATGGATTTGCAAGTTAATATATACATAATGAAATGGTGAAAAAATTTAAGTTTCGATCACTACTTACTATTCTACATGGACACTTATTAGTTGTTACTATTTGATCTAAATTTAACTGTTCACAAATATCTACTTCATCTAAAGCATCACTTTTATCTTGTTTATTAGCTAATCTACAAATTGAAACACAAAACATAATCAATTATCTGTTTTTTTAACATTTAAATTTAATATCAGATTTATAATACTGGCATTCTTATCTCGTCTTATTTTTTTTTTTTTTTTGGGACTTTAGAGTTTTTTTTATTACTAAATTGATGTCTTATATTCTGTTCACATATTTCAAGTTATATTATGTTTAAGCATGTTTTGTCTTGTCTTTTGAGTTTGCCATCTCAACATAAATTCATTTCAATATTTTTTGACTCTTTATCCAATTCGAAAATGAGTATAGAATTAGACATCAGGGCAAATTAATATAATTATGTTTCTTAATTAGTCAAATCAGATCATGATTTAGTTACAAGAGAAACTTGTAGTCTTTAGTTACAAATTTATCAGCTTGTGGGATTAAAGATGGGAAATCTCTTATTATCCTACCAAAGATATGAACAAACACTTACAATAATAAAGGCTTTCCAGAAATATGTGGATTCTCTAAAACTTCTTTCAAATTCTTTTTTGCTTCATCCATTCTAGCACCGGCCGAGGAATCAATGACATATATTAAACCATAAATTTCATGTAAATAATTTGTCCATATTCCCCTGATGTTTTTCCCTCCACCAAGATCATACAGTGTGATATCATATTTGTTAAATGCAAACTTCTCATATGAGTAGCCTATTGTTGGTGCTATGTCTAGATCAATTGGGTCTGAAAAATAAACATGTTATCAGTAAGATTATAAGGTATGCGGACTCAAATTGACAATTGTGGCCACCAGATGTTCATGAAGGCAATCAAACCATGTATCGCTACTGCATTAAAATGCCAACATAATATTGTGCTAAGGGATCAAAATTAAGAAACTCTCCTAAAAGAAAAATAGCTGGCACTACTTCAGGCGAGATTGAGGGATTCAAACTTTTCTAAGAAAATCTGATAAAATTACACATACCTCCACTGAAGCCTTTAGTTGTTGTTGTTTTTCCTGCATTATCCAGACCCAAAATAGCAAGTGTTATAGATCTAAAATGAATTACAGTTCAATGCCAATAAAATGAACATTTTAATAAAATATCACAGAAAAATTGTGTTAGACTGTTAGATGATTTTGGTTACAAATCCCACATACATCATAAGCTTATACTTGTTTCGAAATGTAGATCTACTTGTCAAACTTCAGTAGGGACACAGGCTGAATATAGGTCAATTGTTTGAAAATTTAATAGCAATAAACTCTGAGTAACAACATGATTTATGTTCTGTTTTAATATTTCTAAAGAAGCTAATATGTTACATGCTCAGCATTTGATTGTTGAATCACATTTAAGGACAAAGGAAGCAAAGGTCAATAACAAGAATATTGCCCTCCTAAATCAAAGGTTATATGTTAAAACTGATTTATAATTCTTCTTTAAGCTTATATAAAATAGCATTATATTGATAAAATAACAAACCTTCTTTTGGCACGTTTTTTGTTGATGCAGGGAATGCATTTCCCAAATAAACTGAACATCTTTTCTTCTGCTGAAAATTCAATGACATATTATTAGAATAGTCAAAAACAATGTCCTAATGAAGTTAGAATTACAATACTCGAGCCTTGAGGTAGAACCATAGCCATCTAGCACATGTACAATTCAAATGATCACTCAAGAAAAACTGACAAAATTCAACACAACATCGAAGGAATATGAGCCTACTATTAAATTTGAATCAAGTATAGGGATTACCAATTAATTGGTTAATGAGTTAATTACACTAATTGGCATGACATTTTCTGTCAGCTTACATGTACTGTCAAGTCTAGCTATGTAGCTATATCGCAGCAATGCATTAGGCCTAGTTACACAGACTAGTGGCTTGCCTTCATTTAAGCTTACTGTTCAACCACATTGTTTTCAGAATAACACTAGAATTTGAAATATCAATATTACAAGGCGTGACTTAGAGTTTTAGATTGTTTTTGAAGTTTGGGTTGATAGGAACGCCTACCAGCATGTTCAAACTAATCCAATGAAGAAATCTGAAATAATGTTTTTAATGTTCAGGCCATTTCCAAGGAAATTTCCTATGTAACATTAACAAAACTCGAATCTCTATTGATCCGAAGACATCCTAATAAAAATGGCAAGCAATATATTTTGAATATTTGTGAATTGTCAAAATTGACAGAAAAAAATTCATGTAGTTAAACAAGCTTAGAGCCTTCATTTTCATTTCACATTTGTATTTTTTCTCCCTAAATAGAATTTTTTAAAAAAGATAAAATTACTCCTTCTACTAACCTAAATGCTTCTATCAGTTATTCATTTGATATGCCCGATTTCCACACCATTTCAACAGGAAATAAGAAGTAATGACGAAGTGTCAATTGGAATATTCAGCCGGTAGCCATCTTGGCAACAAAACATAGTTTGCCAAAATTAGGTCTCTCTTTATACCGTAAATAATTCTTAATGTCGTAAATTTGATGTCGACTGAAAATTGGAAAATTTTCAAAATTTACAATTCTTTGAGTTTTTTTAGATAAGAATTAAAAGTTCTAAGAATCAGGCAAAAGCCAAATATAGGCTAACACCATAGATTAATGAATCGAAGGCAAGAGTTTTGATTTCATCATCCAGAACGAAATGTCCACTGCCACACATGAGACGTCTGGATGACAAAAACTTTCATGCTTCGAGTTCTCTGATTGGTTGAATTCCTTGCTTGCGAAGATGTGTTTATAATGGTTGCAATGTTATTTCTGTAGGTATCTGTTTGTTTATAATTTGACCTATATTTTAAATAATTAAGGAATATTCTTCGATATAATTGATTGAAAATTTTCAAAATTAACGCAGGATACCCCTAACATACTAGATTTTGACATGTAAGTCTGCTTACAAAGTGAGATAAGGGGAATGCCGACTTGACATTTCACTTGGCTTTTTGTCAATTTTCTGAATGGTGTTCTTACATGTTCAGTCTTGGCCTTTTGGTGTTCTCGTCTCGATCATGGCTTGACATTGTAGATTTATTTGTATTTACGTATCTCTTTTACAGATAAATGCTGGACCAGTCAATGAGAATTTGTATTTAAAATGCCAAGACAGTATCAGGTGAGTGTCTCAGAATCAACAGAATGCCCTAAATTGTAAATGAATATTGCCACCTTTTTCATGACATGTTAAGTTTAAAGGAACCATATCATCATGCTGTTATTGGCTCTGTAGCGTGTAGCAGACTTACAATTGCTGTAATGTTTCATTCCCATGTGCTGATATTATCAATAAAATAGGTAATGAAAATTTTGACAACGTTCTGCCTGGCATTGATGGCAATCTTTATGTTATTCCATGATACAATAGGCTTATAATAGTTTGAGATACTTTTGAAGGAATTATGCAATTTTTGTACATTTCTAGTACATCTGAAAACTATTAACATATCTTCAAGACTCAAATCAACCCCCCTTTATGCCATAGCTGTCACTTTAAAATGGAAACTAATGGTATCTAATGTGTGTAATCACTAAATCTCAGGTAGCCTAATTATAATTTATTCATGAAAGAGACCTAATCACCAGTTGTACTCAATAGTATAAAAGACATGTTGATCTGATAATTATGGTCTAATGATAGCAATTGATTCATATCAATTCTTTTAAAGATGGATTGCCTTTAAAAATGTTGACTGGGATAAAAGACAACTTTGAACTCAACCAAGGGGAGGTTAAAAACGGAGTCCAAAATTGATAATGATTTTGGAACCAAAATGATATAGGCTACTATTTTTCATTATTCATCCTAATTCATTGATACCGATCTGATTTTTGAATGTCTATTATCATTGCATGCAATTTTTTACATACAACTTGTCCTTTATTGATGATGAATAGTCTTAAAGGCCATGGTTTGCCATTAATCGGAGTTGATTTTGGTCTTGAATATATGTAAACAGTATTTAGATGTACTAGAATTGCAAAAACATGGCATGATCCCTTCTGCAGATATATCTCAAATTAGAAATTTCTATATATAATGTCTATTCTATAAGCTTACATAGCAGAGTCTATAGAAGAACGAGTCTTCATGTGCACTTTCAAATGCAGATAATACTGTACACACATGGATTTGAAAGCTCAAACTTTGACAGTGAGCTGTGAACACTATTACTAATTAGCTTAGCTAAAAAATTCTCATTTATGAGACTAAGGTAATATAGGTCCTTTAAATTACAATCCATATTGGAATCTTGTGGATTGGTAACAAGTAGATTGGAAATTATTTTCTTTGTTTTATATTTACATAAAATATATAGAAACCATCATTACAATGTCACATTTGACTCATAAGCTAACCCATGATGTCTTTCAACAAGTTTCAATTCGTCAGCAAAATTCTGCCATTTTATTTTATTTCTGTTAAACTTAATTAAAACAGTTAAGTGAAAGAAAGAAATATGAGAAAATGTACATCAATTGATATATAAGCTTACAGCGTAAGAATAGTAAATGTAAAAGAAATAAATCAGTTGGAACCTAACTTTAATATAGCTCTGTATACTATATACTTTATTCATGCTATTTGTTATTTGTCATTACTTGTTTGATAGAGCTTCCTTTTAGTATGCTACATAAATCTAATAGATTTTAATGCTGAAGAGACCTAAAGATACCTAAATTTACTAGAAATGGACGTTACCAAGGTAAAGTTAAGATATTTTCCTCTTTATGTTTTTGTAGGGTGATGATTATTTATCGCCTGATGATTTTGAAGATCAAGAAACTTTGGTATGTAATTTTCAATTCTATTGTTTTTTATATATGCACATATGTATATCCTTGGGTAAATTTGCTAGTCTGTCCGTTTATGTTTATGATTAACAATCAAGTAGACAATTTTTGAATTTGGATTTGGATGAAATGTTAACATATGATGGGCATTGTCGTACAAATACTATTTTGTCTTAACCAATGTTCCTGAATAAGTTTATGTGTCTTGTTTGAGTATTATGGAAATATTGACTAAAATGAAAGAAAAAATGAAAATGTGATTAAATCATTTGTAGCTTTTGTACTTGTGGAAACATTATATGTTGTCAAAATTAAGCTTAATTAATTTTACAAAAAATTTACTATTTTTTCTCACTTCTCACTTATGTGATGTGATATTCTATGAGATAATTGTGATATTATTTATGAGACATTGTGATATTATTCATGAGATATTGTTAAGTGATATTTTATGAGACATAGTGATGTTTTTATTAGATAATTGTGATATTTTTTGACAGATAATATTTTGTGAGATATTGTGGTATTTTTTATGAAATAAGTGTGATATTTTTTATGAAATAAGTGTGATATTTTTTATGAAATAAGTGTGATATTTTTTGACATACTGTTATTGTGATTTTTTATCCAGAGCACATTTAAGTATTCTAAGGAAATATCAACTAGTGCTGATATAAATGCATATTGCATGAGCTTAATGTTATATATGCAATAAATTATCAAGAGTTGAAGGATATACCTGTATCTTATCTCAATATCTTGTAGCTAACACCTGTATTTATTGTGGTCCAATGAATAATTGATATTAATTTGTATTATTAGATATCAAGAAGTAAATCAGTTGCTAGGAATAGATCCAAATCAGGTCAGACACATTTTATTTTTCTTAATGAAAATTTGTTAATTTGATCCTTTGATTTTATGTATGGACCCGCTCCTGATTGTGACTTGAAAAATAATGAACAATACATGAAAGAACAACAACTATTATTTGAATAAAAAGCAATGTATTCATATTCCGTAGTCAAACATTTTGGAGAACCAGTCAGACATGACCTGTATGTAATCAAAACAACAACCCTTGTTAAGCTTGTCTTTAAAAAGTAACGAAACACCTATTTGAATTTTGCACACGAATATTGCATTTAGGTTACTAACCTTTGTTTGTGATGATGATTTACACAAAATAATATTTCAAAATTGCTTCATTTAAAACAGCGTGTGAAAATTCTTTCATTTTTTAGTGCCAAGGAGAAATACCAGGAAATCAAGCAAAAGACCAGGTAAGATTTTAGTTTTATTTACAAAATTTCAGTTGTATACTATAAGGTATGTTTTTTTGTGAACTCAACTTGCATATAAAGAGTGTAACAAAAAAAATACCAAACATTAGCTTCTAACTCTGATCTTGTTTCAATGTAATTGTTAATAATATAGGTTCCTGAAGTATTTTTTTTAGCAAATTCAGAATAAAAAGTACCAAAATTCTAAAATGATACTATTTCTTCTCTTGCATGACTATAATTGTTATTTTACAAAATATTTCAGGATCACCAAATAAAAGACCTAATAGTTCGCTAGGAGTCAGTGGTAAAACAGGTCACGATTTGTGGATAACAGCTATTAAAAAACGACAAGGAGCCTGTAAGTTATGTTCCCTTTTTTTTTTAATTATTGCTTAGTTGTCAGATAAAATTGGTATTATGCAGATAACCCAAGATGGGTACCAGTATTGTTTGACTTGGAGGTGTTTCTCGAAAGAAGGCTTTGGTGATCAAAAAACACTTGCAAAAATTTAACTATCAATTTAAGTTTAATTATTGTATTTTTAGTAAACAGTGGATCAACTGGTCATATTGGTAGTTCACCAAGACATAAAACACCTATAGAATATTGGGTAGATACATTACGCAAAACTGGTTCAGGTATGTTGACTGCTAAAAGATACTTAGTTATTGATGTGTTCATGCTCCAAAAGCTATATTGAAAGAACAGGTCAAAATAACTCTGGGTTAATATGTCCTGTCTTATAGACAATCTCAGATGCAGAGTGGCCTCAAGTGTTCATGGATACTCTTAAAGAGGAAAGTTTACATAGCCTTGTTCCTTATGTATACATTAATCTATATGTATTTTGGACGTATTGTAGGTATCAGTACAGAAAGTGGAAGAAATACATTTACTGGTTTAAAGAAAGATAATGGTTTAGACATGGCCTATTATAGTACATCACATCATTTAAGACAAGTCATGGGAGTAGAAAAACCTAGAAAAGGTCAAGAGCCATATAGTAAGTACATTATGTTAGTTCATTATGAAGTCTGTTATACCATGTGTACTTGGTTTTCAGTTTCATTAAAGGGATTGTAAAGAGATTTTATTAACTTTTTACGTCTTTTGGAGACACTGAAAAAATAATTTTGCAAGAATAGAAATCTTAGTTAGATATTTGTAGTTCATAAAATTCCCCTAAAACCAAGTTTTTTTATAATGTCACTATTGGAAAGTTTTGCTCACTATATTTGTAATCCAGTCAGCATAACACTATCAGTGTAACACAAAACAAAACACCAGAATAACACTACACTAATGTTATCTTGAGCTCTGACCTCTGCATGGTGTAAACCACTATTGGTTAGTGTTAAAGGGATAAGGAAACTCATGCTAAGCCAGTGTTCTGAAACACTGAGTTGGAATTAGTGGAACACTAGATTACCACTAGATGAAAACTAGTGTTAAATTGTTCCCCAAATACCTCAAAGTTTAGTGTTATCTCAGTGTCACCCAACACTTTGCATCAAGGTCAATTGTTGGGGTTAGTGTTACACTAGTGTTACAATTATGCACTAATCCAAGACTAACACTAAGTTCTGACCCCACTTGTTGACTTGCATTATCTCACCACTTTTTTTATGGAGAGTGATTATGACAATTTTGGATATTCTCTAAGATCTATTTTACCTGATTTTGTTTTAGACAGGTCAGCTGCAGGTACACCAGCTTATAAAACACCAGAAGAATATTATGATGAAGTTTTGGAACTCAGAAAGGTACTTCATTTTCCCATCTGGTTTAAGGCTAATGTGTTTATGTTAGAAAAAAAAACTACTATTTTGTACAAGGATTACAACTTCAGTTCACAAGGATCTTTTCTGCCAGCTGGTCTTTGGCAAAACCTCTTGGCATTGATCTTTCCTGATTATTTGTACCCATTTATAGTTGGGTTAGCTGGAATATTAAGAAGAGTTAATTTATTCTTAGTGTGTTACAGTCACACTGAAAGTGTTTAAATCAAATCCACTACCCACACATGATAAAGAAATCCAAATTTTTTGAAAAATGAAATTTTTGTAAGAGAAAATTTTGTTGAATTTCAGCAAATCAGTAACCTAGGCCATGATAATTCTACGATGAAGGCTAAAGTTAGAAGATTAGAAGAAGATAAAATTAAAAAGGTGGGAATTGAATTGATGAATTTTTGTTATATGTTTTCAGTTCTGCGCTTCCAGTTAACAAAATGCTACTGAACTAGTCACTTAGTTGGAACCATTCAAATCTTGGCATTCTATCTCATTACATATAAAACGAGTTTCATGTTTTTTCAGGGGGTGACTCCTCTCTTGATTGAATCAAATTTTTTTTTTTATGGCTAATGTAGTAACCTTTAAAAAATACACAAATCATCTATTCCATCATTTTTTGTAGGATAAAGAAATGGAGTCTCTCTTGAATCCATCAAAGGTAAGGTTTTGGATTTATCATAAATTATAAAACTTAGCGGATTCAAAGGTTAAACACACTCCTGGATCACAATGCCATTCTGACCACCAATTTTATTCAGGCTGTCTGTAAGGGAGATCACTCTTAATACAAACTTGATCTATTTATATGTTTCTATATTATTAGAGTGATGATATAAGAAGAACACTAGGAGATAGAAAACCAGATTCTGGTGCTGTTATACATAGTCTCAAACAAAAAATATTGAAATTAGAAATGCAGCTTAGAGAGAAAGATGCTGCTTTTGGGTAAGAAGCTGTTAAATTTTCAGAACTGTCAAAAATTTCAATTTGCATTTATGGATTGCTCTTTTAGATCAATCTTTCTTGAGACTTCGCCATATATAGAAAAGATACATATAGAAATTTCTATTTAAAGGGATTATGAAATTTTCGTACATTTCAAGTACTTCTGTAGACTATTTACATATATTTAAGACCAACAAAAATATAAGATCAACAAAATGGCGAACCATGGACTTTAAAGATGGGTTCCCTTACTTTATTTATGAAAATGAAAATGCTAATATTTATATGAATAGAAAGTAGAGGTGTTCTAATGACTTGGAAATATACCAGTTTGTCTCACATGTCCATAATTAATTCATAATTAGCTAAATTAGAAGAGAAATACCAGCAGAATTCGAATGAGTGACCGATCAAGAAAGGTCAAAAAGTCTTTTTTTGTTTATTCAGACTGTACATACAAGGACATTTGTGATTGGTTCAAACTCTTAATTATATGCAATTAGAATATAATGATATGATTAAGAATACATGATAATTCATGAGAAACACCAATTAATCAAAGGGTTTGCTTAATTTGACTTGAAAATAAGGAAACCCATCTTTAACATTGTTAATTTTAGTAAATTACAAGGTGATTTAAAAGTAACTAAGATAGATGAAATGAGATGTCAGATGGAAGTAATGTATCAAGAGATAGTCAGATTACAGAATTCCAAAGATACTGGAGTAGCCAAGTCTGCTAGGTAAGACTCAGATAATTTTGATTTTGAGATACCTTATTAATGGGATGTTTGGGGGTCGCTTGATTGGTGAGTTTTACACATTCTGGATCCATGGAATCAACTGGACATTCAATAAGTTGGAACAGAGTTCAGTAAGTGTTCCACATATGCTGAAAAAATAGTATGTGCAGAGAGAATTCAAAATGGCAGAGAAGGAAATAGATGGGGAAATTTTGGATTTGACATATCTGCTGACGGAACCTGTTCAGGACTCACCAATCAAGTGCACCTTGTACAATTTTGACTTTTTTAATTTGTGAGTTATTTCCCTTGTTACAAAATTATCTTGTTTGAGATTGATTTCAAATTTATAGTGTTTCTACCATGATCTTTGCTACTGTATAGGTGTATTGCCATTTTGTCGTCTGCTAATTTTTCTTGCTGACATTGTCTTGATTCTCTCACTATTTTTAGGTCTACCCCAGTGGGAAAAGAAAACACAGTAAAAATAAAGGCGTTAAATGAGACTATTTTAAGATTAAATAAGACTAATGAAAGATTAGAAGCTGATAATAGAAGTTTAAAAGAAGAGTTAGAGAAAGCTACTGGTGGAGATGAAGTTGATGACAGCCGACTAACAGGCAGTAAGTATAGTCATTTAAAGGGATTGTAAAGAGGTTTTCTAAACTTTTTATGTGTATCGGGGACACTGATAGCATCAATTTGCACCATTCCAATTTTCGTTCTGGCGTCTGTGGTTCTTGCAATTTCACTAAAATTAACGAGTTTTATGATGTCACTAGAACCACAGACGTCTGAATGAAAAATGGAATGGTGCAAATTGATGATATCAGTTTTCCCGATACACATAAAAAGTTTAGAAAACCTCTTTACAATCAATTTAAGAGACAACATTGCCTTTTAATTAAGAATTCATTCTGCTTGTAGTTAGCATATCCTGATTTTAAGGACATCCTACTTAGATGTTGAACCCCTAGAAAATTAAATGTTATATGTAGAAATTTTGATATCCTTTTGAGTGACGTTAAAATAAAACATCATATAGTCTGAGCTCCATCTTATGTGGCTTGTTGTAGAGTGGCCTCTAGCCTTAGAAGGGTCATTTGGAAGATGGTTTTACTCTTAAAGTATAATTTTCTTGATGTGTATTTTAAATATCTGTGTCAAAAAGATTTAAAACTTAATGATATTGAAAAAGAAATGTGTAAATTTAGTTATTTTTTTATCAAATGAAGTTTATAAATCAACAATTACTTCCTCTATTCACTTTAATGAAAAAAAAAAAGAAAAAAAAATTGTTTAACAATGTTTACAAAATTTGTGAATTTACAAAAGAATTCATGATTTTTTTAACAATATTTTGTTCAGATTAAAATTATTTTGATATTTGTAGGAGATTATGAAGATATGAATAGAAGACAATTATTAAGTTATGTCAAGAAAATGGAAGTTGTAAGTAATCCTTACATAATTAAAGGTCATTATAAGTGCTTAGATCAAAGAGTTGATAGCCATAATTTCACCTAAGTCTTGTATCACTGATATTCATAAGATACTGGAATGATACATGAAAGGACCCTAGGACCCATTTCACAAAACATATTAATAACAATTTTGTCTTAATTGTAAAATTTCAAACGAATGACAAATTCTTATCGTAAAAATGTTTGGGGAACTGACCCTGTATCTTCAGATTAGCTATTATTGTCTATGCAAGTTGGAAAGTTTTTTGAATTTTTTCGATATTTTTTGAAAGAATTGGAATATCTACCTCAAAATAGTACTGATAGATTGCTTCGATAAAAATATAAACATGAGCTCACATTATGTCTTCAAAATTTCTTTTTACAGAGGACTATTTTCAACCCAAAAAGTCACAAATTTTGGCAGAAAATTGTCCTCTGTAAAAACAAATTTTGAAGACATAATGTGAGCTTATGCATATATTTTCATCAACGCAAAGATATTCTAAGACTAACAGTACTATTTTGAAGCTGATATTCAAATTCTCATAAAAATAATGGGAAAAATTCAAAAAACTTTTTTTTTTGCTCAGATATTAAGTTCCCTACCCACTTTATATTTTCTATCAGGATCTTATTATGAAGTCCTGAATTATTAATGAGAACTATTTATATTTTGATATTGTAGAAAGTTGAGAAGTTAGAAAGAAGAGCTGAGAATGATAATTTATCAATACTATCATTAGATAAAAATAGATCTAATGTACCTGGTAAGTTTATTCTTCTATCTGAACCATTCTTCTTTCATAAATGTGCAAAAATCTGCTGAAAAGTTTTCCAATGACGGTATCATAGTTTCTTTGTCTGTCTCATTGTACCTCTTTAAAAGATCTTATGGATTTCATAAGGATCTTGTCTATCTGCTGGTACTTGACATTGACCCTTCCCAGATTATCCAGACTCATTTACAGCTTGGTTGACAGGAATAATGAAATAAGATGACTAATAAAACAACCCTTGACAACCATTTGTTCAGCGTAATCATATAAAGATTCTAACTGTCTGTTCTACTGCCGTTTTCACGAGGCTATAAGCAAACTGGAGAACCCAGAAAAAACGATGTTTTTGTTTTTTGATTTTCTGACTTGAAATGATCCAACCATTTGATACTTCAAAGAATGAATTAATTAATTTTAACCAGACTGTAATTTGATATTAATATTATCATTTTGTATATTACCAGGTAAAATAGATCTAAAAGGTAGTATAGAGGAGAGATTACATCAGTTAGATCAGAGAGAGACTGAATTATTAGATGAAATAGCTAAACAAAAACATCTTATACATAAACTAAAAGAAGAAAGATCTCATTATAAACAACAATGTGAAGAGTAGGTAGTGTTAGTGTTGTTGATCTGACAAAATGTACTGTTTATATTGACATCCAGGGACATATCCAGAGAATGACTGAGGAGGGGGCCAAAAATGAGAGGTGGCTCTCCAAGACGAGGCCTGAAAGGCCTAAGAATCCCTAGGCAGGTGTTCGTGGACTGTCATAGGTCCCCAGAAGCCAACATATTTCGGATGGCTTGAGATGAATTTTGAGCATTTACAGGGCTTGATTTTCACTTCTAAATAGTACCTTTCATAGTCCTACTTTTCTGCACCAAGTGGGCTAATGAAGACGGCCAACGCCATGCAGGTTGCAATGAGGGAAATTTTGCCAGGGCAGTTGCATTAGGCTACTCTTTTTCAATTCCCAACTGTCGAGGGATCTTTAACGTGCACAGCCTGTAGCACATGGGGCCTCATTTTTTTGTCCCATCCGAACGACTAAACGCTTTTACATGTCAGCCCCTCTTACGCAGGTTGGCATCAGTCAATCTCAATTTCCCACTACTGTTTTTAAATGTATTCATAAAAGTAAGGAACATCCAGACATAATTTTACTGTTATTGCCATCAATAGTCTACAATGATACTCTTTTTCTTTCAGTGGTAGACCACCAGGAACTCCTGGTAGAAGTACAAGAGCCAGTCCTAGAAGACCAAGTACTAGGTAAGGAAACAAGAATTAACAGCTGAGACTGTTTATATTTGAAAGTTTGTTAATTGATAATGATATTTGAAAAGCAGTTTTTAAGAAATTTAGAAATATACCTTACTCTAAACTGTTTGTTATGTTTACCTTATAAGGGGTTCTGAATCATCAAGACCACCAACTGGCAGACGACGCTCCGGTTCTGATGAAGAAGAAAGACTGAGACAAGAAAAAATCGAAAGTTTACAGAAAAGATCAGCAGCTAGTAACATTCAAAGAAACTGGAGAAAACACAGAAGTCAAGCTCTTGAAGAGAGTGAGGTAAAATTGAGTAAATTAATGGAATACTCCAATTCTTAATTCTTATTCTTATTAGTAGACATTTTTCTCTTTCAAATTCTTATTAGTGTAGAAATTCCTTTTTCTAATTCTTAATGTTAGTTAAAGGGATTGTAAAAAGGTTTTCTGAATTTTATATGCGTATTGCGGACACTGATATCTTCAATTTGCATCATTCCAATTTTCAGTCAGACATCCTGTGGTTCCTGCAATTCCTCTTAAACAAAGTGTTTGATGACATCGCTAAGTGTCAAGGGCCTTAAGTGATAGAGCCAATTTTGCGATAAGTGATGTCATCAAACACATTTTTTGTGGAATAGCAGGAACCACAGACGTCTGACTAGAGAAGCACCGAGCATTGGAACATTGGAATGGTTCAAATTAATGCTATCAGTGTCCCTGATACACATAAAAAGCCTCTTTACAATCCCCTTCAATTCTTAGTAGGCTGAATAACAAATGATTCTATATTTCTAATTTCTTGGTTTACATAAATCTTATTCTTATCTTGTCTTATCTTATTTTAATTTTGTTTATTTTCTAAAACTCTTTTTGAGATTTGTTTATGTCTAATTTCTTTTATTTTCCTCTGTTAATTACTCTACTCTAGCGTAAAAAACAACAAAAACTGACAAACATTCGAGAAAACATGGCTGCCAGACACATACAGAGAGGTTGGAGAGACTATCAAGAAGAACAACATGTAGGCTTTTATTCTTTCAAATTTTCATTTTTCGCTTTAGCACATCAAAAATTCATTTGGTTTTGGTTTGGGTTTGAATTGACATTTGATTCACTTTCAAAAGCTTAAGGATTTCAGAAGCTTGAATGCCATTTAGTTTTGAGGCTGTAGTTCTTTGTTTAGAAGTGCAATTAAAGGGACAGATTCGCCATCCGTTTGACCAATCATACTTTAGTCTCAGAAATAAGTATTTTTTAGCTAAGCTAATCATTAATAGTGTTCACAGCTCACCATCGAAATTTGAGCCTTCAAATCTTCGTGTGCCCTGAATTATCCGCGTTAAAATGACGACTTGTCATTTCTTGAGACTCTGCCATATATAGAAAAGACATGTATAGAAAGTGAAGTTTGAGTTATTTTTGAAGGAATTATGCTATTTTTGTACAATTCTAGTACTTCTGAACATCAACCACTAAAATGGCGCATCTGTCCCTTTAATTATCGAAAGGTTCAAATTCCTATTTCTGTTTCTATTATCAATCGATATATTGAATTTGTGTTTAGACTGGAAGAGAAAACAAATTGAGAAATATTCGAGAGAATAGGGCAGCTCGAAATATTCAGAAAGGCTGGAAAAATTATCAACAAGTACAAGATGTAGGAATTTATTTGAAATGTCTTTTAGATAGTGCAGAAGTGCAGCTGCAGTTTCAAAATTTGACCATCATTTGACAAATCATTTTTCCTTTGTTATAATTTTCTCAATCTGATTAAGATACAGATTTGATATTTTTGTTTGATTTTTATCATGAAATATTCTATAATGATACAATATGTTGAAATCTGAAGACATTCTTCAAATGACATGTTCAGTTTTTAAATATAATTCAACCAATCAGACTGTTTAAATCAAAGTCAATTGTTGTGTCAATATATTTTGATAGAAATGAAATTTCATTGGGTCTTTGGTTGAACTTAATAAAAGGAGCTACTTACCAGATCTTGAAAGAGAAAAGTAGAAAAAATGAAGGAAAAGCAAAAAGCTGAAACAAAATATTTAAATCTGTATTTAAATGAGATTGGTACTTTCCTCTATCCTTTTTAAGTAATTTCAATATTAATTTCATTTTTTCTCATTTCCATTTCATTTCATTTTCCCTTTTTTCATTTTATGTTATTTTATTTCATTTTATTTTGTAACTTTCATATTTCTTGTTTTCAATGTATAGTGCCAAAGAGAAAATCAATTGAAATCTATTCGAGAAAATCTAGCTGCTTGTCAAATCCAAAGAGGGTGGAGAGAATACAAAGAGGAAAGAGATGTAGGACATTTTTGATAATAGCATATGGCATGAAGCATGAAAAAAAATGTCAGAATCAGGGTTGTTGATTCAGATAGTTGTGCCAGTCATGTCTTGCCATAAGACTAGAAATAAATCTGGTTTTAAAAATGAAATTTCACAAAAACAGCCCTGGTCACAAGTCACTGTTCATATTCCAAGAAACTTAAAGAAAGCCAAAACATTTTACCACCATTTTATTTCACAAGACAATAATCACCTTTTTCCATCAAATCACACTAATATGCATGGTTCATTGACTGTAGATATATGTTACTAATATTTTCATTCTAACAAATTCTGTTTATATGTTTACATTTTCAAAATGAATGTTCGTTATGTGATAACTTGATCTATTATCACAAGAGCATATAAGATGAGATGATAGTTCTTATCAAAATGGCATGGGGCATGAGATGATAGTTTGTATCACAATGGCATGAGGTATGAGATGCGATAGTATTTATCACAATATGAGATGATAGTTTTTATCACAATACAAGATAAGATAGTTTATATCACAATGACATGGGGCATGAGATGATAGTTCTTATCACATTGGCATATCAGATGAGATGATAGTTCTTATCACAATAGCAAATCAGATGAGATGATAGTTCTTATCACGATAGCAAATCAGATGAGATGATAGTTCTTATCACAACAGCAAATCAGATGAGATGATAGTTCTTATCACAATAGCAAATCAGATGAGATGATAGTTCTTATCACAATAGCAAATCAGATGAGATGATAGTTCTTATCACAACAGCATGAGGCATGAGATTATATTATTTATCACAAGATAAGATAGTTTATATCATGTCTTCTGGATTTATGAGGGATGATTAAGAGGATAGTTTTGTCTAAATATTTGCTTTATCAGCAAATGGAGCTCAATTTCAGCTGTCTGTATCACTTTACAAAATGGACACTTGATATCTGTTTCTTCTTCAATAGAAGACAATTATATTCTCTCGACTGCATGTTATTTCATTTTCTTTTTCAAAGGCAGAAAATGATGAATTCTTTGTACATATGCCTAATAAATGTTCTTTGCACACTTGCATGACAGTTGTTGTAAATTTACTTGTTTAAATATGCATGAGAGAATTATTTATGGCCCACTTGCATGAAATGATTTGCATTAAAGCAATAAAGACATTCTTGGAACACAAATTATTTCAAATGAATTTGCACTTAAACTATGAATATGCTTCATCTTTAAAGATATAATGCAATATGTCTTCGTGTAATTTTTGAATCATTTAAAGGAATTATAGACAGATTTTCTAATCTTTGTGTGTGTATAGGGGACACTTTTAGCTTCCATTGGCACCAATCAATTTCCTGTCAGATTTTTATGGTTCCTGCAATTAAAAGAATTCATGACTTCACTATCAGAAATGCCATTTGAGTGATAGTGAAGTTATATTTGGTCAAGGTTTTTCTAGAATTACAGGACACATAGTTGTCAAATCAGAATGGTGCAAATGGATGCTGTAATACAAAGACTATAAAAACCCCTTTACAATCCCTTTAACAAAAAAAAAAATTATGAAATATTGGTGAAAATTTTTTTAAAATTTCCTTTGTAGATGAAGCATATTTATTGTTCTAAATGTATGTTATCTTGTAAATGTACTGTCATCTATTGTTTCTATCTTTTTCTCACTAATGCACAGAATCAACGAGACAGAAGAGTCAATTCTTTTAAAGAGAATCGGGCTGCTCGTAAAATACAACAAGGTTGGGCTGGATTCACTCACAGAAGAGATATGGATGATGTAGGTTTTTTAGTCCTTATTTTTATAATGATAACTGTAATATAAAGTCTCATTAAGACCTGCAAGTCTTGACAAAAAAAGGCCTACCCAAACAATATTAAAATTTTGTTTATGCATTAGGCCAGACCAATTTATACTCTTGTTTAGGGATCCTATTACTTCAATTTTCCAGAAATCAGAAGAAAAAAAAAAGGTCTGCTGGTAAAAACACAACCTTCATTTCCAATGAAAAAAAAATGATCATCAGAAACTCCCCTTGTTTTAAGCACAAGACAATATTATGGAATAAGCTTTAATAAAATATATTATTTTTGATCAAATCAACTCTTCTACTGAGAGAATAGGAAAATCCATTTCAATCCTGGCTTTTGTTCATTTTTTTTTCCCTACGGTTTTTCACACAAATTTGGTATTTTTTTCCCTACTGCCATTTTAAAACAAAAATCTGTCAAACAAGGAAATAAATTGGTCTAGTTTTATATATAAAATAAAATTTAATGTTTCAAAATGTTTGTTTGTATTTTTCTTGTGTTGACTATTTGCACCACCTCTTAGCATGGTTAGTCTAGTGAATGTATTTCTTTTCTTTGAAACTGTTGGTTTGTCTAAGTCAATTTTTTGTCTGTGTCCTTCACATGGATGGAGCCATAATTTTTATGTCAAATTGTGACGGACCTAATCCTGACAATCTCATCCCATTCTATTGAAGTTAATTTCATGCAATCAAAAGTAAGTGAAATGATGGAGTTGTACGTCCTACTTTTCTGCACCATGTTGGCTAATGAAGATGGGTGATGCCATGCAGTGTACAATGAGGGTACTTTTACCAGGACAGCAGCAAAAGCCTTTTTTTTCTCCAACTGTGGAGGAATATTTAACATGCAGGGCCTCTGTTTATTGTCCCATCTGATCAACTACCAAGCAATCAAAGCAGAGGCTGTAATATTGCTCTACTTTCAGTTTCACCATCCCATAATTCATCATTGAGCTAATAAGGATCAGATTATCATCTTAAACTTGGTTTGATGATATTTTTGATTGCTTGTTTTATATTATAGGCAAGTTATGTGATACAGGGTGCGTTAAAAGGACATAGAGCTAGAAAGAACAGATTAAATGATTACCATACAGAAGATTCTACAGAAGATGAATCATTAGATGATGCTGCTTATCTTATACAATCTAATGTTAGAGGTCATATGGGTAGAAAGAAAGCAATGAGAAATTTAAGGTATATTGTTCAATTCTTTTTTAAGTAGCTGCAAGAATCTGTAGCTGTTATATTCTATTTTCCCATGTTATCAACATCTTTATGATACACTATCTATGCTATCTTGAACGGGGTAACTAGTTTTGCAGAAATTGGGATTCAGCAAGGAGATGGTTGAATTGAAACTTGAAGTAATATCTTCTTTAAGAAAATCAATACGATTATATGGCATAAGGCTTTATCTATACTTTGAAGATTTCCCATTGCACTTGATAATATGATTTTTGGTAATATTACAGATATGACTCTACTGATGATGAAGATTATAGAGCATCAGTTAGAAGACCTTCATCAGGTAATGTTTTTATCTTGATTAAGGCCTACTATGAGGCTACTCAGGCAAGCGTAGTAGCGTAAAGGATGTCTGCATCAGATATCTTACTTTTATATACATGTAGATGATTTTCAGTAACTGCAAATTGCTAGCTTTAAGTAGAATATCAAGTCATTTATTCGACCTGTAATACATACTCGAAGTGCTTTTCCTATCAATATCAAATGAGTTTCAATTGTGTGCATATCAGGGCTGTTGATTTGCCAGTCATGACTAACAGGACAGCTCAAATGTCCGATGGTCAATATCCTTGTCGGACATCAAGCATAGGCCTGTGACTTTCCAAAAAAAAAAAACCTGTGCCAACTTCATACAGTTAACTACCAGGTCCAGTGCGCTGTATATGAAGTTATTTACAGGGTGAAGGTCACTTTTAAGGCTGTATTTGCTCTCTTTTTTAAGAGAGTTCAATTTTATTGTATTGTATTAATGGTCATATTCTGCTTATTTTAGGCATGGGAAGCAGAAATCAAATAGGAAGTAGGGTAAGTAGAGAAAATTATTTGCCTGTGATCTTAAAAGCCTAAAAAGCATATATACTAGTATTAGTATTTCGATGGATTTGAGTATTTTTTTACTTGTAAATTTCATGGTTGACACACGTTTATATGTTTCTTTTTTGTTTTGTTTTTTCAGAGAAGTAGCAGATCTCCGAGAACTAATTATTTCTCAGGACAATCTAATAGAAGTTTCCATGACGACGATGATTTTTAGAATCCATTTTTCTTTCTTGAATAGAACAAGGCACAAAATGGTGTCACTGTTAAGTACACACCTCAAATTTGAACTCTTCTTAACTGACACATATATAAATTATTTTGAAACTGCATTTTGTATGTATGAAAGAAAAAGATGATCTAGCGAAGAATACAGAAATACTACTGTAAAAATTTTGTTTTGAGGTTCTTTTTCAATAATAATGTGGTATACAAACAATTAGATTAATCAAACTACTTAGTTGAGATTTTTAAAAAGTTATGAAAATTAGTTCCCTGGAATATTCCTTTGATTACAAGGCCATGAAATTTAGTGCCCACAAAACTCAACTATGATAACTTTCAAATGAAACAATTACTCTTTCTTCTAACATGTATACAAATAGCTTTGCTCAAAACAAGTTACAATATTGTAAATTTGATACGTATATATTTATAGTTATAATTTATGTATATATTGCATATTTATTCTTTTTTTTTTATTTAAAACACCAGGTTTTTAAGGTGCCTTCAGAATTTCACAAGACTTAATTCTTATATTTATTGCATTGTACTTATATGATATTCCTTTTCGCTTTTTTCGAGAATATTTTTTTTTATTGCAATGCTTATTATGATGATGACAACAGATGGACATAGCATGTCCGACATACCTATTTGAGACGACCTTTGCTGTTATTATTTATAAGTTGTCTTCTATCTTCTAGTCTGAAGAGAAGGTGTGACAAGTTATGTAATTGTTACAGTAAAACGAAAACAAGCTTATATATGTGCAAATAGTTCATTAAACTGTTCGACACTTGGAACTTGTGATGCTCTTACCAAAATAATGTAAATCAAATTTGCATCAAGCTTTATTTGCTATTATAGCTCTGATAAAGCTTAATTTCAGCTATCTTTACCACTTTTCAAATTTGAAAATCTACTGTCTGGTTCTCTACAATTAAACAAAACTATACCAAGGCAGTATATACTATTATCACTTCCAGAACATAATTAATATTTTTCAATGCAGATTTTAGAATGTTACTAATGGATTGATGATTTTGGCTACATCTAAATTTATTTGATATGTTTTGTGCAAATATTTATTTGACTATGTCACTTTATTTAACCATCTTCATTATGAATATGACTATAATTGGCACATTATGACAATATTTACATCTGATATTAAAAAGCTGGTGTAGTAACCTCATTGCTATGATCTCTTGATGAATCCAAAACATTGTAGATTGTGTATAAACAAGTGCTGTTTACGTGTATTTATATAGACTTTATTTATAAAATGACATGTATATATTTTGTATATCCTGTGCCTTTGATATATTTACATTACTATTATGTATATTTACATTACCTTATGTATATATACATTACCTATGTATAGTAAATTTACTTGATGTATATTTACAATATTTATGTATATTTACATTACTTTATGTATATATGCATTACCGTATGTATGTTTACATTATTTATGTATATTTAGATTACTATATGTATATATACATTACTTTATGTATATTTACATTACCTTATGTATATTTACATTACCTTATGTATATTTAAATGAATTTTTTTTATGTATAATGTAGAGAGTTTATCTTTTAGTAGAAATTATATATGTGAATGTTGTCCGTCCAAATTCAACTCCAATTTTATTTATTATACATTGTTAAATTTTATCTTATTAAAAAGTAGGCCTACAAGTTTAGTTTGTTATTATAAATAACTTCATGGTATGAATTATGAATCATTCAGTGCAATTCAGTGAGAAACATTTAATTGATGAGAGCTTATCACATGCTACTGTCACATTTCAGATACACATCCCTCATCAGGAAAGCAAGTTTTGGCAGAGGATTTCTCTTTTCAAAATATTATAACTAAGCCTGAATATATATGTAAATAGTCTTCAGAAGAACTAGAAATGTACGAAAATCGCATTATTCCTTGAACAATACTTCAAACTAGGAATTTTACTCTTACTTGATGAGTCGTCATTATAACATTCAAACATGGAAAATTCTGGACACACATGGATTTGAAGGCTAAAATTTCAACTGAACTGTGAACACTATTACTGATTGGCTCGTTTCTGAGACTGAGTGTAATTGGTCAAAAATAATGGCCCAGCTGTCCTTTTAAGCTTTCTCAATATGCAGTGAAAAGAAGTTCAGACTATGTTATTTGAACAAGTAGTTGTGCTTCTGGATAACCTACATAACTGCATGATGTAGAAATTGAACCTTTTTCATATGAGGCACCAATGATGTCAATATATCAGGGCATCAAAATATTTTTCTGCCAAACATTAAAACATTTTAAATGGTAAGTAAATAATTTTTAATCATAAGGAAAATATATCACAATGATGCAAATCAAAATAATTTAATCACAACCCTTGAACACAATCACAAAATAAATAAACATCATTAAGAAGCTGCTGCATCGGCCAATTCACTATCATCATCGAAACTTTTAAAAGATTTCTGTTGCCGGGCATGTCTAATATATTTCAAGTCCTCAGCATACTGTTGTTCACGTAATAATTCTTTCCTTTGGTTTTCTAATTCTACGTTATGTTCACTCAAGGCTCGAGTTTTTTGGATTAATTTGAGTAATTCTCTTCTCAAGCGTCTATTTTCTGTTTTGATAGAGTCTGTATGATCTGTTAAACATTGCACTGCCTCCTGTAATACAACCAAACATTAATGTTAGAGATTATCATTCGTGTTATTTAAAGATAAGCATGTTTGATATGTGTGCACATAATGCTCCAAATCTTGATTCATCTGGAATGTGTAATTTGACAGCTTATGCCTCATCAAGTCATGATTCTTAAATCTAATGACTGATATTTTGTGCTACCTATTTCAATTATTTCGTATGCAGATCTAGATTTTTTATGTATAATTTTTTTTTTCAGGCTTCCAACTTTACCACTCACAATCTTAAGTAATTTTTGTTTAAATTGTGTCCAGTTGTATTTTGATCCACGAGCATAGTATAGTCTAACAAATCAAATTCACAGTTAACCTGATAAAAAAATCCTAGGAGCCGGTACTAATGATAAATAGAGCATTTGATTGGTTTGAATGTTTAATGACCTAGAACATGTGTGCATAACAATTTTGTCTGATCATGGATGGCAAGTGTAGTAACCCTCAGAATCATGAAGAGAAACATGGAGTTTAAGACATATTTCAATCTTAAAAGGGATACATTTTGCTGAATTTGGTCTCTATCATCTAGGCATTCAAATATTCAGATGTTTACATCTATACAAAATACCTTATTAGCCTTTTTCTCTAGAGTTTGAATTCTAGTGGTAGAATCTTCTTCATATTGTCTCTTCTCATCTAAAAATCTGGATTTTAAATCTTGAATTTTCTCAGAATGTTTCACTCTCATTTGCATCACTTCTCTTTCTAACTCTTTTATTTTATTTAATTGTTCTGTTTGTAGATTCTGAAAGAAAGTAAGAAATAGAACTTTATTTTCTACTTTTCTGCTCCTGGTTAAGACAATAACTGATTGCATTAATTATGGGTTTGTGCAGAAAGTGAAATTTTAAATGAGAAAGTTAGCAGTCTTTGCTTACAACTAAAGATCTATTCTATTCCCTATCAGCCTTGTCTTCTCGGTGACATTTCTTGATTCCTTGGGTGAGAGAGCTTTGTAGGGGCCACTAAATTACTAAAATATCAACAGTTCTTTCAGGCAATTCTTTCCATTATATACACATTGATAAAAAATCAACTTTTTTTCTTTCTCTGTAGATAAGCAGCTAATCTGCATCACTATCATTTATGAGACAAGAAACAAAGAATTATCCTATATGCTAATATTCAAGTTAGACATTGATCATCAAAAATAAAGCACATACCTTATATTCTTGTAACTCTAATAATTCTTGATTTGTTTTCTCTAATAAATGTTGTTTCTCTAATAACATACCTTCCAATGCTGAAAATAATTATAACAACTTTCATTGGTCTTATTGATAGAACCACTACAACACGCACACAAAAACACATGAAACTGAAATGAGACCAGCAAATCAAAGGCATCTTTGGAGCCAATCCTAAACATCCCCCTTGCTGCACAATCATGGGTCTGGTTCCACTCAGGTGTCTATTGAAAAGACATTTCTTGAAGCCTTTTGTGCAAATATATCATATCAGTAGTCTTTGTATGTCAAATTTATTCAAATTGAAAGGTAAAACTATCCCCTGTAGCTAGTGTCAAACTGTCAAAAAATCTCAAAGCCTACCTTGTTTCTTGTCATCATATTCTTGTTCCATCAACTGTTTTTCTAACTTAATATTTTGTATTTGTTGTTTATTATGATCACTTAACGTTATTATTGTTGTTTGACGTTTGCTGGTTTTCTTTTCTATATAACTCATATATTCATGCTACAAAAAAACAAACAAATAATAAGCATCTTTGAATTCCAAGGTATGCTATTAAACATTATTATTGAACAACATATGCTATGCTATTGTTGAGCTGTGTGATTCATGCTCTGAAAACTAAAAATAAGTGTAAACTTTTAAGTCTAGGCTTATCATTAAAACAAAAGTAGTAGATGTAAATACTTACACTTTCAACTCTAACTTTTTGTGCCTCTTGTTGCAACCAATCATTTTCCTGACGCCTAGAGGTTAAGTTAAGGAAATATACGCACAAGAAAAAATAAACCAGACCTAGGGATTTTAGGTTGTAACATTGCGGTTAAGCACAGGCACAGGCATGTAGGTGTAACCTCTAGTGATAGAGCAATGTTTGTGAAGTTAGACCTAGGGCTAGGCTTGGTAGGCACCATGATTCTTGTGTCAACTGGTAGTTCTAAACTATTCAATATGTATCTAAACAATGCAAAATACATGTATATATCAACACTGCACATCAAATATTTATATTTATGGCGCAAATGAAATTAAATGTCTATCAAAGGATACAATTCATCAACTCTTTTCCTGGCATTATCTAAATCTTGAGTAACCTTTTCAAGCCTGAAATAAATACAGAATCATTCAGTTTATCCACTATCTCAATTTATAGCGCTGAAATTTTCAGAGTAAAGAAGAATCAACAAGTTACTGAACAGAGAAACTGGACTAGTAAAAATGTAAATATAAACATGATATTGATAGACTACTTACTCTTGTTGCAATAAAATTTCTTTTTCAGTGAGTTCTGGGGTTTTAGGGCGTTCACCTGATGGTGTTTCTGAATCTTTTCCCTTTTTCTTGCCCTTCTTACCCTTGTCTTTTTTCTTGGGTGGCATTTTTAGTAGTTCAAATATAGAAATAAAAAATATTTATGATTTTGTCCACCATTGATGATGCGTGACCATAGAAACGACCGGAAGTTAAAAACAGCAGGTACTTGTTTCGTATTTCGCTGTACGTAAAAAATACTTACAACTTACCAATTCAGTATGTATCAAACGTATAATTCAAATACAGAATTTAGCAAAAATTCAAGATGGGATTTACTTGAAAATATTTGTTATTTTCTCCAAACAGAAATAAAATTCGAAATCAATTAATATCAATTTCAAAATGGCTGGTCCCGGGAAAGACGAATCTTCTAATGTCAAAAAGGCTTCTAAATCAAAACCTGGGCCTTCATTAGATGTCACGTCTGTGGAATTCAATCCATTAGAAGCTCTTTATTCACCAGAATGCATTATACCTCATCCACAAGTTAGAGTGTTTAAAAATGTATATGAATATGAGCGTTTAACTTCGTCTGATGAAAATGCAACTGATCCAGAAAGTGTTCAAGATGAACTTAAAAGGAAACAGCCTGGGACTACAAAAACCAAGACTGGCGGCCCAAGTCAGTTTCGAAAAGAGGGAGCGGCACCAAAGGGAATGAAAGAATCTACTCAAACAGAATCTGATAATTCTAAGAAAGAATTTAAGAAACCATTTGTATTAAGAAATATTCTAACCAGAATGGAAAAAGGTATTAGTATTAAGCTTAAATAAACTCTTGTTAGTTTGCAATGTTTATTATGAATTCACGTTTTAAGACAATGGTAGGTTTAAGCCAAGACTCATTACATTGAATTGATTTGATTTTGACAACTTGAAGCCTTTTTCAGTCAACTCATTTTAAATTCATGTCTATTCCAATAAAATCTTTTGTTTTAGCATTGATATTTTTTAAATATCAATTCTAATCTTTTAGTGATTCTCATCTTTTTTGCTTACAGAGGAGTTGGCAGGACCATTAAGTTTGTTACAGCAGTGCTTAATGAAGAAACATAATGTAAGAGTTTGGACAAGAAGTGCAGTTAATATTAGAGGTGTTTGTCGTGGCTATATAGTAGCTTTTGATAAACACTATAATTTGGTAGGTATTGGCATTGTCTTTTTCAGTTTTCTCTATTATCTGCCAATGTCTTATGAATTACCTGGTTTATCATTTTAGTATGACTCTTGCTGGCAGACATCTTCATTCTAGTTAAACCAGAATTTTGGTAGAGGAGCCTTTGACATCAGGCTTTAAATTAATTTCTAGATTTTCAATGAAAATGTTGCTTTATATGTGATTTTGTGGCACTTTTGGTGAAACATTTTAAGAAGAAATATTCTCACATTTACTCACACAATTTATTACAATTCTACTGGAAATTGTCAACTTATGGATTGATGTTTTAGGCCATGATAGATGTGGATGAAGTTTATAAAAATCCCAGATACACCAAGATTCAGAGACTAAGGGTGAGATATTCTGATTTGATTTAATTGAACCAAAACTGACAACCTGTGTCATTGTTCAAGTGGAATCTTGCAGTTTTCCAATGATAGATTTGAATACTTTAGTATTTTACGTTGAAGACAGCTCTTATTTATATGCTAATTCTTATTTTCAGGCTAAGAAAAAAGCATTAGAAGAAGCTGAAAGAGAAAAGCTTGCAGATGCCACTAGTACTTTGTCTATCAAAGGTTCAGTGCACTCTAGACTTGGACCTAGAGTAGAAACTGGAAGCGCAAACTCTCCTTGCAGAGATCCAAGATCTATTAAGCCTAGCTCTGCATCAGTGGAAAATCCTAGCAGGGATCCAAGATCTGTGCATCGACAGAGCTCTATGTCAAAGGACAGTCCTAGTAGAGATCCAAGATCCTTTCAAAGGAAGAGTATTGTGTCAAGTCCTAGTACACCTAGCTCAAGAGACCAAAGCTGGAGTTCTGCTCAGCAGTCAAGGTCAGATTCTCAAGGTCGTTCTCGGCATCCCTCAGGAACAAGGAATCCTGTATTAATATGTGAATCAGTATTTTTAGGTATACATCCAGAAGAATTGTTATATAGACATGTTAATCAGTTATTTATTAGAGGAGACAATGTTGTTAGTGTTAATATTATATCTAGTTGATATTAAATTATTATTCAGCAAGTGATTTATCATTAATAATGGAAAACTTGATATGTGTGAAGTGTGAACCATCAAAGACATGGTTCCAAACTAATAGTACTATCTGGAACATCTGGCCAATTATGCCACGATACATATCGCAATACAGGGGTTACAATATCTATCAGACCAATGGTTGTAGTTAATTTGAAGATGAATTCATAGGGTCACATATTTTTGCTTCTGTATCATGGGTGCATGTATCAACATCTTGTTCAAGACCGTTTTCCTTCCACTAAAAATAGGACTGGGCAATGGAGGAGATTTTATATAAAAATAAAAACAAAATTTCACAGACAAATCGTATTTATTTTTTTAAAGGTTTTTTTTTCATAATTTTTTAATTTCTGGCCACCCTTAACGGTACAACTGTGTCCCTTTTAATAATATATGTACATTAATTTATATAAGTGTCATTTGAAAGTGACAACTTATAATAAATTAATTGGCCACAGTTGTACTAGGGTTTTAACGATACCTGCTGTACAAATATAAACCTCTCTGGGAAACAGTATGACGTTTCAAACAGAGTGATTTTTTATCGCAGTTTATCACTTATATCACATTAATCACATGGAACCAGTCCAAGAATTAATATAAATACACAAGAGATGGGAAGCCTGAATATGCCGAGTGATTATGAAACTTGTGAACGAAAATGACAAAATGTTTTAAAGGAGTACACTGACAAAATCTTACAATTTTAAACAAAGACAAGTTTTCATTTTAACAACCAAGAAGGCAGTGACATACTTAATTTGGTATTCATTTAAAAAATGATTGAAAGTAAAAATCTTTTAGTCCAAAAATAAGATCAATAGCAAAATTGCGAGTTTTTTTCACACATTTCAAGGCATTGGATTGTCAAAAAAAGAGAACCTTTCTTGATTAAAAATATAAAATTTTGTGAACACATTCCTTTAAGTAACTAACAACTAAAATGATATGAGATTGGTTGCCTCCTACACAAAGTCCTCAAGTCTTCCAGCCAAGGAACATCTTATATCAAGCAAAAAACAGAAAATATTCAAATACTAAATCAAATAGCCAAGGCATCAAGTTACTTTACAATTTTAAAAATATGAAATCATAATCATTTCCAGTTATAATTCTTAAATATTTCAGTATTGGACTTAAATTGGAAATCTGTGAAAAGCAAAATGTTATGTGACAACAAGGATTAAGAAATTGCTGCCAGTGCCTGTCATTTCGTGGATGAATTGAAACCATTCAAAAAGAAACTTTCATGCATGGATGTAGTAGTCAAAATATTTGTCTTATTAGAAGATAAGAACACAAATTCATTTATCCATAGCACTTTTCAGAATAGAAAACCTTAACATGCATGGATGTAAATTAAATTTTGCTTACAACAAAATACCATTCTATGAAAGGGCAATTCAATATATGCACTAAGTATAATAGTGTACAGAGTGCACTTATCAAAATGTCATGGTATAAAAACAAACTGTTACAGAACTTAGAAATAATGTTCAAGATTTCTGACAGTATTACTTTCAGTATTTCACAATAAAAACTATGAGAGGAAATGAAATATGTGTGAAATTTATTTTGAGATTCATTCACTCACTGTATACAAACTGTACATTCTTTCACACAAATACTACAAATGAAATATAATGAAATTTACATTAGTTGCTTTTAGAGTGAAATACTGAATGAAATATTGTGAAAGCACAATTTAGGTAGCACATCATTGTAAAATGCTGAAATTTTACATGAATTATTTTTGCTGCTTTGCCTTTTGATAACTATTTCAGTAGACTTATTGTTAGGTGGGCATTTCTTAGATATTCCAGTCTGAAAATTGAAAGCTGAAATTTAGCTTTATCAGCTTGAAAAGAAATTATTAAACTGAATAATCCCTTCAAAATTTTCAAATTACAATACCCTAACTGTACCCTTTGAACAGAAGGTTGGAACCAAATGTTTAATTTATTAATATTGCCAAGTTTGGAGTAAAATACTGATAATCCATTCATAACTAATACCCATACAAAACTATGTATGGTTCTTATAATGAAATAACACAAACAAACTTAGTTCATAGCTATTTTGAATCTTTATCTCAACTTAAGTCGAGGTAAGATTCAAAATGGCTGTGAACGACATTCGTGTGTGTTATTTCCTTATAAGAACCATACATAGTTCCATATGAATTAATACCATCATGTTTCTATCTAATTGCACTTCAATATCCAGTTTTATATGCCTATTACATCTGATTAAAGCTGCAAATATTTTGGCTTTTGACTGAGAATCAGTTTTTGAAAGGAGTAGGAAATTTGCAACGTATAATGAATTGCATTGCACTTGTACAAATTCAAATGAAAAATAAAATAGTTTCAACAAAATCTAGTAAAGTGAAGGACATTTTTTTTTTATTCCTAAGCTATGATACTAAGCTTTCAGAGGCTGTATCCAGCTTTCAAAGAGATAATTCCATCATTCTTAGACAAATTTGTGAATGCAACTATTCTATAAATATCCTTGATGCAAAGACATTTATAAGCCAATTCATTCAACAGTCTTCAATGAAATATCACAAATTACAGTCTATTTTAGCACTATTATCTGATACTTCATAACAAAAAAAAAGAAAAGAAGAAAATAACAAATTGCATTTCATAGTAATAACAGAGGTATGCTTTAATAATAACAGAGGTGCCCTTCCATCCTTTCTCATCTTGTGAAGGTATCAAAATTCACAGAAAACTATCATTTTTTCAATGCTTTCACTAAAATTTGGATATTTTCGGTTTCTTCTACTGCTTCGACAACTTAAAATTATTAATCCTAAAATGTTCTCAAACACAGTAAGGAAAGATTCAACTAAGCATATATTGAATAATATTTAAAAAAAAAAACATAGTAAAATCCTCAAAAACAATGTTTCTGGAATTTTTCTTTGTGGAATAACAGGAATCGCAGAAAAAGGTGGGAAATCACAATGGTTTAAATTCAAGCTAGAAGTATTCGAGATAATTATACAAATCGTTATTTGAATCCTTTTAATATTGGCCAATAGATTTATTGAATTTATCAGAAACGCTTTTCCGTACAGCTTTTATTTTCATGAAAGCTTTCAATATATGCTTAGCCTTAAGAACACTGAAATCTTTCCTTAATAAACTAAGCAGCACTTTGTATTAAATCATGTTGGCCACATGATTTCGTATCATATTTTTCCAAGTTCACATGACAAAATGAAATGTTTTTTTGAAATTTAATTTGTTCACACGATGATCTTGGACGGTAGTTTACACCAGATGTCTTGACTGGAAAGAAAATGGAATTTTGAGTGGTGGCTGGCTTCTTATTTTAGTTCAAAAACTCTCCTGTGAACATCATTGCATTGAGATCCAAAGAACATAAAGTACTCAGCATAAAGCTATCGTCCATCTTTGAGTAGTGTTCCACAACAAACTGGCTCGCGTGAACAGCAGTTGTTTAAACCACATCAATTTAGGATGGCAGATCCTTAATCACATGTATTCAAGTCAATACTAGTTTAAGTCCCGATCTTCTAAATATCGGTATTCGAAAGTAAAACCCTCCTTTTTCCGTTGGCCCCATTTCTCGTAATCGAAAAAAAGGTATGTGCCCTGAAAAGATAAAAAAAAATTTTTTTAAAACAAATATTCATTTAGATAATTGGTTTTCAACCCAAATCAACTGCAACTGGCTGTATTCACATACATTCCAACTAAATCACTGCATTTCCAAACTTCAACGATCTACAAGAAAGGTGGCTATTGCAGTCAAGGTATAAGACAAAGTTTATAATAGCTTGACATTTCAAGAAAATATGCCCACATAAAACTTGAAGATGTCTCACCTGCTCAAAGTCTTCCGTAATTGTTTTTGGTTCTTCATGCCGCTGAAACCACATCATGTACTTCGTGTGGAACCGCCACGATTGCTTCTTTAATGCTTTAGCTGCCAAATATTGAGCCTTTGTACCCTGTAATGCATCATTTATTTATTAGAAATGTGTTTAGCTTTGTAGTTATGTGTATACAAGTTTTGATGAACGAACAGCACAGATTTCAGATTTCAGATTGAGTTTCCCTTAACACTTTTCAGAAAGAAAATAGGATGAAGAGTTGAAATCGTCTACAATATAAGCTTCACATTTAGATAAAGAAAAGGCAATAAGTAATTACACAAAAAAAAGATTATTTTTTTTCAAAATTGGAAACCATCTGATAATCAGTAGCCATGGCAACAGAGAAACCATTTAAACAGTTAGACCTACCTCCATATAGTAAAATATAAAGAAGAGTGTCTCTGTTGACAATCTAGTAAAGAAATCGACAGAATCTGCGTGGGGTGGCGGGAGTTGATAATAATATGATGGTGTTGGAAAAGGACAGCGTGGCAGGTAATGCCTGAAATACAAGATGTAGGTCCATATTTAAACTCTGTATGACAGACAAGGTAAACAGCATTAAATGGAAACTAATGTTTAGGCATTTTTGTAAATGTCTCGAAAATATTTATGCAAGCTTACATGTAAACCATTCTGAACAATTCAAACTGCAATATAAGTATATTTGGACATCCATTTTTTAAGTATATTGGGGCATGGTTTAAGGTGGATCATTTTTGAAAATAGTATCAATGAAGGCGAAAGTAGCAAGCATTCTATGTCCTGTTCAACAGGTTTCCCTAAACTTTCCCTTCACACGATATTCCAGAAGGGTGCCCTATTTTCTGACACTCAATTGAACGTACCGTAATCTCTCTGAATCTGAAGGATGAGGCAAATGTTGATAGGCAGCATCTAACATTGTCAACTGATACAAATGATCTTTTACTAGTGGAACGGGACCTAGTGGTGCTACCCCTAATAAAGGATTTAACTGTATGGTTGTTGTTTGTTGCTGTGATTGAGATGCCGATGGCGGTTGTAATGAGGGCAACATAGACTGTTGTTGTTGTTGTTGTTGTGACTGTAATGAAGCTAACGATGGTGGTGGTTGTTGTAGTTGTTCAGGTGATGGTGCTGTTGGTTGTGGAGGGGCTTGAGATAATGGAGTGCTAAACACATCTAAAAATAGATTCATTCAGTAATCAATTGTTGGTATTACATAGAAATATAAGCAAAAATATTTGTGCACATCTGGGTCTGCACAATACATGGGCAGTCGTTATATTTTGGGTATGATTATAGGTGTCTCAGTACCTAAGCTGTTCTGGACAGCCTGAGCATGCCCTGCTTTTGTACCAACATTTCTATGTACTATGCTATAAATGTTCTAAAAAATATATATTACTTGTTGATTCTGTTTTGACACCATCTGCAGAAGAAATCTTACTCTCAAGACCTGCGTTCTTAATAGCTTGTTGTGCCATCGACTTCAAAGAAGACGTCTCCTAAAATAAGAAAATGAAATAAATACACAAGCTCAGAAAATGTTATTTGTGTCAATCCCATCTTGATCTGATCTAAATCTATGCTCCTTGATTAAATAATTGACCAAATTTAGCACAAGGAGTCTTGGTTTATGGCCATGTCTGAAATACTGGATGACTTTTCAATGTCAGCTTCTCTGACTTGCAGGCCCTTAGCTAGACTTGATTGTTTGGGGGCGCAAGTAATATATCTGGAAATCAGATATTGTGAGTAATGGAATGAATCAGTTCTCAGAATTTTTTCAGGGAGGCCCTGTATCTACAGACCTACTGACTTAATACAGGGGACCAATAACAGGGGAAGATGAAAGACTTGTGATCAAAACCTGATAATTTAACTTTTGAACAAAATACTTAAAGCCTACTTACTTTAAACATATTGCCAGCACTAGAAGGACCATTCATCACTGGCAAATCACTATTTATAGACTGGACTGTATTCACCATTGAATTACTGATAGAGTTATTAGGTAACGCCGAAAACATACTGGAGGAATACAACGGTGAGGGAGCAGACGGCACCGAAGGATTTCCCGAGGAGGTTAATAAGGAGACAGAACTACTTGAAGAAACAATGGTGCCATTTGTCGTCGTTGAACTGTTATTCACTGCTGCATGGTCTATTGAATTGACCTGAGGCTTTGAATCTATGAGGAAAAAAATCACATTTTTAACTTTAGACTAATAATTGACATTGAAATCATTATATAAATACAAGCCATATTTACCAAATTGTAGTCATAAGCTTTCTGAACAGGAGACTGATCTGTCAAAACCAGTCACTCAGTGGCTCGAGGTCATTCAAAATGGTGAACCTGTTCTACCTCAATAGAGACACCAGCCACATGTTTACAAGAAAAGTACCATATTATACATATTCGAAATTATTGTAATCACTCAGAATATCTGAAAGCGATTGTAAAGAGGTTTTTCTATAATTTTCATGTGTATCGCCGACACTGATAGCATCAATTTGCATCATTCCAATTTTCGATCCAATACACAGGCAGACGTCTGTGGTTCCTGCATTTCCACTAAAACTAATGTTTGATAATGTCACTAAGGTAAAGGTAAAGGTCCTAATGTTATAAACCGAATTGTTAAATTGCAGGAACCACAGACGTCTGACTGAATATTGGAATGGTGCAAATTGATGCTATCAGTGTCCCAGATACACATACAAAATTTAAAAAAAAAATTTACAATCCCTTGAACATTCATTGAACTGACACCATCCTTATAAATTGACTGAAGGAATGCAAGAAAACCACCTTTAAATTTCTGTGACTTTCCACAACTTGAATAATTTAGTGTATGACTGTTTTACCTAAAAATTCTTAATAATATTCCACCGAACATGAACAGTAAGAAGTAGACAAGCATCAGATTTTTATCAAAAGCTAGCCGTAAAAGCTTAAATTCAAATTCTACGAAGATTGGTTACATTGAACATTTGAAAAAGTGCAGTGACCAAAACCTCAAAAAAAGATTTAGCTAACAGTATATTAAAAGAAATAACAACTGACTATGTTAAAGAATTTAAATGCTTACACTAGTCAAATAGGATTATTTTGTAACAAAAGCCAAATACTATTCAATACATTAAGCAAAGAAGCAGATTGAGATGAGCATAGACTATTGAAAAACCTTGAAATTTTAAGTACTTAACCTTTTGAACAGTCTAATTAAAATGAGACCAAACTTTGGTTAGCTGGTTGTTTCATTAGCTTTTATTTTCAATATAGCCACTTCAGTTAGGGTCTAACGACAGCCTTCTAGAACCTCGATGATCTCTGCCTTAACCAATCAAATTTCTGGCCACTCCAGCACTAGCACGTATAACTCCATTCGTTTCATTTCATTTCTCCAGCACTAGTATTTTATGATGTGTTTATCAGGTTAGGTCAAAAGGTTAATTTGACAAACTTTCAAGAGGGCTGTTGTTAGACCCTAACTGATGTGGCTATATCAAAACTAAAAGCAAATAAAAAACGGAACGAAAGTTTAGTTTAATTAGACTGTTTTTTGAAGTTTGAGTTGAAATGAGAGAGTCAATTGTTATTCCTTTGCAAAAATATCATGCAATGAAACGGCTGTCAGAGCTAGCTTACCGTGGGTAAAGTTATTCTGTGGGGCTGAATTACGATGCCACACAGACGAAACGGAATTAGATAATCTTGGCGGAGTACCTAAAATACATAGAGAGAGAGATAGTGGTTGATAAGGAGCACCACTACAGAGCCGAAAAACTATTCACCATTCCTAGTGTTGGGTGTTATAGAAGATACTCTCCTATAAAAGCACTAGCCAAGGTCACAAGAAGAGAACCTAGTCTAAAATTAAGAAAAGATCTGTTTATAAATGTACCACTTTGAAGAAATACATTTTGGCTTAAATTATTTAAGCAAGCGTTAGATAATTACTTGCAACTACCTGGGAAAATTGAGGAAGAGGAAATTATATTCTACAAAGAAAAGGGAGAAGAAAGGAACTTGTTTGACTGTATAAAAATTTTATTAGGTTGGCATTATTAATATGACTAGTGTTAAATTTCTTTTTTATATTATATTGATTTTTCCCATATATATCCTTTCAAATCTGTTCAAGTTTTAATAATTCATCCCAAAAATATTATTGCCACAAGAATAGTATCATATATGATTATGTTCAAGTGGACATATTTCAATATTGTTTCAAGTGGATATCACAAAATTAAGCATCAATAAGCTTATATCACGATATGGGTATAGATATATTGTGATATTTATTAAAATTATGGTTTTTACTGGTTTTTGAAACAAAATAGGTTTTTTTTCTAGGTCACCCCAGTCTTGAACATCATGAAAAAAAAATTTGTTTCAAATATTAAGTTACTTGTTAAAATTGTGTAGATGATCTTATCTGGACAAAATTTTTATGATATATCACGATAACTACCATTATATCAAGATATGGCCATATTTCGTTTTTTTCAATCAGGCAATATTAACTAACAATATAAATTCCTTTACTGGTACCAGTATTTATCGTGATACATAGCCTTAAACATCAGTGACAATTTCCAATACTTCTATTAAGATATAGTTGCATTAATTACCTACAGAGAGCCAGAAATTGGAAAATGCCTAAGCTTATATAGTTAAAGCTCTATAAGAGATATTGGTTAGTATTGAATAATTACATGCTATTTTAACAGATCATGCATATTTGTTACATATTAGATTGTGATGTATAAAATAAGTTAATATGTGTTTTTAGTATTCAATGTCCAAAGAAGAAATTTTGAAGGATACATATTTTTTTAAATCTTATCCTGACTGAAAACATTTCTTAGTCAAAGGCATTGAATACTACAGAAAGGTAAATAATCAGAACATTATAACATAAAGCAGGACTTTTTCATCGGTTGCTGCTGCATTGATAAATTCTCAATTGATTTTGAGACTTGCTTTGATTTCATGATTTGTAATGATTTTGTAATTGCCAAACCAAGTCCAACTCAAAATCCAAATGTCTCTAATTTTAACTCTAAATTAATATTCAATTGATCAATCAACAATTAGGAAAAGCTTGACATGCTTTTGAAATTGACTGCATAATTACAGAATTAGTACCAGTATTTGCAAAGAACCCCTGAAGTTGCAGCTTGCAGAATTCAATTTTCAACAGACAAAAAAATAACTGATTTATGTTATAATATTTTGACTAAATGGAAATAATATTAGCATAAACTGGTATTAACTATAATGATATACTATGTACTATAGAGTACTATACCTGTCGAGTTAGTTGATTGACCACTGGCCGATAAAGCAAATGGTGTAGATGGTGGCGTCACATGATTGTGATTACTATTTGACGTTGTCACTATCGTCGTACTGTTTTCAAAATTTTGCACTAAGTTACTGAAAAACAAAAGAACAGAGCTTATAAACATCACTTCCAATCAGAACTTAATCTAAAAGAAATTTACATACAGAATATTAGTCAAAATCGTACAAGAAAGCTGCCATGCTAACCTTTTGTCTACTCAGTCATTTACGTCATGTCAACCGCTGATAGGTCTACACAGTGTAGAGTAGACAAGATTTATGGTCAAATTGTGAACTAACCGCCAGTTGAAATCAATCTAATATGCACTTCACGAATTGAACAACATATGTTTTGTTTATTTATTGCAAACTTTAGCTTGATCGGTGAGGAGTTAAAATTGAGAGAATTTTCTCTGCCATTTTCTTGAAAGAGAGCTAATCGGCTGTTAAGTTGTCATGGTCAAGGTCACGAACTTTCAAAGAGATTGTCATCCAGTATCTTGATGTGTTGGATCCTGTATACAGTGTCCATTTTTTTTACTTACAAAATACATTTCAAATAATGACTTCTCAACAAAAATTCCCCACCCCACCCCCATTAATTATCAAGATTTTTTTTTTCTCTAGGATAAGATCAAAAACAACATAAAATGAGATTCAAAATACTTTCAATTCACTCCAGAAATGTGTTCAATACGCACTTTTAAAATTTTACAAACTTAACAAATATTTCCTTGTATTTCATCAGCACATTAGATTTCAATCAGCCTATGACACCAAGTCCAACCAAAAATATATCTAACACATTCAATAAGGCATATTCAAGCAAATTTTCACAGTATCTCACCTTAACAAGGTCTACAAAATCACACCCAATTCTATACCCAATTGACAATGTTGTGTTTATCAACATCTGATCAAAGGTCACAGTTTAAAAGTGAAAGTTACTTTTATACATCATTTAAAGACTGCTTACATCAAAACTGTCCAAATTTCATGTAGTGTCATCAATTTTCAAGATAACAATCCTATACTTGAGTTACAAGCTAAATAGGGAAACTTATTTGGAGCAACAGAAGCCAAAAGAAATCTATCTTTTTACCAGGAAATTTTTTTCTAAGGGGGATAACTCTCAACTTGTTTACTTCCTTATTCTAAAAATAGCTCTCTGACCTATTTTCATTGTAAACATAGTTCAGAACTGAAGGTAAAAATTCAATTCATATCACTATCCAAGTTGAACTTCATTCAAATTAAGCTGAATCGGAAATTAAGAGTACACAAAGTTTAACCCATAAAAACCTATTTTAGTATATATTCAGTTTCAGGTCATGCTGTTTCAGGGTTTGATATTTATAACACAATTACCACTGATTTTAAAGGGAGAGGGAGAGGTTGATTTGGGTGTTGAATATAATGTAAATAGTCTTGAGAAGTACTAGAAATGCTAAAAAAAATTGCGATTTCCTTCAAAAATAACACAAACTAGGAATTTCACTTTCGATTTCAATATGGTATGTCTGAGTTGCCAAGAAATGATGAGTCGTCATTTTAACATTCTAACACAGATAATTCTGGACACACATGGATTTCGACAAATTTCGATGGTGAGCTTGTAAACACTGTTACAATTTGTGTTTCTGAGACGTAAGTAAAATTTGTCAAACAATTAGCAAAACTGTCCCTTTAAGCTTTCCAGCATGAAAATAAACATCAGTTTAAATAGGAAACATTTTACTGAATGCATTTATGGAATAATTACTTTTGGAGAATATAAAATACAATGTTTCAGGAGGTTGTTGAAAGCAAAGCCGATCTAATCTGCCATGGAAAGGTACATTACAAATCCTTTCATTTCTTTCATAAGCAGTACCAAGCATTTGCTACAAATGTTCGAGAATTATTTTTTTAAAAAAACAATCAAAGAATCATAATTTTAGCTGGCAATGATAGGTATAATTTGAGTGTAATGCTGATTTAAGCATTTTTGCTTTAAGAGCTGCGGTGGCTAAGTGAGTTAGACGCTTGCTTGATAACCTATCAGGGCTCAATCGGCAAAGGGTGAGATGAACTCTGGGATTTTCAACCGGGTTTCCTTGTCAGTAATGCAGGGCAGTGGGACTGACAATAAAAAAGCGTCTAGTCTTTTAGATGGGACAGTAGACCGAGGTCACGTGTGCTACAGGCTGTGCATGTTAAATATTCCTTGACAATTGAAAATCGAAAAAGAGTAGGCTTATGCTGTCCTGGCATGATTTCCCTTGTTGGCCACTGAATGGCATTTCCTGTCTTCATTAGCTCATTAAGTTCCATTTCATTGCAATAGCTTATTATAATTCCCAATCTTCTTTAATTGCATATCTAGTTGTTTATTCTACAGGTTATCATTCCGCCATGATCTAACGTAAACCTTTGTGAAATCATGCTCAGTTGAAATTTGCACAATATGGCCATAAGTTGTCTTAATTCATGCCAATGCATTAAAAAAAAAACATTTAAAATAGATCTGACAATACAATTTAACATATTAACTATGAATATATCAAAATACATCACATATAGTTAACAGAGCATTTGATTGGTAGAATATTAGATGACCTAGAACATGAAATGCATAATAATTTCTTCAGATTATGGATGGAAAGTGGAGACATCCATAAAACAAATATTTAGATTTACATTTTAATCAGTTGGCAGAAGTCTTGTTAGAAAAACATTAGGTAATCTACATTTGAATAAAACCTCGCTAAAAATATTTGCACCAATAGCTTCATTTCTCTCTTTCTGACCAAATTAAGCTTTAAATCAGTCACAATGGAGGCGCTTGATTGGAGAGCTATGAACAGGTTTTGTCTGTTACAATTCTGCCCCTTATCAAAGGATATGAAAGCGGATATAACACATTCAAAATATCTCATCCATTTCTTTCTCCGCCATTTTGAATTCTGTCTGCATCTACCATTTTTTCAGCACACTTGGAACACGTTCTCAACTCTGTTGCAACTTTTTTTTATTGAATTACTGTTGATTCCAGAAATCTTTAATTGAGCGGGGGCTCCCATAAGTCCCATAAATTAGACAATTGTAATCCATCCAATTCTAATGACTTTATTTTTAACCAATCAAAGGGTGTAAAGACTCCTTCCTGATAACAATTTAAATTGTGGGAATCAAAAACCAAAGTAAAGTAATATGACAACCACTTTGGGAACGTGATTCCAAAATTTGTCATTATTATCAGGAAACAGGAATTTCTGTCTTCTCTAAAGCGGATTTTGTAATGCATTCAATGTCTTATGCTTCTGGGAACGCAACTTTTGTTTGCATCACAAAATCCAAGTGTCGGAGAGGACAGAAATTTAATTTGCTGGTGGTGTCATCAAACTGACATATGTTCAAGAAGGCCGTCTTTAGACCCTTATTACAGTGGCTATATCAAAAATAACATACGAACGTTTGGCCAAATATTCATTTGAGTGAGTAAATTTTAATCTTTATTTTAATCAAATTAACCTAACTTACCTATGTTGGCTCTGTTTAGTGGGGGTGATCTGTACTTTGTTTGGTAATGATATAGTCGGACTTGATTGTTGATTGTTTTTATTTTTCTGTAAATATAAAATAAATTGAAATTTATATGAAAACTCACTTATTATGTAAGCTATTTCAGAATTAATAAATATTGTATTATGAAAAATTTAATAAACAATTTAAATATAGTTACCTTTTCTGCTTGAGAGTTATGCCGTTTTCTATCATTTTCCTCTTTTTCCTAAAAAAAACATTTTTTTAAAAAAACTGTTACATTTTCAGTTTCATCCACAACTTATAATTTTAAACACTGAGCAAAGTACTTTTGTCAACAAGTCTAAGTTTTAAGATAATTTGTGCTTACTCTTTTTTTTTGAAGACAACAAAGAAATGAAGTCAATTTTTATGATTTATAGTTGCAGGGAAACGGTTAAAGATCAGATTCTTTCAATAATATCCTCCTCAACATCAGTGAATACTGCTTTAAACCTGGGCCAGTGCCTTCTGTTGAATTGTAATTTGTACCCTTTTACCACCCTTGGCCTTATCTCTATGACATACAACATATTTCTCCCTAATCCATCAAATACTGCTGTAAATGAGTAGTGATTATCACTGACTGACAAAGTGCTGAAATGATAATCACTATTAGATACAGGTATTTCTTACCATGGAATGATTGGCTATAACACTCGGACTAGGTGATGGTGAGCTAGAGTTTGTAGAGGTTGGAGTTCCAGTAAGTATGATGTCATCAGATGGTGGTGATGATGCTAACAGGCCTGTAATTAACAATCAAATAGAAACAATTAAAGGAACTGGTTCCCCATTTTCAGGGGTTGATTTGGGTCTCGAATATACATCAATAGTCTTCAGAAACACTAGAAATGTACGTAAATTACATAATTCCTTAAAAAAAACTATTCAAACAATGAATTTCACTTGATATTTTTATATCTTTTCTTTCTATTTATGACAGTATCTCGAGAAAAGACAAGTCATCTTTTTAACTTTCAAGCGCAGATAATTCTGAACATCAATGGATTTGAAGGCTCAAATTTCTATGGTGAGCTGTTATCACTGTTACTGATTAGCTTAGCTAAAAAATTCCTGTTTCTGAGACTAAGGTACGATTGAGAATAAGGCACGATTGGTTTCTGAGGCTAAGGACCAATCAACACAATGAGATTGAAAAAATATTTCTATTGATTCAGGGGACAAATATTACCATCATCATATTTTTAGGGCGCTTTGATGTATTTCATAGATATTTGTAAATAAATTTAGACTATAAACCACGAGGCATGGTTAACAACATTTTCACCATGTCAAGCTCTCTCCAACATCTTGACATCATAAAAATGTCTTGTAATAAAGTGAATAAGTGCTGTGATTTGATTGGATTGTACAATAGCAAATACAGCCAATCAGAGTCTCGACAGAAAGTCCGTAAAAAATAATCCCAACTTTTCCAAGCTTTATTTCAAGGGATCTGATTGGCTCAATCCAATCATATCACTGTATTCATGTTACAAGGAAAGTGGCTAATGATGTCAAAGTTTTCAGTCAAAGATCTTAAAAGCTTGACATTGTGAAGTTGGGTTAACAGCTGCCTACTAGTTGCAAAATGAATTGATTATAAATATATATTTTGTTTGAAAGGAAAAGAAATCTTACTAATGTCATCTAACTGTAAGTCATCATAAATAAACTCATTTTCTTCATAATCTGGGTCTTGATTACTCTCTACATAATACTCTACATCTTCTTTTATACTTTTAATCTGTAAAATAACATTTTATCAAGTTATGTGACTAACAATGTATGTAAGCTCTTAGACGGGTCTAAAATTAAGAAATCTAAGGGCTCATTTTGGGCAAAAATTAGGTATTTGATAACTGAATTAGGTCAGTTTTAGAAATCTAAATGGATTACTTTCACTCATTTGACACTTCAAAACTCAAAAAAACTTGGGCACCAGTATTGAGAGTGTTGGGATCAAAAACCAAGGTGGTGCTCGGTTGGTGAGTTCTGATTAGGCTCCATCAGTTTCAATTCTACCCTCAAACAATTCAGAAGTCGAATAATATGTCACATTCAAAATTGTCCCTGTCTATTTTCCTTTTCTGCCACTTTGAATTCTGTCTACTCCTACTATTTTTTCTGCACACTTAAAACACGTTCTTGTATTATTGAACGTCCAGTTGATTCCATGAATCCCAAACAGCAGAACTCAACAATAACGCGGCTTCCTAAAGAACACTGTACTTACTCGTTCAACAGGTAACGTTTCATTATCAACCATTCTCATGATTAGTTCTAATTTTTTTATGTGATATTGATGACGATCTTTATGAGATTTTAAACTTTCTAGCTGATCCTAGTTAACAAAATAAACAACAAAACTTTGGTTGGTATAGATGTTGTAAATTGGCACATAAAATAGTATCAGTATATTATGTTAGCTGTGAGTTATGACCATGCAAGACTATACTAAAGAAGCTTAAACTCTTTCATTATTCAGTGACAAAAGCACAAGCTTTGTTCTTAATCACCGCAAAATGCTCACTCATAGTTGATCATCATATTTTTCTTTTGATTGACAATCAAAATTCGTAACTGACAATCTAGTCAAAATTGTTTTATAACTCACCTCTCGTTCCGATTTCTTTTTCTTGGATGGACCAGAAAGTTGTTCAATTTCACTCTCAAATTGCTCTAGCTGTAAATTCAACCCTTCAATCATTTTCTGAAAAAGGAAAATATGAAATTATTTACATTTTAATCTTGTTAAATACATTTTATTTTCCACTGGCATCAACTAACTTCAGGTCTATGATTTGTTTTCTAAACAACGGAAACTAATGTCAATCCAAGAACAAAGTGAGCACAAGTTCAATTTTGGGAAATGTCGATATAGTACCTTATTTAACTAGAGCTCATCTCATGCCATTAACATGTATTTTAGGACATAATCCTTATCAGTATAACAAGTATTTAAATAGATTTACTTCCAATATTTTACACATATGAGCAACATAACTGTGACAACTTGATTCCCCCCAGCAGTGATACAGGTAGGAGGAGCTAACAGGAAAATCATCCTATCTTTAAACGTGATGAGCTGCAGACAGTTCATATTTAATTTCCACAAATATTAGGCAAGTCTATTTGGGAGACAGTATCTATTTTATTACGCGCCAAATAGCCAGATCATACTTACTGATAACCAAGAAGTTGCTTCATCTTTTTCTTTAGTTTGAGGGTCAACTTTGGAGGCAGCACCTAAGCCTTCCTTTGAATAAGCTTTGGTCTTTGTTTCTCGCTCCACTACTTTGAAACGTTCCATTTGCTACAAAAAAAATAAGTATTTCTTATCATATGTGTCTAAACCCTATAAATATCAAGAATCGAAGTCTTGACTAAAGGAATCGCAATAATTCACAGAATCAATTAAGTATAGAAGTTTGATGCTTTGGACAAATAGTTTACCAAATCATCAAAATAATAAGATAGGCAACATCCTGGTCAGTTATTATTGTGATAAAGTTAAGAAATTGTTGGAACTAACCGTTTCTATAAGTTTCCGGTGCTCCAAGAGTTGACTCTTGTCCTTGATATCGTTGCTTGCCGACCATGTTTTTATCTGGTCACGTAATCGCTGTAATGGAAGAAACTAGATTTACAAACAATTTCTCATGGATCTTATGTTGAATCTACATTTGCTACTTTGAGAGATCTGGTAGAATGTTTCTGGGCATTTCAAAGCAAATGCATATGCATTATATTTTTTAAAAGCATTGATTTCCACCATTCCAATTTTCAGTCGACGTCCCTGCATCACAGAGTTGGTGAATTTTTTTGATTTTTTTTTTTTTTTTTAAATTTAAGAATCACTAGATTTAAATCAATGATGTTTTAAAATCTGTTCTGTGGAATTTCTAGGAATCTATACATTTAACTATAAACTAGTGTACATATTAGTCTCATTGCCTTATATAAACTTTCTGTTCATTATAAAGTCAATGATTTCATAATTTGTATCATTTTTTGTTTTGATTTAAATTAATGATTTAAATGATAACCCTGCTGGGCCATGCTATTTTACTAGGGCATATTTGGCATTAGCTATCACAAGGTTCCTTAAATTTTATAACCAGTTTTTGTAACGGTTGTATAAAGTGATGATTAGGATATACAGTTATGCCATTCCATAATCGCATAAACAACAGACATCTGACAGAAAATTGGTAAAATATATATCAAAGCTATAAGAGTCCCTGATACACATCAAAATTTAGAAAATCTCATCAGAAATCAGAATATTTTGGGAAGCTGATTGAGGGCAAAAAATGAATAAAAGTACTATTTGTGACCTGCCGGCCCAACATGCTTGCCAAATGAAACTCTTTTAAATAAACAAATGAAAACATGTTCATTCTTACCTGTAGTTTCTTAATTTCTCTCTTCAAGTCAGTTTCATACTTCTCTTTTTGATTTAAATTTGCAGTAGTTTGCTAAAAAAAAAAAAAAAATCCCTGTTACGCCTACAAGTATAAATCATCTCACAGCAGAAGGTGATGTATGAAAAACAATTTCTATATCTCTCCCATCTAAAATGCAGATCTGGATGATTCATCACATGCTTTCTCTACAGGTTATTAACCATGCCATCCATGATCTGACGAGATTCTTCTTTAGATTGTGTTCTGTAGAAGTTTGACCCAATAGCATCAAAATTCATTATGCTAACCAAGCAAAAAAAGAGTTATAATCTGAGGTAAGACAAAACATGTCAATGTTTAACAATGAATTACTCACATATAGTATGACAATGAGTACTTGAGTGATTGATTGATTGCATATTAAATTAGCCACAACATGAGATGAATAACAATATTATCAGATCTTGGATAGAATGTTAAGTCACCCGGAGTCAAAACATCCAACATTTTAATTTGCATTTTTAACAGATTTTGAGCAGAAAAGGCTCACATTTTACACTAATATGAGGTTTCAAGTCAACCTCAAGGTATGCAGAGTCTAAGGGTGCAGTTAATGGCAGAGAGCAACTGGTGGTATCTTGGAGAACATGATCATTTCTCCAGTTGATGCCAGTTACGGTACAGTACCATTATTTCTTGGTAAAGATTTCGATCTCTTGTCAGAATCTTTGACCATTGATTTCAGCAGTTAAATTTTCTAATAAATCTTAGGAGATGCAGAGAATCATCAGTCAACCAGAGTCACTGTGACATATGGTTTCTTAATACAGAACTGACCAGGCATGTGTTTGAAAAAACTTAAATAATATGGACATCATGAGACATTCCAATGACCTTGAATTAGTCATCTTCACTCATAATTCCAGTTGACCCAGCTGTAAATGGGTACCTAAGTTGTTATCCTTGTAAAATATAAGCTTAGTTGTTTCTTTCATAGGAACAGGATTTATGTTGAAAGTCAGAATATTCTGTGTAACAAAAAATGCTTTTTCTTAGAACAAGTGACTATTTCATGGTACTGGTAGGCCTACTGGTACCGGTACTTACTTTGTTCCATATGTCTTCAAATGTATCGACACCTTCAACTACTTTTTTCAGGCATCTGTCAATTTCACCTGAAATAAAAACAATTATAATTTAGTATTTTTTATGAAATATAGAATAGAAATAAAAAATGAATATCACTACCTAGGTGGCTTAGGTTTGAACTTTGGTTTACAGAGTTGGCTGAGCTTTTTATTTTTTTTGTGGTTTTCCGCTCTTTTTAAATCAAAATGTAGGCCTTATCTAAGACTTCAAATTCTGCATGTGTCATGTAATTCATAATTATGTTACCAGTAAGGATAAGTTAAGGCTCAAAGAATTTGGTTAAACTTTTCCTCACTCAAGACCATCAAGGGAGGGCTTCTAAGAAGAAAGGTTTTTTGAATGCCATGTGACATCAATCTAAAAGGTCTGATCTACTAAGGACCAACTTCGGGAGTCTTTGTCACCACTGTGCCAATATGTGGTAATCTTACGTCAATTATTAGTTCAATTATTAGTCCAGCTACTGCCATGAAAGTTTGCATACTGTTGGTGTGATTTCTAAAAAAATATTTACAAAATGACAATTAGACCCTATCTTTCAGTTTTTTTTTTTAAATTCACCATTTAGCCAGACAGGAAATCATTTGCAAAAGTCTGCCAAATGGAAAGTGTCCACACAAAGATATAGATATTACTTCATAACTATTATGAGATTCATGCTAAGTTGTTAGGATGGTATTCTCATCATTTTATGACAGTTATGTCATGACATCAGCTGCTTTGACATCAGTTTCTTTTGATCGACAGTGCCAGCAGATTTTCCTTTTTTTTTTCAACAACATAGTTTGATCATACAATGAGCATTTATTTCTCACCTTGAAGCTTACGCTTATCAGCCATAGCTAAGAAAACATATAAAATGATATATTGTGCATGCTATGGAGGAGAAACGTTATCCAAAGAAAATCTTGCCGGGATTAAAATTAGGGGGAATCCTTTATCATTTGACAATATTCTAAATCAAAATGGCTGCAGAGTGTAATCGACCTTCATGAAAAATTGCACATGCGCGACATAAAATAGTACACAAAGATGAGCTCTAAATTTTCATAGAATCAACAGTCGTGTATTTCTGGCGTTCAGAGAACAAAGTCTTAATATTATTTAGTGTGTCTTTTTGTTATAATATCTCAATTATCGTAATTATACAAAATTTGATAGTTCGGTAAATTCTTCCCCGCAAAATATCGAAAACGGAAGTCTATAATACGCATGCTCCTAATCTGGATGAATGTTTACAAATTACATGCCTGTCAGTATGTCAGATGAAAAATTTATTATAAAATGAAATAGGTGAAGATTTATCGTTTATGACATCATTCAACTTTTACTTTTTACCGTGTCCTGAAGTAATCATGTCTGACACTTTTAAACCAGATTCGTTTAACTTGAGCATAGTAGAACATGACCATGACAATATTCATGTTCTTGATTGATTGAAAATGAAAGAGGGGGGTGGGCAAATTTTTTAAGCTTCAGATTATAACATGCAATATCATGCCATATAATCAGTTCGATGATATTTGTTTTCTGTTGTTGTCAAGATCTCCATCATGCATTGTCTATATGATGACAACTATGGTCTCAGATTCTGCACACCAGTGATTTTGCTGATGGGCATGGTACCTACCCGACAGCAGATACCAAAATATATTTTTATTTGACTTATTTCTCAAAGCTTCTTTAAATCTTTATTGATCTGTTAAATGAATAAGCTTATGCAATCAGTCATAGTTTTACAAACTGCTGTTCTGATTAAGAATTGGCTAATGAAAGACAACGCTATGTAGTGTGCAATTATAGAAATCATTTTTCTATAAACTCCAAATAAAAATTTGATTTCTTGTTTGAGGTCTATTTAAAGGAATAATGCGATTTTCATACAGTTTTAGTAGTTTTTAAGACTATTTACATGAATTCAAGGCCAAAATCAACCCCATGACATAACTCACGTGTCCCTGTAACATTAGGTACTACTAAGTGATCATGCCCAATTCATCACCACATATTTTTACTTAATTCTATAATCTGAGAAAGAAAGATCAATAGAAGTTTAGCTTCATTGAGATTGATGAAGAGTTTGTATCAAATATCTGATAAATAATTCATTTTTGATATTATCTTCTGCTCCATACTCCATAATCTTTAATATCTAATTCAATAATGGAGGATTGTTGGAACTTGAACTAGGTTAATGGCACCTAGTGTATGTTCTAGATCGAATTTAGTTAGAAGATTGATTTTAAAATAATTTGGAGAATGTCTGTGTATGATATGAAGGTTGGAAAATAAATTCCTTTTTTTTATCTTTCTTGAGTAATGTATTGAGAAATGATATTTGAAATATTTTTGTCTGTGTGGTTGAAAAAGGTTCCTTCAGTTTTTCTAATTGCTTTTCCACTTTATGAAGCAGGTTTGTGAGGCTGGCATCAAAAAGGGTATTGTCATTCAAATTGTTTATGAGATATTATGCAAAACTTCATTTCATATGAGGAAATATCATAATTTTTTTCTTGTTTACATTCCAATATTGTTTGTCAACAAAACTATTCTACTAGGAAGTATTAAATGGGAAAAGAGAAAAGAAAAATTTAGATGAATGAATAATGAGAAAATAAATGAATATTGTTAATATACACAGTTTGGACTTGTTTGAACAAATGACATATAGATCTATTTAGATTTGTTATAGTAAGTTGAATAGATGAAAAATTGCAGCATGACTTTAACCTTTCTATTTAGCTGACTTAGCAGGTCAGAGGTCATTGTCGAAATTTGATACTTCAAATCCATGTATGTCCAGAATTATCCACTTTTCTGTTTCTGTTGAAACTTTCTCTATTGAAAAGACACTTATAGAACTATAAAGTGAAATTCCTAGTTTGAGTTATTTTTGAAGGAATTATACATTTTTAGTACTTCAGAAGACTATTGATATATTCAAAACCCAAATCAATCTCCAAAAATGGCGAATCTGTCTCTGTTAGTTATGACAAATTGTTTCTGTAAAAGACAATGAATAACACAAAATATATATTTTACAGCAGAAGAGAATGGCACAGAAGAATGGTGTTGATTTGGATCTGAGTTTGACAGGCTCTCAGATTTCTGCCTCTGGTAAAAGACCTAGATCTGCTCAACATTCCAGACAACCTAGTCCTGGCATAGAACCTCGAAAAAATAAGGTGAGACAATTCAAAGACAATGACGCATGTTCTTAAATTTTTAGTCTTTAAATTGGTAGGAGTTCTTATTGTTATCTATTGTTGCGCGCTGATAAAATGATCTTTAATACTTTTCAGAATTTGATTCTGATGTCAGGTTTGTCTGCAATTTGGTCGCTTACACTTATGTTACACTACAGAGTGAAATCTAATTTCTAGGACTTTTGTATCAAAAAAGGAAAAATTTGGAAATCATCAATATATAGCCACTTTACTTAGGGTCTAACGACAGCCCCCTTGAGCATTCGTCAAATTATTCTTTTGACCTTACTCTGTGACATCTGCTTTCGCCCATCAAATTTTTAACCTCTCCAGCACTGGTATTTTTTGATGATGGTCACAGGTTAGGTCAAAAGGTTAATTTGATAAACATTAAAGAGGGCTGTCGTTAGACCCTACCTAAAGTGATTATATTAAACATAAAAGCTACGGTAGCAAAAACAAAAAAACAAACAAAACGCAGAAATCATGCAATGACCTTATTTTGCAAAGGTCTTCACTAAATGCAAATATGTGGGACAATCCAACTTGTTATATTATACTGACATGCAATCAATATAGTTTTATTAATTTTTCACAGCTGGTAAGAATTAGTTTTTAAATCAGTCAATGACCATGAAAATGTATTTTGAATTTTTTCAAAAATCTATGTGCATATTTTTATGCAAATCATTCTTTTTTGCTGTGTTTGCAGAATAGGTTTTACATTTGAAATAAAGTGTAAGCTTGATCATTGAAGACTGTTTCAAATTTGGTTCAACAATTATATGGTACATTTCCTTTAAGCTTGTGACTTATTACAGCCATATTACGTGATATCTCAGCAACTTGTACAGCAGGCCATTTATTCTCGAAATGATCTTAGTACAAGGATGTCCTAGGTTCTTATCTTCTAACATTGATTCTAGGACATCCTAGAGCAGTGGCAGATTTTGGACTTGTTGGGCCGTAGGCAAACGAATGGTAGAGAGCCTCATTTCTCATTTTAGGGAGGGGGCATGATGTGATTACAATATTATGGCAGGAAGTTTGCGATCTTTTTTTTTCAGGAACAGATCAATCAGCTCATCAGCATCAATCGTATGCACGATATCGGCATTCATCACCATTAGGCTCAAACAATTTAGTTGATTCTCACACATCACGCTTTTAGTAGTACAATTTTCAATGGGCCTGTGGAAATTTATTGATAATTTGATAATTTTTACTGTTGCAAAATTTGTCATGGGCCGAGAGGCAGCTGTCTAGTTTGCTTATAGGTTAATCCGCCTCTGTCGTAGAGCAAAGATTGTTTCGAGAATACGTGTCCAGCTGTTTTCATATTGTAAAAATTACATAAACCTTACACACTTGGATAATTTCTGACACAGTGTTAAAAGGATAAAATAATAAAATTTGATTGTAATGATATTTCAGACTAGTACACTACGTGAAAGATCTGGTAGTATAGGAGAGTTATCATCTAATAGAACCCACCGTAAACAAACTCCACGTAAGTTACTGTTATTTTCACTATCTTTCATTACAATTTAGTCTTTATTTTAGAAATTTTGTTATGATTTCTTGGCATTAAAAAAAAGATATATGGGTTTGTTCAGGGTTTGAATTTGAAATTAGCCAATGCATCAAGCACCAACAACTAATTGTCTAAGATTCTGAAACTAATGCTGAATGCTAAGAGGTCAAGGATTTGGATACTTTAATGACTAAAGGTCGATCATATATCCATGGGCCCACTCTCAAAAGCACATGCTGTGGCATTAGAAACTTTCTAACCTTGAGTATGGCCTTGATATCAAATGAGCTACCCTAAAAAATAAATAACTTTATTGTTATTATCTGTTCATTCTCTTTTGTTATATTTTTTGGTATGTAAATGTTTTCGAAAATATTTTCAGCTTCGTCAACTCCACTCTCTAGTCACAGAAGTGAAATTAGTGATATATCTTCAGTCAGTAAAAATGCTCTTAGTAGTAGAAGCCGCACCAAAAGGTATGGTTCATTAAAAATTATTATTTCATTGCTCTGAAATATGTTTTATGTAGTTTGAGTAAATTTCACAAATGATTTTTACAAACCTGGCACTGTATTCTCGAAACGATCTTAGCACTATCTTCTAACATTGATTCTAGGACATCTTAGCGCTAGGATTGTTTCGAGAATATGTGGCCATAAGAATGCTGTTATGTGTGTATCTCTTTCTGACGTTGATTAAATTTCTTTTATTTTGTTACAGCAATGATGATTTCCTGTCATTATTTGAAAATTCAACCAAACCAAAGATAAAGAAACCAGCTAGTAGTAATAATGAGAAGAAGAAAACACCATCAAAACTTCCCTGGGAAAATACTGTAAGTTTCTTATAAAAATATAGATTGGGTGGGAAATAAACTTAGGCTCTGTGTGCCATAGGCAGTGCACTTAAAAGATCCCTTGACAGACAAAATTTCCCTCATTGGACACTGCATGGTATTGCCTATTTAGCCCATTGAGTTGCATAAAAGTAGGACATAAAAAAACAATTTTCATTTTATTTTGTAGCCTTCCAAGAAGAAAGTAGCCTCAGTGTTAGATAGTGCCAGAAGTTTAACGGCCCCTCATACCAACAGATCTGACCTCTCCGAACCTCACAATATATTTCAACCTAATCTAGATCATGGAAGCAGTGATGATGATGATGTTGAGAACATTGAAGAATCTCTTTCACGCTCTATTAACAAACTACAAACCCTCCAAAATCAGTTGTCTGGCGTTAACAAAAACAACTCGTCTGAGGATGTCAGTACTTCAAACTTATCGCCACGGCAACCACTCAATGTCAACAGTAGCATTGCCAATAATATGACATCCCCACGAAATAAAGCTCTTCAACCAAAAATTGAAAAATCATACCAAAATATCAAAAAAGCTCCTGTAAATCAAGAAAGGATTTCTGGCAAACAAGTAGGACTGAATGTAGCAGAAGATTACATTCAGTCATTAAACATGGCTGCCACTAAGATTCAGAAGTGGTACAGACGTCACGATACTAGAAAGAAGGCAAGTGAGGCAGCTGTTCGCCGTCTGCTCACACAGAAACATCATGACAAAATGGAGGAAAGGAAACAGGATGTGCACTTATCTTTAACAGAAAAAGAAATTGAAGAAAGGAAAAGAGAAGAACGAAAGAAAATAAGAGAAGATAAGGCAAGACAGACTAGACAACAAGCTATACAGGTACAAGAAGATATTTTTTTGCTGGTGTTGACACTTCTATACAAAGACTGGAATAGTTTACTTAATTTCGATTAACTATTGTTATGATATTTACAATATTGATTAAGGATGTTTTATAACTGTATTTGAAGCATTTACAAACTGATACTGACCTAGCTTTAGGTGACACCCTTGTATTTTTATACGCCCACACATAAGATGGGCATATATTGTAATCACTGTTGGTCCGTCCATCCGTCCGTCCGTTCATATTTGGTTTGTGCTCACTTTACAGGCTACAATTCTTTACAGATTATTTTGATTTTGTGTGTCAATGTCATTATGAAGATGATCCCTATCGATTTTCGTGGAGATCGGATAATTTTTCACCGAAATATCGTGTCTGACTTGATGTTTCACTCTATTAGCTATATTGTGCAACATGTGTTCAGGCCTGATAGAGACTACATTTTTAATCCGATCTTGATGAAACTATGTATGAGATCTCAGTAAAGCTTGAAATTAGTAAAAATCAGAAGATTGGATTCACATATTAAACCACTACAGACTTTGTTATCATTTCTGACAGCTGGTAGTGGTCATACGTTACCTTGTCTGGCAAGCTATCTTTCATCCCAGCATCCCCGTCAGTAATGCTAGCTTCTATGCAGCTGTGAAGTTTACATTGACAAGTCAATTCTCTCAATAAATTCTGACCCTGTGTTGGAAATCCTAATAGAGTAGGCTAATTAATGTTGTCTTGGCAAGATGTCCTTTATTGCACACTGCATGGAGTTGCCTGTTATCATTAGCCCAATGTCGATGTAAAACTTTATTTCATTTCATTTCAAGGATCTACGAAGGAAAAGAGAAGAAAAGAAGGAAGATGTTAAGAAGAAAGCAGAAGAAGAAATTTCGTATTTACAAGCTAATGGTAAATTAAGGAAAACACCATCAAAGACTAGTTTAAATGGCAAGAAAAAGATATCCCCTAGAAATCCTATCTCTCCTGATCAGCCTTCATCTAGTCGTACAGAAAAGACAGAAGAAACTTTAACCAATGGTGATATTAGCTCTGTTGTAGATGAAATATTTCAGGTACTATATTATAGGTCTGATGTAAATTTTTTCATTGGAAAAATTTTATAAGCATTCTAGCTGATCTGATGGAATTTTTTTGAAAAATTTGATTTTTTCAATTCATGTTCATTGTCTCGATTTTATGTAGGATGGGACAATGGTGTTGCAATGACTCAGCGAATTTGAAGTTTGCTAATCTGATGGTCCGGGCTGACATGGAAAAAGTGTCTAGTCCTTCGGATGGAACAATAAACCAAGGTACCGTGTGCTACAGGCTGTGCACGTTAACGATGCCACGACCGTTGGAAATAAAAAAAGCAGGCACACTGCATGGCATTGCACGTTTCATTTTTTTAATCTTATGGTCCAATGTTCTATCTCATTGTTCAAGATAGTACCCTCTTATTTTCAAACCCAGTTCCTCCCTGTTACTGATGTACGACACGGAGACTTAGTAGGTAAATGTGTCATCGAAAAAAAAAATATACCAATAACTCAAGGCCCTTACTGTGAAAGCTATGTAAAATAAAGATCCCTTGACAGTTGGAAATTGATATAAGAAATGACATTGTCCTTTCCTTTCGTATTGCACAGTGCATAGTGTTGCCTGCTTCTTCTACTAACCCAATATGGTGCAGAGAAGTTCAAAAAACTATTTTTTTCCATTTTAGTCTGGTCCATTCTCACCCAGATCACGTAAAACTACTGGTAGTGGAGGGAAGGAGGATGGTGATAATATTACACCTAGAAATAAAAAGAGCTCCAGTCATGTCAGTGCACATAGTACATTAAATGATTTATTTGATACATTGAGAAAACTAGAAGCAGATGAACATCTAGAGACTCCACGTCCAGAGAGAAAACGAAACACTTGGTGTAAGAATCCTTTTATTCTTAAATTTTTATAAAATTGGAAAAAGTTGACATTTAGGCTGGGTAAAATGATTGAAATAATCGATTATCGTTGCTAGGAATTTATAATTTTGATTATTGATTATCTATGATGCGGAAATAACCCATAAAATCAAGAATTTTGGCATGTTTTTAATTTAGTATTTACAGGGTTTCTCAAATGAATTATTTTGATTATTAATCGATTATTGATCAGTAGTCTGCCAGCGATAATTAATCTCAATTTTATAATCGATACCAAGCCCTAGTTGACATGATTATTTTGTTATATAGATTTTTTGCTTTCTCCACTGATGGAACTCAGCTATTTGTGGCGCTTATCAGCATTTTCTGATCTGTTATGTTTAGTTTCAGTTGAATTGCAAGAACCACGGATGTCTCATCGTGCAAATGGATGCTGTCTGTGTTGCAATACAAACAGTGTAGAAAACCCCTTTAGAAAAGGGAAAAGAAAAGTAACAGATTTGCCATTTTCATAGGTTGTTTGGGTATAAGACATGCTTAAATAGTCCTCATAAGTACTAGAAAATCGCAAAATTCCTTCAAAATACCTCAAACTAGAAATTTTCTATTTCTAAAGATGTCTTTTTTATGTATGACAGTGTCTCAAGAAATGACGACTCGGATAATTCTGGACACACATGAATTTGAAGACTCAAATTTCGATGATGAGCCGTTAACACTATTACTGATAGGCTTAGGTAAAATATTCCTGGTTCTGAGACAAAGGTACGATTGGTAAAAAATATGGCGCATCTGTCCCTTTAAGTTTATTTGCCCATAACAATACAAAGATACACGTTTTTTTGTTACAGTGGATGAGTTAACATCAGAAGATGGTAAAGAGTCTAATTTAACAGCTGAGAATCTATCTAGACTAGGTAGAAAAGATGATTTAGATAAGTCAGGTTTTCTAACCGATGATAAGCTAAAGAGTATCATATCATTTTTAGATGAAGTTCAAGTTAGTGATAGAATTAGTGTTATAGATTCAGTAAGTATGATGTCAGTATATTGTTTTCAGTGTAGTCATTGTGCTTGTTGTAACAAAATTAAAATTTGTGAGAAAAGTTAGTAAAAGCAGTTGTTGTCAAGGTACAAACATGTCAGATGCCAAAACCTTTAAAGTGATACTACGTCTTAGAATGAACATAAAATTTAATTCTCAAGAATGGTCGCTATAAGTATATATTCATCAGTGAACTTACCTGGTGTAATAAAGTTACAACAGAATCCCTGTAAAATCTAGAAAATAGGAATATTCATAAAACTAAGTCATTATTGAAAAACGCTTAATCATAATATTAAGTGTTTTTCAATAGATAATTGCATTTTTATTAAGTTTTTTGGATTTATCGGATTATATAAGGATCCTGTTATGTTATTTATGACTTGGCCAAGTTTAAAATTTTAAAATTTTATGTAAGACGTAGTATCCCTTTAAGTGGCAGTGGCTAAGCACTAACCCTTGCATCAGAAAGTTTCAGTGTTTGAATTTCAAACCAAAAGCAATTTAGCACTTTAATCTGATAGCTTTCTGAGCTGTCTTGCCAAGAGTAAAACTATTCCCAAACCTCTCACTGGAGATATTTTAAAGAGGGTTTCTCGTCTTTATATGTAGCCTACATTGCAACATACATGAACATATTGGAAATTAAAAAGAGAAATACAACCAGATCTGCCACTTGGTATGGTGCATTCTTTAAAATTTATCTTGTTTGGTATCTATCAGTAGGCCTAGTGCACTGGTGTACCCCTCTGTGAAATACAATCCAGAATTTTAAGCCTGTGCTGTGCCTCATGCAAGTTATATTGAACCTTTTAGGAGTTAAATAAGATAAATGAAGACCTAGGTAAACCAGCATTATTAGTACCTGATCCTGAAGAATTAGTACAACTAGAACAAGCCCAGGCTACAGCTAGTGAAGTTACTAATACAGTACTATCACAACGATTAGAATTAGATGAAAAACGTAGGACTGTAACCATGTTACAGAAAGCATTGGTAAGTAACCTACTTTTCTTAGCTTAATGTAAAATTATTGAGAAAATTCAAAAAATTAAAAGCTTTGAAAAACATGTAATTATTAAAAAAATTACCTATTTATGGTTTTGATTATATTTATTCTATATTTCATTACAATTTTGATAATTTTGACGCATATTATATGATAATTTTGGCAGTATTTTGATAATTTTGATTATATTTATCCTGTATTTATTGATAATTTTGAATATATTTATCCTGTATGTTATGATAATTTTGATTATATTTATCCCGTATTTTATAATCATTTTGATTATATTTATCCTGTATTTGATGATCATTTTGATTATATTTATCCTGTAATTGATGATAATTTTGATTATATTTAACCTGTATTTTGTGATAATTTTGATTATGTTTATCCCGTATTTTATGATAATTTTGATTACATTTATCCTGTATTTTGTGATAATTTTGATTATATTTATCCCATATTTTATGATAATTTTGATTATATTTATCCTGAATTTGATGATCATTTTGATTATATTTATCCTGTATTTTATGATAGTGTATGTTTTTGTTTATTTTGATGTAGAATCAACAACGAGAGTTAACAGTAAGACATGCTAAAGAAACAGAAAAAGAAATGTCTAAAAGATTAGATGTACAGAAAGATGAATATGAAGAGGCTATTAAACGTCATTTATCTTTTATTGACCAGGTAGGTTTTAGGGCTGTTGATCTCGGTGTATTTGTCAACCTTGTCTGACCAGAGTTATATTTTTGCTTTTCCAACCTAGGACTTGACAGAAATACAATTTAGCTTTAACCCTTTTAACAGTGGCATCTGCTATACAGGCCACTTAATTATGTGTCAGACTCAAGCAAAGTGCTGTTACCATGTGATGTCAGTGACATCTTGTCACATAATGTTGACTGTAGACTATAAGTACGGGGCATTTTATTGTATTCAAACTCAGTTTTCAAAGGATTAAGATTATTGCAGACACGATTGGTTAATATTTTGTCAGTACTACTATTGACCAATCAAATTTCTAGAAATTATTAGATATAAAAAAACTCTTACAGATTTGAAGTTCATGTAAAGTATTCAAGATAGTGTCACTGTCTTGTCAGAATTTCCCTCATTGTACACTTCAAAGACTTTAAGTCTTTGTAAGCCTAAGTAGGTACAGAAAAAATAGAATTAATGAAATTGAATTTAATTTAATTGAATTAGGATGTAAAACTCCATTTCAATTTGTGTAGTTCACAAACTATGCATTTCACTGGAAGTCAAACACATTTCTCATGAAAGTCAATTTTCCACTTATATTTTAGTTAATAGACGACAAGAAGAGTCTGAGTGAAAAATGTGAATCTTTAGTAAAAGAGTTAAAAACAGTAGATAAGAAATATCAAGATAAGATTAAAACTTTAGATGATTCTCATGGTATGGAAATATCTAAACTGAAAGATATTCATTCAGCTGCTGAAAAACTACGCAGAGAAAAGTGGATTGAAGATAAAACTAAGAAAATTAAGGTAAGAAGTAAGAATTTGGCCTAATTGGTGCTGATCTCTCGAAGGTTGTGGATGTAGCAAAATTTCTCCTGCCCACTTTATGAAAGCTCAATTCAAGTTTTCAAACATGTCATAGCTCATAACTGTACTTGGATTGGATTGATCTGATTGGATTGAGTTGGTCACATGACCGCCTTCTCAAAACATTTGCAGACTTCAGATATCTTCTTCAGTAATTCTTTCATCTGATTACTGAAATTGATTTTTGGAAGTAAGGGTATTTTTGGGTACCTTCAAACAAAAGATAGAGATTTCTTAGATTATGGCTTGCACTATGATATTAACACTTTATAAACCAGACGCTTCCAAAATTTTATTATGCAATTCCATTCAGGAAATGACGGTGAAGGGTTTAGAACCAGAGATACAAAGATTAATAGCTAAACATAAATCAGAGATGAAGAAAGTGAAACAGATACATGATGCTGAGTTGTTACAAGCTGATGAACGAGCTGCACAAAGATATGTGACTATGACTGAAGAATTACGCGATCAGTTAGCTCGGGAGAAAGAGGAGGCTTGTAGAAGAGAAAGAGAGCTAGCGAAAGAAAGGTTTGTTGTTCTGACCAGTTTTTTTTTTGGAGCAAATGTCTTGATAGCAGCAAAAATTTGTCATAATGCAACCTGTCTATCTGCAAAGCTGTAGATTTTCTGTTGGTTACTCCACACATAGTGATCTGATTAGGTTTTTCTTGAAATATGGTTCAGTTCAATAGATATTGTATTTAAAGGGATACATGTAGCTGTCTTTGTATGAAGTACGTGTCTAGCTAGCGGATAAGAGCTCAATTTCAGCTATACATATCTCTTTTCAAAAGTAACCATCTGTTGTCTGGTTTGTCTACAATTAGACAAAACTTGTCATTTGAAGTGATTGTCTAATGCCCATTATTAACATTTTTATGTGCATTATATACCGATTTTGGGCTGTGTTCCTAAAAGTGGGGAAGTTGATTAAAAATTAGGGTAAATATAAGTACATGTAAAGTCTGATGGTTAAATAGCTTATGATTTTTAAGCAACCCCTAGTCTTACTAGGTCTACAGTGCCTGCCTGGCATTGACATCTATCCCTGGACAAAATTGTATTATCGTCTGATGAAAGCTTATTTCTTTATATAATAATATAAAATATACATATCCTCATGGCTTTTTGACAGATATGAGAAACAACTACAGCAAGAAGAGTTAGCCTATCAACAACAGAGACGTAGGTTATATAGTGAGGTACAGGAAGAGAAAGATAGAGTCTCAACACAGGGTTCACGTCAACGATCTGAATTAGAAACCTTACGACGCCAGTTAGAAGACAATCATAGATTAGCTCTAGATGCCATGAAAACTGAGTTTGAAAAGTCCAGAGAAGAACAAGAAAAACGGCATACAGTGAGTATATATAGAATCTGATTTTATTTACATCATCAGCGGCATTTGTTCAAGGAATTCTGAAATGATATGAGCCGAGTCATTTGGCAATATGAAAAATGAAAAAGGCAGAGTTTTAAGTATTACTGATTCTGAGTGTTATATTCTATCTCTGTATTAGCTTCTTGCTCCTGCTCAGTGAGTTTCTTGACCTGCATTTTTATTACCTCATTTGCGAACCATCTATCCTTTTAAGGTGATTTGCTTTGTCTGCTTGGTGTCTGCTTTCAACATGTATTACCTAACCTTGGCCGTGCCAGGCCATCAGAATATCTCCTCGAAGGGATTCACAACTTTTCAATTGAGAAAAGGTCAATTCTTTGGGCCACTGTCATATGGAACACTGAGAAATATTTCAGTTGATTTGTTGTTTGGTAGGCCATACAGTGCTATGGATTGAAATCTCCCTCAAGATAAGAAAAATTCTGATGCCAAGGTCAATGCTTTTGGGAGATGACCAATTGTCCACTTTCAACTCCTATGACAAGTGCTTTATAACAGTTTCTGAAAGTCTTTCCCTCTTTTTTTTCAGACTGAAATTCAAGAATTACAAGAGAGATTAAAGGTAGAAAAGGAAGCGTGGGAAGAAAACTATATTAAGAAACAAGAAACATGGCTGATGAGTAAAGAGAGGGAGTTGAAGGAAAACGTGAGAAAAGACCGAGATAAGGAGATAGAATTAGTTATATCAAGATTAGAGGAAGATGCTACCTCCAGTAGAGAAGAGTGTGAACGCACTGCCGAAAATAGAATCAAGTTAGTTTTATTTTGTTGTCATAATAAGTGCAAAGTGTTTGCGTTGTTCAATTTCAGAATCACCTTTAAGAACCAAAATCTGACTTCCAGTTCTACCACAATAAAAAAAAGTGTTGGTAGTTGGTTCTTGCTTAGTTTTTATACACCCACGTCTGTCTGTCTGCCTGTCCACAATTGTTCGTAAACAATCTAGAAGACACGATTCTTGACGAAACTTGGTGTAAGTGTTCGTTTTCAAACAAGGATGAACCCTAATGAAATCAGAAAAATTGAAAAGTATTTTGTTCGCGTTAGTGCTCTTGTTCTTAAAATCGCCTTGATGTTGTAGTTCGTAAACACTTAGAAGGCACAATTCTTGACAGATTTTGACGAAATTTGAAATATTATACATTATCCGCCTAAAAAGTTCAAAAGAAGTATACCGGTATGTCTGAAGGTTGAATATATCATACTGGTAATTGTTATCGTACTGCCAAATATTTTTATTCAAAATCAAAGCTGCCAGTGAGCGTATATTACCTTGCCTGGCAAGCTATCTTTATAATTCAATTCAAAATATATTGTAAATGTTAAATTTTCAGATAATTTTAAATCTTTGATCATCTCACACTTTCTTAAAAAAGTTCTAATATCTTGAATAGTTACTTTTAGTTGGATTTTGCTTAGCTTACTGTTGGCCCAAAGCTAATAGCCAAACAGCTCGGAGAATTCCATTGTTGAATGGCTCAGAGCTAACAGGTTACATCCATTTGAATATTCATCACTATGGTAAGATCAAACTGTGTACTTTCAGACGATTTCGAGAGAAGTATGATAATGAGATGAAAGAATTAGAGAAATCAGAAAGACAAGCTATACAACGATATAATGAAATCAAGGTAAGTCAATATACTGTGCTGCACTATGAGGGAAATTTTGTCCAGACAGCTGCATCAATTTTCTATCTCTGTTTAGGATAAAGGGATCTTTATCCCTGGACCTTTGGATTTTTACCTCATCTAGATCACTTTAGTTGAAAGATTTAGTAGAAAAGTGTCTTGTCGTTGGAATGGTCTATAAACAAAGGCTAAAGGCTGTACGCATAAATATATTCCTCAACAGCTTGAAATAAGAAAAAAAAGAGTAGACTAATGCAATTTTCCAAACAAATTGTCCTCATTATACACTGCAATGAGTCATTTGCCTTCTTTAGCTCAATCAGAAGCAGACATAAAACTCAGTTTTAACATATTTTCATTATTAGGCGCAAATGGCTGAAGTAGAGGGTGAAAATGAGAGATTAAAAGTTGTGATCAAACAGAAAGATAGAGAAATAGTTGACACTAAAAAGGTAAGTGAGAATAGAGATGCCTTGAACATCTTAGGACTTTTCTGTTTACTAATAGACTGTCAATGATATTGACAAAATAAGTGAACTCATATTGAATACATGTATAAGCAGGAAATCAAGTACTAGAATATTCTTCATTAACTTGTTTCTTATTGATAAGAGCTTTTTCATTTTGCTGACACTTACTGACTTTTCAAGATGGCAGCTTTAAGGATTCTAGAGTTTTCGATCTCCTATGATGTGTAATGTTTGATTTTGATTTGATTTGATTTTTTTATTTTTTTAGCTAATAGAGAAATTACAAGAAGAAAGAGGAAAAGTCTCAGATATCATTAGACAAGAATTCGCTGATAGAATTGTGACAACTGAAGAGGAAAATAAACGCATCAAAAATGACATATCTGAATTACGAGCTAAACATAGAATAGAAATAGAAAAAACTAAAAATTTATCAGAGGAAATTCGTAGACAGAAAGATGATGAATTAGAAGAAGTTCACAAGAGGTATAATTATTTTTGATTTATTAAGAAGTTTGAGGTTATGGGTAAACTATTCAAGGCTTGACTGTATAGCCTGCTGCTATCTTGCATCTTTTGTCCAATCAAGGGTAGCCATCGCTTGTCTAGTTTCGCCCGTTCTAATTCTGGCTTCAATGGAAGTGTTAAAAAATCGGATATTTCAACATTCCAAATTTTCTCTTCTTTTCCTTTCTCAGCCATTTTGAATTCTGTCTTTAACACCTTTTTTACGACACAGGTAGTAGGCATTCAGAAACCAGTTCCAAATTGTTGTATTGAACTTCCAGTTGGTTTCATGAATCCCAAATGGGCGCCCCAAATGAGTTGGAGTTTTCAATAGAAGTTTCAGAATTATTGCCCTTGAGTTAACCAAAATATGTCAATTTAGGCTTGTTTATGCAAAAATATTTAAACCAATATGTAATCTGAATTGTTGCTGTAAAGCTTTTACATAGGTTATTGACAAAGATTAGTCATCATTGCTTAATTTCAGCCATATGTATCACTTTTCAGAATGAAATATGACATTCTGTTCCATTAAAAGTGTACAAAAAATTTTCATTATCTCCATGGTGCTACTACTACCATTCTCTTGCGCATATATAAAAAGATATTCGGATATCATATCTACTACCAGTAGAAATATTAAAAGGATTGTAAAGAGGTTTTCTATCGGGGACAATGATAGCATCAATTTGCACCATTCCAATTTTCATTCTGTGGTTCTTGCAATTCCATTGAATTTAACAGGTTTTATGACATCACTAGAGGTGAACTGCATAGATATCAATAATAGCTTCTGGTAGCTCCCCTCTAGTGACATCATAAAACCCCTTAGATTAAGTGGAATTGCAAGAACCACAGACGTCGGAATGAAAATTAGAATGGTGAAAATTGATGCTATCAGTGTCCCCGATACACTTAAAAAGCTAGAAAACCTCTTTACAATCTCTTTAAAGATAGCTTTAAGTTAGATTACAGATAAGTGTTACAGATAAATGAAAGTAAAATATTTCTGAATCAAAAATATACCTTTATAGTTAAGTTGTATTAATTGATATTTCAGAGTAAAACAAGCTATATTAAAGAAAGAAGATGTAGTAAGTCAGTTAAGACAACAGTATCAAGCTGCTTTAAAACGAGCTGATCATTTAGAAGGTTTATTAGAACAACAACGTAAACAATTATTAGCTGGTAAAAAAATACCTTAATTAGATATAGGGCTATCTTTATTATCAGCATTTTATTTGCTGAGCCTTAAGGCGAGGTCTATGCCACTTGCATATTCAAAACTAGATGGTCTTTATTAGTGATGCAGGTTTGAGAGATATATCCCTTTGTTATATTTGTACAAAATGCTCATGTTGGGTCCATTCAAAATTATAACATGGTCAGTCCACTCCATTTTGAGGTAGTTTAAGTAGTAATGAACATTGTAAAGTCTGGCTCGTATAGTATCAATTTCTAGAAATAATACACCAAAAACGAAATGGATTGTTCCTGTTTATGTTTTGAATCATGCCAAGATGTACTCAATTATTTTGGCTTGGCTATACTATTGACTAACTATTTGATTGATTTAAAGGTATGCTACCTCTTAGGATGACAAAATTTTTAAACTTGGTTAAAATAAGTCTTTGTTTATCAGTGGACTTACAACTAAACAACAGAATCCCTCTATAATCAAATAGATTAATAAAACTAAGTAATAATTCATTAAACTAAATAATTCTGAAACATACTTAGAAGTGTGTTTCATTAATAAAATAGTTTAATGGATTTAACGTCTTATAGAGATTCTATTCTTAAGTCATGACACCTGGTAAGTCCAACTGATGAATATATACACTTGTTGACCAACTTTGCGATTTTAAATTTTATGTCCATTGTAAGAGGTAGCTTCCCTTTAAGAAATTATTGTTACTGTTGATATAAATGATTGTATATTTTGTATGAATTATTTATTGCTTTGATTATCCAGTTAAAATATTGTATGTTTTTATATTCATTGATTTCTGTGATAGAAAAAACTACTTAATTTATCTACAGACTCTTCAACTGAAAGCTTTTAAAGTTAAAAAAGTTAAAACAAGAATGGATTTTCTGTCTAAATTACATCTTCACATTGTGAAGCTATTATGAACTTTGTACTCATACCTTGACTGCAGTAGCCACTAGTCTTCTATCACAGAATGCAGCAGTTTGATTAGATTGTATGCTAGCAAATAAACCAATCAGAGGCCTCATCAGAAAGTGGGTGAACACCAAGCCATGTTTACAGCTTATCTGATGCGAATGTTGATTGGCTGTATTCATTGGCGTACAATCCAATCAAATGTCCACTTAGATTATGTTTAGTAATGGCTCTCTGATATGCAAATTAATTTTTAAATGCCTGCATTCTATATGTATCTATCTATCAATGCAAAATCAATTTACTGATGTACATTAACATAAGTTTTATGTGTTTTTATAAAGGTTGTGCAGAATTACTTTGTAACTTTATTTAAATCAAAATAGTTTGTAGCATTCTGATCAAAATGCAGTTTTTTTTAAATTTAAGTTAAATATAATCAGGATGTTAGAAATATGGTAGACCTAATCTGATTGGTTGATTTAGCATATGTGAGATCTCTTTTTGTGATTGACCAATCAGATGACTAGAATGTTAGGATAAATCTAAGTTACATTTTTAAGAAATTGTCTGCAAATGGTTTCGTGGGTTACTACTACTTTTGTGATCCATGATCTGAGAAAATTTTCCTTTAAATTGTGTTCACCATGATTTATGATAATTTATTCTAACCAATCAAAGGCACTGTTAAAAATGGGTTTATACTACAAGTCAATGTTTAACCACGAATATTCAATAAATCTTTTGTTGAATAAAGCATTTGATTGGTTGAGTAATTTAGTCACTAAGAGCTCATGATGCATAACAATTTTGTCAGATCAAGATTGACAAGTATAGTCACCCTACAGAAAACACAAAACACTAAAATCTGTATTTTAAGCAGATTGGCATTGTAAATAAAGTTAGGTAATTCATGTGTTAGTGCCTTAGGATTGTATTCTTAGAATTAGCTTGTTATTTAAATCTAGAGCTTCAACAATAGAGAGAAACATTATTTTGTTTAAAGAATAAATTAGAAAATCCTATCTTATATTCAAAATTTTTCAAAAGTTGTTTTCTTTCTTTTATGCACACTTCAAGGATTGTTACCTATCATCTTATTTTATTGAATGAGTTCAGGAATGTTATATGTCAAGACTTGAGTTTTATTCTGCTCTAAAGAAAGCATTGTGAACTTATAGACTGCATATCAAATAGCAATCTATATTCCAGTTTCTACCATACTTACAACAATATTTCATAGTTAAAGAGGCCCTCAAACCATAGTGATCACCAGTTGTGTATCGTTGTGAATATGAATTGCCGTAGAGCGTAGAAGCAAAGACCAAAACTAAGAAGTGTCTTTTAGGATTATGCTACAGCCATATTGATGGATTTTGCTATGAGTAATTAAGCAAAACGTCTCGGCATTTACAACTAAAAACTTACATAACCATGAAGTTTCTTCAACATTTTCATAGCTTTATATATACTGTCCATAATCAAATACCTCAAAATAATATCCATCCATTTTAGCACTGAGTAAATACTGATTTATTATTGTTTTTTAAGGGATTGTAAAGAGGTTTTCAAAATTTTTTATGTGTATCAAGAACACTAATAGCATCAATTTGCTCCATTGCAATTTTCAATTAGACGTCTGTGGTTACTACAACTAAGTGTCTGATGATGTCACTAAATCGCCAAGGGCCTTATGTGTTAAAGCATATTTTGTGATTAGTGACATCATCAAACACTTACTTTTTGTGGAATTGCAGGAACCACAGAAGTCTGATTGTATATTGTAATGGTGCAAATTGAGGCTTTCAGTGATACACATAAAAAAAATAAGAAAACCTCTTTATAATCCCTTTAGTGGAAAGTTAGTTCAATTTATATTTTTTATTCTTGCTCGCTTTGATGTAAAATATTTAATGACAGTGCTTTTGTTTTATCAACATGCAGTTATTTATTTATTAGAGAATAAAAATTTACTTCAGATTTTTTGTTTATTTACATAATAACTGGTAAAATGAAGTGGAGGGGGTTTGATATATTTGATCAATCCTGAACGTACATTCAAGATAAATTTCTTACAGCTGTATGCAAATAGACTAGTCCCATCACAACTGAATCATTACTAACTAATTAGCATTATTGATTGACTGATTAATTAATTGAGTGAACTTAGCCAAGAGCTCAAGTAATAATTGAAGGTAAATTAGTGATCAGCTAGTGAGTGATGTTGAGCAATGATCACTACAACTCACTTAATTAAGATGCAGAATTGGTGAACTGTTTTTAAACTCTACTCAGTCAAGTAATAATTGAGGGTAAATTAGTGATCTGTTAGTGAGTGATGTTGAGTACTGATCACTACAACTCACTTAATTAAGATGTTTTTTTTAAATCTTAGAAATTGATGAACTGTTTTTAAACTTTACTCAGCTGGGTGAACTGTTTTAAGTTCTACTCAGTCAAGTAATAATTGAGGGTAGATTAGTGATCTGTTAGTGAGTGATGTTGAGTACTGATCACTACAACTCACTTGAGATGCATTTTAAAATCTTGGGAAATTGGTGAACTGTATTTAAACTCTACTCAGCTGAGTGAACTTTTTTTAAACTCTACTCAGTCAAGTAATAATTGAGGGTAAATTAGTGATCTGTTAGTGAGTGATGTTGAGTACTGATCACTACAACTCACTTAAGATGTATTTTAAAATCTTGGGAAATTGGTGAACTGTTTTTAAACTCTACTCAGCTGAGTGAACTGTTTTTAGAATTCTACTCAGTCAAGTAATAATTGAGGGTAAATTAGTGACCTGTTAGTGAGTGATATTGAGTACTGATCACTACAACTCACTTAAAAATCTGGGGGAATTGGGGGATCCCTACCCAAGCTATATATAGGGAATATTTATAGGGTTATCAAGGGGAGTATTTCCCATAAAAATCTAGCATCCCTTTTCAACATACCAGGTTTATATTTCAAAATTAGTTTGAAGTAGTTTTTTTTGCAATTTTGAAATTTAGTTATGGCAATCTGTAAAAGAGCTAATGAAGTGCACATCCCTTCTTAACTTGTAGTAAATCTGGAAAAATCTTGTGTCCTGATGAGAAAATAAACAAATAACATGCTACATCATGGTCATTTAACAGAGATGAAATCTTTATTACAGTGATTATCATTTATTAGAGATTAAAGGCAAATCATATTCTAACATCAAAGCTAACAGATTAGTAATGTTTATAACTTCTCCACCTATCATGTGGACAAACATAGAACCCTCTTTCTTACTGTCATGAAGACACATTAATCTACGGCTAACAAAGTCATCGCACATACATAGATAACCCATGTTCACAAAATCTTCTAAACTAGGACTCCACATCTGAAATTCTGATCTCAAACTTTCTGATAAGGACAAATCTTGAACAGGCACAAGAATTTGTCTAATAGGCAGATTAAACGATTCCAAAAAACTCCATATCAATTCAGAATATTCTTGAAATAAATTCGAAGATTCTGTTTCTGACAAACTAGCACCAAATATGACGGCGTTTGCATACTGATGACCTCCGAATAATCCTGGAAGTTCGGTTCCAGACACATATCTGCTTCCCACAGAGAAGTATTTTAGTGGAAGTTGAGAGTTATCTACCATTTGTCTCATTAAAAATGCAACAAATGATTGGACTGAGTTTCCTTGCAAGTGATGTTCATCAATCACTTTTGATTCTCGAGGATCTGGATCATGAATTGTCAAAATTTTGTCACTATCCACATCAAATCCACAACCTTCCATTATTATAGATCTCACTTTATCTGGCAACAAAAATGTCGTCATTCCATTCTGTTGCAAGAATTTTTTTGTTTTATCTATCAATTCCAATTCACATAAAGCCAGATCCCCCTTCAGATAGAATGATTTGGGACCAATGTCACTAAATTTAATTAAGTCTTTTTCACGTCCAATTTCGATGTGACTCCTGCTTTTCGAAAAATCCATTATATTCCCAAATGATCGCAGAATTTGTGCCGATGTTGGAGTCTCGGGATGAATTCTATTGGGAATCTTAAGACCATCTAACATGACAGCGTGTTTAATCGCAAAGTAACGATCGCTTAGTTCTTTTTCTAGTTTTTTCAATTTATTGCCTCTAGATTTCAACACATCAACTGATTTCACCAAATTATCATTTTCCCCAGATTTTTTCATCAAGTTTATCAATTCTGTAACACGTTTTCCTATATCTTTTCTTTCGGACTCAAAATCACATTTTTTCTTCTCTAAATCGCACATTAATTTGAAATCTTGAATAAGTTTATCCACATCTAAAGTTATATTCCTTTCGGCAAGATTCTCTTTGAGACTCGCAGGAGAAGCGAGAATCTTTTCCAAATTTAGATCTATGTCAACAGGCACATCAACAGTGTAATCCTCCTCAGGATAATACAAGGATGAAGACTTGGTGTGATTGTCTCTTATGGGACAGGTCACACTCAATGCTTTCAGTCTTCTGGTAAGATTTGTCCTGCAAAAGCTCTTTTTAGACACAGAATTCCTGTATAGTTTTGCAACGAAAGCATGATTCCTCGCAATTAGTTGGCCGAGATTCATGGCGGCAGCAGTGACAATTGAGCAATCAACAAATCAAACTACAGCCAAGGATATGTCACAACATGAAATGCATCGAAATGTCGCAGATTTCTAATTTTTGAACAAAAAATCAAAACCGGCAGAAAGTGATGAAAGTTTTGGATCACGTGACAAGATACCTTTCCTGGTTTCACTGACATGTTATTAAAGAGTGTCATTTGGCTTCAGACAACAGTTAAAGCTTTCAGAAGGTAACTAATAATAACGGTTTGACAAGGAATCATACACCAAAAGTCATACGAAATTATGAAAGAATTGAGAAAACCTTGGGGATTTTTGAACAAAAACTCCAAGGCGCTGTAAGGCCTTCCTCAGGAAAGGGAATTTGGCATCACTAACACTTCTACAAGCATAGAGATTTCAACATCATGGTTATTATGCGTAGGCTTAGGCCTAATCAGCTCAGTCTAATTGATATACTGAAATATCTGCCTTTATTCTAGCCTCTGATAGATGTTTAGACAGTTATTGGCTGGTGTAGATAACCATAAACTGTCAAAATATCTATCAGAGGCTGGAATAGATGCAGGATAAAAAAATTTTTGCCTCTATCATATGTATTTGATCTCATAAGATTTAATGTAATTTGATTAAGGTCACCAAAAGTGGCCCGAAGATTGACATCAGTGTCAAGTATGGGGATGATAATAGAAATTCATTATGCAGTTTATAATTTTTAATACATACATTAAATACAACAATGTAGAATGATAAGATTTGCACAAATCCCACAATTTTCATTAACAAAGTCAATGTTACAATTACAATATTTCCATATACAAGTAATTCAACCCACTTAAAGTCATCTTTATATTTCTTATAACCAAGTCATAGAGCTAAATTTCAACTATCTGTAACACTTTTCGGATTGGCAATATGAAATGAAGTTTTTTTTTAGAAATGACAAAACAAAAAAAAAATAGAATTGAAAGGCAACAAAGCCATTACTAATAACTTGACATGCAATCATTTTTGACATATCTACAAAGGGAAAATGTTAATAACAATATATTTTTCATTAACTGCAAAACAAACCAAATGTTGAATTTTCATTCTAAAAAGTGATACAGATGGTCAAAAAAGTACTTTTGATCACTTGGGAGAGTTTATATTTAGACAACTGTTTTTCCTTCAATAGTAATACAATATTATACAAATATTTTACCAAAAATCAATCATATGAACTCTGTCACAGGATATAACTAGATTAAATTACATCGTCTACCAGCTTTCCAAAATCAAAATAAAATTTCTTTCAAAACTGGATTTCTCACACACTATTTAAAGGGCTATAGGTTTGTTTATAAGCCACAATACTTTCAATACAAAAGACAACCTGACTTTAAAATCCTTCTTAAAAATTTTCCCACTCACAATAAAGTCAGACCTCAGGTCTAACTAGAGACAAATTTATCCCGCATTCATGGATACACAAACAAACTTACTTTCTCAAATTTTATAGACCTACTTCATACTTCTTTTTACAATTCTTTACAAAACACAAATTATAATAAACTACAACACATGAAAATGACTAAAACTTTTCAGAAGTTGGAAAAATGAATTTTGTAATAAAAAATAATGAAAATTAAATAAAATGGAATGCTTGAAAATCTGTAGTGTTCTGAGGTTGAAATTTAAATGTTTTGAAACATAAAAGAAAGTTTATGGTATCGGCTAGTGCATTTTAAACACAGGACAAAGGGTCCAAAAAATTTTTGGGGTAGTAATTCCTAACCCTTTTTGGCTTGATTCAACCAGGAACAGGGTTTTCAAAAGATGCTGGAAAAGAGTCAACATGATTCAGAAAAAACCATATACATCTTTATATATACAATAAATAACCACTGTTTGAAATATACAACATACAATATAATTAGAATAACAACTACATAATAACAACCATAATAGATATAACATAAACCATAGGCGTTTTTGTGGACTACAAATGCAAAATTTGATATCAGCAATTATGCAATATGGCTGCCTCCGCTGAAAGTCATCTATTTTGATTAGTATTATTGTTGAACATTCACATGCCGCCATCTTCAAAAAGTCTAATCTAATCGCCTGACGACCTTCTGGGACAATCAGAATGATTAGCCTAGCCAGTTTAGGTAAACTTTCTCGCAAATGTATTGACTAGTCTTAACTTCCTGGCTCACCAATGCACAAAATAGCTAATCTATCAAATCAAATCAGCCCACAAAAACGCCTCATGTTTATTGTTTCGACTTAATCAGTCTTAAAGCACGATTCATACTTCGTGGTTATGTTAACAAATATTGATTTTCAGAGAACAAGAAATGACTTGGGTTCTCATGGGTCCGGGGCCAAACGTTTTGTCAATGATCTCTTCCTGAGTTGCCCTAACCCATTTACAGTTGAGTTGACTGGAATAATGAGGAGAGATGAATACTTATTAAAGGGACAGATTCGCAATTGTCGAAGTTGATTTTGATCTCGAATATCAGTAAATAGTCTTCAGAAGTACTAGAAATGTATGAAAATTTCACAAATACCTAAATTTTCTAAATATGGCAGTCCAAGAAAAGACAAGTTGTATTTTTAACACAGATAATTCTGGACATACATGGATTTGAAGGATCAAATTTCAATGGTGAGCTGCGAACACTATTACTGATTTAGATTAAAAAAAAATTCCTGTTTCTGAGACTGAGGTACCATTGGTCAAACAAATGGCGAACCTGTCTTTTATAAATCTTTATCAGTTGACAAAAGAGTACATTAAGGTACATCATGGAATTAATATGTGTTATCTTTGTCAGTTGTCCCAGGGAGTATAATAATGTACAAAATGGGACTATATGGTAGTCCTATAAATATGTATAAGATCCATTAAAATATTTAAAATGAGATTTCCAGGTAGGTTTATCAGTTGAAAGATATTCATTTTCTTCACAGTGTAAATGTCTTTCTTTCTCTTTAGACTCTTTGTATTTCAAATAGTTTAACATTGGTATCGTACCATACTGGGGGATCAACATTTCTGAAATTCAAAAAGAATCAAAATTTCTGAATAAAATAAGTAAATATCACAGAGATCATACTAGTAGCTTCTTCTCATTGGAATGGGACTATAACCTGAGGTCCAAACTGCTAATGCCCACGAAAAATTTACCCTCAGTGCTCACTTATTTGCCTTTAATGATTACACCAATGATGTAAAAAAATATTACACTAAGCAAAGTTGTACAGTCATTGAGTCCCCTTAAAGGGATTGTAAAGAGGTTTTCTAAATTTTTTATGTGTATCGGGGACACTGATAGCTTCAATTTGCACCATTCCAATTTTTCAATCAGACGTCTGTGGTTCTTGCAATTCCACATTACATACGATTCACATACAAAATTTAGAAAACCTCTTTACAATCCCTTTAATCTCAAATAATTTGACAGTCAAATGCAGTCCAATAAAAAACATGATAGTGAAAAGTTTCTGCCATCTTTTAACATTATCAGATGAGTTATAGTCCAAAATATTTTTTATATACTAACATCACCTGAAGAATTTGTATATAATGCATATTTTGTCAGCTATTGTATCTTTATAATACAAAACTGATCCTTTCAGAACCAATGTCTATTGTCTAAGCCTATGCCACACAAGTGCGTAAATCACAAGACAAATTAATGTATATGGCTGACAATCTACACCAAAATCAAAGTAATTCAAATTCAAGATTAACTGAAATCAATTCTACAGGATTTTAGGAACCCAAATTAAAATGGTACGGTTTAAAAGAAATTGCAAGAATCACTGACGTCTGATTGAAAATTAGAATGGTGCAAATTGATGCTATCAGTGTCTCCGATACTCTTAAAATTTAGTATTTTGCTTTTAAGCTGAATAACGATGTCATTTCAAAATGAGAGTTGGAAACATTGTTTTAATGAAACACTCTGAAATTAATGCTTTAGAAAGGTCCAAGTACTATATGAACAATAGTCATTTCGTTTCCATAGCAACCAAGTTAAACCATTTCTACCTCTATTTGCTATTTTAAGAGAGTCAAGATAAGAGATTAATGTATATTCTCCAAATATAATATAGATGATCATATATATTCAGATACCATAAAGCTAAAACTGAAACTCATATCATGCTAATGACCTTAAGGAAGATACATGTACGGACCTAAAAGTGACCCCAAAGCCAAAAGCCTTCCACAATTGGCAGCAAGTAAGAACTTGTCATTAGGAAATTTAGATACCATTTCTAGGAGAGTTGGCAAAAGGAAAGCTTCTACAAACCTAATCTATTTTGGATAAGCATCAAAATTACAAAAAGCTTTCATTAAAACGACCATTTTGGTTTATATAAATAAACCAAGTTCTAACGATCCGAACAGCGAAACGAAACCCGAAATCAATAAGTATGTCACAATGAAAAGTGGTATCAGTTGTCTTGAATAGTAAGCATACCAAGCCTGGTGCCACACCCAAATTCATTTAAATAACAGTCTGGGTCCATTAGTAGTATGGCGATAAGCAATGTAGATACCAATAGATGAGATTTGGCCAGCGAAACCTCTAGATATACTCCCTGTGATAAAAACTTCAAAAAGAAGGTATGGATCTAAACTATCGACAGTTGCTTCAAGCTTTCTTTCAAAAAATATCAATAGAAAAGAATTGCATGAAAGTTTACCTCCAAGATCTCAGAAAGAAGGTTCTAACCAAAACCTTCAGAAATTTTACTCTCATAAAATCACGAAAGAATGGTTCTGATTTGAACTTCTGAGAATTTCTTGAAGGTTCATCTCGAAGATCTCAAGATGAACGGTTATAGAAAAATCTTTTTAAAATTTCACAAAAGTTTGTTTTAACTAAAATGTTTGTAACCAATATTTTCAAGAATTGCTTGAAAGTTTATCTCAAACTTTCCGTGGATGATGCTCCACGATTAGCCTTGGCATATATCTCAAAGAGATGACTATAAAAATAACAAACCTGAGATAGATGACTCCCCATAAGTATGTTCTAAACCACATAGTAGTGCCACTGTTAGCTTGGTACTTCCTGATCAATATTGGATGTGGTACTGGTAACAAACCAACTAGAGTACCATGTTGTAAAAATTTTAATATCTCACTTTCATCTGTTAACCCTCTAAAATAGCAAAAACAATTGATGAAGTAAATCCTGTCTTAAATATGCACCTGGTGAAACACAAATGAGATGACCTTTGACTATAGTGTAACCAGTTTTAATTTACCCCATTGGTTACTGAAACACATTTGTTCACAATTTTATGAAACACCCTGTGACCCAGGCAAGTGCTTTGATTGAGACTTCTCCAAATACACCCTGACACTAAATAAAATTGTGTTCAAGTATGTCTTAGATTATGTTCAAATTTGAAATGAAATGAAATGAAATGAAATTGAAATTGAAATTGAATTGAAATGAAATGAAATGAAATGAAATGAAATGAAATGAAATGAAATGAAATGAAATGAAATGAAATGAAATGAAATGAAATGAAATGTGTATCTATAAAGGAAATTCTAAAGGGACCTACTTATCAATACAGATCTTTTCTACTTGAGGTACTAAAACTTGTAACATTCTCATAATAGTTTGTAATGGTAATTTCTGTTTCCATGATTGAACCTACAATATAACATCATCAATATACAGTAGTAGTCCTCTCTAAACCTAGATTCCTAATGTCAGGTTTGTCTACAATCAAATACTTACTTTATCAGCTGATAGTTTCTCATGCAGGTGTAATAGTATTAACAATAACTGCACATGAGAATACTGATACCCTCAAAGTGGCATAATTCTAAACTTGCTTGCCCCTTTATGTTGAATTGTACAGGCTTTGCACGTGTGATTTTAATTCTGAACAGTGACACAGTTAGCTGAAATTAAGTTCAATCGGTTTTTCAAGTATTGGAAAAAGATATCTTCCGATCATTTTGACAACTTGATCACAAGGTTACTAAAAGAAAAAAGCTTTCTTACCCATTCTGGTGAAGCAACCCAGTTACCAGCTGTGGAAGCACCTCTCTTTATAGGTAATCTGGCAACACTGTCTGAGGGACCTATTGTACTACTGGCAACACTGTCTGTTGGGCTAGCAGGAGGCTATCAAAATATTGACAGAAGTGATTAGAAATGATATGGTCATGTCATTTTATCACAGATTAGATGACGATTGGTGAATTCTTAAACTTTCTCCTGACATTTGGGTATTCAGCCTGTCTGTACAGCCTGTAGCACACAGGGCCTCAATTTATTTACACGACTTGAGGCTTTTTCCGTGTCAGCCACTCTTACCTACGTTACTGACAGAGTCAAGTATGCAAAACATCACCTAATACTTACATGAGTTGGTGATTGGTCTGATTTTGGCTTGATATCACTTTCAGCTTTACTGGTATCTTCAATAGGATCTTGTATTTCATTTGCTGGCTGTACACTTTGAGCTACACCAGTTTCAGCTATCTCTTTCAATGTGGGTGTTTTATGGTTCTCATCTGGGGCTGATTTCTCTGTCATTTTGTCTAAACCTAGACAAAGAAAACAAAAAACAAACAACTATATTTAACAACTTAGGTTCAAAGGATCCTTTTCCTTCTCCGAACCTCTTGGCATTGATCTTTTACAGATTATCCTTATCCATCTACCGCTGGGTTGACTGGTCATCGGACTTTCACCTGCTATCTGTAACCAAGCAATGTCATGTAAAAAACCAACGCTGTAACTGACTGTGCTATAGAACCTCACTTTATTGCGTATTATTTCATCGAATCCATTATTTTTATTTCCAAATGAGCAAAAGACTATTCAAAAGCAACCTTATCAAAATACAGCTACTCCACATGTCATCCCTAATCTGAAGAAGTTTTACAATAAATTGTGTTCAAGTAAACAGGCACATCTTATCCATTCATTTATGCTAAATTATCAGAGTGGTCAAAGTGGGTTTAGCCCTGTAACTTGGTCATATCCCAGAACTCTTTACATGTGGTTGTCACAGCTTTCTCAGTGAGCTTGTCATGTAAGAATCTCTTCAGATCATAGATGGCAAGTGGGTTTATCAACAGATAAACCATGAAACAAGAATCCAAATCTGTGTTGTAATCAGATTTATTTTAAAGCTATTATTAGAATTGATGATACTTACGTGGAGTAGCAGCTAAAGAAGTCTTGAGAGTTCCAGGTTCAGCTTCAGCAGCAGGTAAAGCTCCTTCCATAGTCTGAGGATCTCGAGTATCTTGAGGAGGAGCAGCAAACTTCTTGCCTCTCTTGGTCATGGCTTTAGCTATAGCTGAATGATCAACTGGTAAGTTGGCTAGCTGGTGGAACACGTTTCTCTTTCTGATGATGGTATAGACTAGATTGGAATTACCGTCAAATTGGTACTGTATAATATTGTTAAATACTTCTAGTAAGAAGAAGACTAAATGATGATTGGTAGGACTCGCAAATAAGAACCACGGTGTACTGAACGCCTGTAAATAAAGGAAAATTATATTTAGAAAAGAAAATTGGACAATTTTCAAAATACTGAAATGCTACGTTTAAAAATTTATCCAAGAATAAAAACCTAATACTTACTTCCAATAAATGTAGTAGTTTGGTACTAGCAACCATTGATAATGTTTTCAAATAGGGAGAAACTGTAAAAGAAAAACATTCATTAAAAATCCTCAAGGTAAGAAAAATTTAGATGCCACAGCTAGAGCTCCTACAAGCTAAGAGATGAACATTCCCTTTAAATGACTTATGTAAACCTGAATGTATTGGTCTAATAAAAAGCTATAAATGTATCTTACCATTAACAATAATAGTAAGAAGACAATCAAATAGAGGTTGTAATCTTTGGTGACCTGTTGTTATAATTTTATGGAATACCTGAAATAATACACAATATTTTAAACCAAGAATTATACACAATACATTTTTAATTTAAATTATACATAATATTCAAAACAAGAATTATACACAATATTTTAAACCATAAATTATACACAATATTTTAAACTATAAATTATACACAATATATCTCTAAAGGTGCCCTCAAAACAGATCCTACACGACATGGTTTGATAATCCATAAAATAGAAATAATATAACAAAATAAAGTTTTTGGAGGAAGTTGTGTTGTGTCATACCGTGGTCAGTATGTATAGTTTATGCAATTTATATTATTTCTATTTTTTGTCGTGTCATAGAGTGTCGTATCAGACTTTGTGTATAAACGCCTTTAACACTTCATTTAACAATGTAGATAGGCAAAGACATGCAGTGGACAATGGAACAAACCATAATTTTACAATTTCAAACAAACCAAGTCATTAAATTTTATAAGCTCTTTGAGCCGAGGCAAAAAATAGTTAAATGAAATAAGTTTTGGAAATGTCAAGCTGTTAAAACAGCTATAGAAAAACGCAAGTAATCCCTCATTGAAAGTAGATAATTGTTATACAATGACTATATATATGATGAATATATTTATAATAATATATACTTACAATAATGAGGAAATCAGCATGGGTACCAGTAAATATTGGTATATCCATGGGAACTCTAACAGAGTATGGTTTATTGAGTCTTACACCAAAATTTCTCTCTCCACTCAACAATAATAATATAAATACTCCAATATGCATCAAACCAACACGAGCTGAAATATTTGATTTTTATTATGCCTCCATCTATATATAAGTAAGAATGACCTTTAAGATAACACCAACTCAATACTACTTCTCTCATAAAATTAAGTGTTACGTCCTACTTTTCTGCTCCATGCAGGGTACAATGAGGGAAATTTTGCCAGGATAGTGGCATTAGCCTGCACTTTTTCGATTTCCAACTGTCAAGGGCGCTTTAGAGAGAAAGTCAGGTCAAGACAGCCTCAATAAATCATGAATCATGCAGTGTGCAATGAGGGAAAGCTTTAGGTATTTATTTAGTTTTGGTATTATTGGGATCTAGCCTGTGCTGTCTGCAAACGATTCTTATTGCTAAGATTGGACCCAATGAAAACATTGCAGACATCACTGCGGCCCTTGGTTCGAAATTACAATAAAAATTGACTTACATTGATCAGCTCTGGCATCATTTAAGAAATACAATATTGGTACCAATATATCTAATACATCACTACTTTTTAATACATAAAACATAAATTTCTGAAATATAATCAATAATATAATATAAATGCTACATAATGCAGAAAATTTTGTAGTTGAACATATTTGTGCAAACATGAATAGTTTACTTTACCTTTAGGCAGCTTAAATAGTATAATATTATCTTGGCTTTTATAGTTTTATGCTGCGTTCAACACCTGCTATGATAATTGTGTTTACGACTTTCTTGCAAATCAGAAACTCATAATATAGGTATTATTCTAAGCTATTCGACTTAACTATTCTACCAAAAATAACCTCAATGAAATGTGGCTAAGACCATAAATTGTTTGAATACAACAAAAACAGGTATCGCAGAATTTGGATCTTGTAAATATAATGCGGAAATAAATGCACATCATCAGCTGATATAATCACATTTAAAAGTATTATCTTTCCACTATCATTCCTGTAGAACTAGAATCATGTGGTGCACAAAAATATGCACAAACCTTGTTTATATCACACATTTTCCAGAATAAAACCAACAGTTCTTGATGAAATTGTACTTTCTTAGTAGAGCCTGGTAAATATGTCTGAGCTAGAGGGTTATTTAATAATCTAGTTATACCTTTCAGTATGAAAGTAAAATCCTGAAAAATTTAATAAGACATTTTCAATGCTTTTGGAAGGTGTATGTGATGCTAACCTGGGAAAACTTACCTCATTGCAAACTACAGGGCATTATCAAATGACATTATGACAATAACAAGAAGGAAGTAAGCCTTTCTGCATCATCTTTCTTGTTAAAATCTGATTATATTTGAAATAATTTTGCTCAATAAAAGAATTTTGAGAGTATAAAGGCTTGGTAAATAATATTGAACAACTCGTTAAATAAATGCAACTGATCTATATAATTACCTCTTCTCTATGAATTCTAGATAAATAATTGACAAACAGATTGTCTGGTCCCCCAGTCTAAAAAAATAAAAAATATCACATTAAATTAGTAGGTGACTGACCAAAATAGCAAGAACTGTGACAAAATTTGTCCTTCCATTGTACACAAATCTACAGGTTTTTGTTGACATTGCAGTTTTCAAAATATATCCATGTCAATTGTTGTAGAAATCCTCATAAGATGAACATCAAAGACTATGATTTCAGATGCTCACTTAACAAAATTCGACAACTCATTGAATAAAAACTTACATCACTATTTTGATCCATGGCTGTACCACTACCAGTTCCATCCACAGAGACATTCTGAGCTGTGTTACTATCATTTTCCATAGTAACACATAACACTTGTAAGGCTATTTCTACTAGAGGCTCACGATGATCTGAGAACATCAGATGATTATAGGGAACACCATAACCTACTGGGTCATAGGAACATACCAAATTCAACATGGAGGTAAATAATGGTAAAGCATGTCTGAAAGAAAATTGATCAAATTAAAGAAATTTGTTATAGACATTAATATAGATCGTCAATTTTTTCAAACCTGAAGCACAGTAATTATTGTTGCTGCATCAAAATAAAATCAAATGGAGACAGGCAATTCCATGAAGTGTGCAATAAGGAAATTTGTAGCTGTCACAGCCTTAAGCTGCGTTTCCTTTAGCACGGATCCAGTCTGGATGCGGATACAGCAAAAATCACTTTCATTAAAATAAATAAAGAGTGGTTCCATATATACGGGTGCAGATACGGTTCCGTATGCGGCATCTGCTCCGGTTTTTCGAACAGGACCCTGTAGCGATTGGTACGGAACCATATGCAGAACCGTGTCCTGAAACGCACATGTATGGAAACAATGATGGTAAATTTATACCTGTTTTCAGTTGAGGAAAAGAATTGAATCCATTGATTAGGATGGACATGAGCATCAGCTAAAAAATAAAAAACAGAGAAATTTAATCTAATGAAGGATCTTTTCAACTCAGTACAGTAAAGTTACAAAAACAACCATTTTTTACAAGAATAACAACTCTGGTTCGTGGACAATTCTGTCAACCAGATGTCCTTGGCTAAACCTTTGGCATTGATAGTTTTCAGAGGACCTTTCCTCATATAGAGCTGGGTTGTGTAATAGTGAGAAAACATGAATTATTCAAGGACCATCATATGTTCAAGGTAGCCAAATAAATTAAAGATACCATCAATCTAACTGACAAGGCTACAACCTGTCCTCAATCAAAATATAATCAAAGATGCCAACTCTTACCTATTGGAGGAAGATACATGGTTTCTGAGAAACATGTTAACAATAATTTCAGGATTTCTGTTCTGTTTTGATCATGATAACTGTTATGGGGTGGAGAATGAGCAAATCCTACCCCAGCTTCCCAAATATATTCACAACTATCTATAGAATGCATGTCTTCTGGGTTATCCTGAAATATGTAATAGTAACAAGTGAACAGTGCGGCTATTTCTGTAGCCCAGAAAAGGGACAGATTCGCTATCCGTTTGACCAGTCATACTTAAGTCTCAGAAATTGGAATTTTTTAGCTAAGCTTATCAGTAATAGTGTTCACAGTTTACAGTCAAAGTTTGAGCATTCAAATCCATGTGTGTGTCAAGATTATCTGCTTTTGAAAGTTAAAATGACGACTCATCTCTTTGTGAGAGTCTGTAAAGAAAAGACATCTATAGAAATAGAAAAAGAAATTCCTAGATTAAGATATTTTTGAAGGAATTATGCGATTTCTAGTACTTCTGAAGACTGTGAGCTTATTCATACATATATTCAAGACCTGTATCAACTTCCGTAAATGGTGAATCTGTCCCTTTAAGGCAAATGCCTTAAAAAAATCTGGTGACAATAAAAATCTTCAAGCATAATAAATGATAAACTGATCTGCCATTCCATCTAAAACTTCACACTGATGGAACGGATAGAAGCTATTATCACCTTAACCATGGACGAAATATTCTACCCTTAATTAGTAGACAGAAAGCTGACCCTAGGATTAAGGTTGTGCCTGTTATAAATTCAGAGAACACAAGTGAACACAACAGAGCCCCAGTACAACAAATGTGATTCTAAGATAATGTTTATATTATCATGGAAGAAATGCTGGTTGAATAATATCAATTAGTACTTACAGGACCAGTCTTTCTAGATGAAGCCACAGTAAAGTCTGGACAGAATAACAGATCCTGAAATAGAGAAAGTTTACTGTTTATCTTAACTCTGTAATGTTAATGTTATTTGCTTCCAGTCATCCATACAGCATTGGCCATAAATATATACTATGAGCTTAAAAATAAAAGCAAAATATATCTGATTCTTTAAATTTATATTATATGTGTAATTAAAAGGCTGCATTCTGTATTTCTCTAGTGAAAGTCCTTTCTTTCTTACTGTTTAAAGCACAATTTGACCAACATTTAATATTCACCATGGACAAATATCATTCATATTCCCTATTGACATAGTTTAACCCTTTCAACCCTAGCGGCGGGTTTACCAGTCAAACACTAACGCAATATGCAGCCGAGCAACCGGTATTCCAGCTGTTACTAAGTGACGTCATACAACGTTAATGTCATAAGCTTTTACTTTTATTACTTGGAGTTCAGGGTATATGATGTTATATTTCATTTAGGGTTCAAAGGGTTAAGGTGCATCAGAAATATAAAGTGATTTAACTTACTGTCAGTGCACTGAGTAGAGATTGGGCCAAAGGTGGGCTTTCAGTCTGAAAAAAAATATAACAAAATTGAAATCTTTCTTATATGTGTAACTTGAAGAGATCAACTATCCACTGGCTTAATGTGCACATAGCTTATGCTCGACAACTTAAAGTGAAGCCATTTGTGAATTCTTTACAAAATAAGGCAATGAAGGATTTCTTCTTCTAAAAATACTGATGTTAGGTTACCAAAACAAAACTTTCTAAATGATAATCTGCATTCTTTCTAGATGCAAACTATAATATAACTAATCAATGAAATTCAAACTGATCTTTATCAGTCCATGAAATATTCATTAAACACGGTTTCAGAACAGCATGATAACATAGCTTTGTTATCTGGTTAATATTCATCATAATTATTTTGAATAGGAAAAATATCCATAGAACAGCAATAAATCCTAACCTTAAGTGAATTTCTTTATGTTGATTCTCTACATAACCATATTACGTTTCATTGTATATCAGAGAAAAGAAATATAAATAAGAAGAAATTGATAAACATACCTCTCCATCTTCTGATTGGCCTGGTAAAGTTGACCAGAAAAATCCTCTCCAATCAGGATCCTCAAATATATATGGTAATATTCTTATCAATAACCTTACACAGTTCAATACTGAAATCATACAACAATCAAAGCATTATTTAATCAAAAATAAAAAAGTTTTGTATGGTATGAGCTTTCTTCTTGGAAGGCAATATATTTCACCATTATGACAGTACAATTTTTTTTTAGTAAGAAGCCCCATGGAAGCTATGAAGGTAAGGTTAATTTTACCCAAAATTTTGTAATTAAGGCAATTTCTGATATATATCATTCTGCATCTTACTTTGCCAAAAAAAGCCAAGGAATCATAGACCTATAACAGTTTCTGAATGACAGATAACAGATTTTTCTACTGTTAAATAATTCTAGCAAAAATCATTTTTGCATCAATTTCGATAAACTAATAGTATTGCTTTGTTTCTGTGTTCTCATGAGCTGGATTAATTAAGTAATTGATTTCTATGCCAGTATATCATTAGTATTAAAACCATTATAACTAATAATACCATTTCTAGGTGCTGGTATATGAATTCACATTAAAGGATTTCTAAATTTGTTACCGGTATGTATATTTGGGGACACAGATAGCATCAAGTTGCACCAATAACATAGACCTGTGGTTCCTGCATTTCCACTAAAACTAAGTGTCTGATGACATAACTAATCGCAATGTATGCATTATCACATAAGGCCCTTCGTGATAATGATATCAGACACTAAAATGTAGTGAAATTGCAGGAACAACAGGTGTCTGATTGAAAATTGAAATGGTGGAAAATGACTCTTTCAATGTCTCTGATACACATAAAAAAATTTAGAAAATCTCTTTACAATCCCTTTAACCTATGAAAATTGAGCTCTCAATAATAATTATTGATTAAGCTAATTAGCAGTATTATATAATCAAAAAGATGATCCTTAATTACCTGTCTGTTGTTCTCTTTGTGAAGGACAACCACTTTCTGCAGCTGCCACTAATTTTTCTACAGCTTTGTAACAAAATGTAGCTAGATTTGATGGTGATTCTTCACGCAAGGCTCTTATCTCAGCTGCCGGAATCAATGTAAACACATCCTGTATACAAGTCACACTTTCAGACCAGAACTGTTCCCAAAATGCTTCATCATTGGCTTCAATAGGCTAAAATGAATAATCATTAAAGAATTATGTTTGAACAAGTTTACATCATAACATTAAAATATCCTGAGAAGTTTATTGTTAAACCAATGTGAGGTAGGCCTACTAAGTGGCAACAGTTGAGTTTAAATGGAAGCTACTGCCCACCTTTTATTTAAATGTGTAGAGAGCATTAATGAAAATGATAAAAATGGATTTTTATGTCCAACTTTTCTGCACCATTAAAAACTTAATTAAAGTTAATTAAAAACGGGCAATGCCATGCAGGGAACAATGAGAGAAATTTTGCCAGGACAGCGACATTAGACTGCTCTTTTTCAAGCACTCAAAAGAGTGTATGATCTGTTGCAGTTTCGACCCCTTTCCCTTCCCGTTGAGTTAATCGATTTGAAACTTGGCAGAGGGGTACTTAAATATAATGTCTGATGCTGCTGTCCTGGCAAATTTAACTCATTGTTCCCTGCTTGGCATTGCCCGTTTTTAATTAGACAGCAAATTTAAGACAGTTCCAACGTTTCCTTCATCTTAAATTAATTTTCAAAGTGATGTACTGACTGAAATTTTTCCTAAGGTGTTCACTATACCCACCTACATACTAGAAAATACATATGATTATCACACCAATCCATTCCCCCCACCCCCATCCCTGCCATAGATTGTCAATCATCTTACAAGAAATTTATGACAAGTTTTCATTCAATTACTTTGAACTTTGAGTCCAGTATTTTTAATTCATACAAAGCTGGGAGAAATGTTACATGTTTCATCATTAGCTTCAAAGGGATAACAAATAAACAATGGGAATAATCAGCTATGAATTCATAACAATCATTGCCTGGTCAGCGAAAGTTCAAAAATACAAAAGGTCATTAGTTGAATTAGCACACCTATCATATCATAGTTTTTGTATAGATTACCTAACTTTGGTATAATCTGACAAATATTATCTCAAACAAAATTTTATTTAATACGATTCAAATAGATAGACACTTCCTGAATGAAATTCCATGAAAATGTCCCACATTTTAGATAAAAAAGTGAATTGTTTCATAAATAAAGTTTCTATTAATCCAAAGACAATCTACCTCTTAGACTTTCAGATGGAACTTTTTTGAGTTATTTCACTGCTTATTATAGGTAGGTGCACTTTGTGCTTAAATAAAAGCAATGTCATGTATATGACCATCCAGTCATGTTGCATCTGTAGGTTCTATACTGACTGGCTGACACTTTCTTGCTAACCTAAAGGTCCTGGGTTGAACCCCTGCATAGATTGCGATAATACCTTGAATATTTCATACCAGTTACCACTTGTCAGTGATGTAGGTGAGGGGCTGACATGAAAAAGCATCTTGTAATTCGGATTGCAGAAAGTAGGACATAAAACTCCATTCATTTCAGTTGTAGCCTCTATAACCTCTGATGGCATAAGCAAATATATTATTACTTCTGACTTACCACTGAACAGTAATTCATAATAGTGATGTCAAAAATGCCAATGGCAGTGCGTGACAACAATGACAATCAATGGCAATGAATGGACTTTCGAGTTGGTATGGACAGAAACAGAAAAAAAATCGTGAAACATGGAAGCAGATTGTGAGAGATTCCATCTATTTCGTGGCAATCAAAAATAGAAATAATTTAAGGTCTACCTGTGTTTTCGTGGTTAATTGAATAACTGCTTTCCGGAAATTAAGTTTAGTGTCAGTATTTCCCATTTTTCAGTGAAAAACTGCTGAAAAGAGCAGACATCAATAAACATAAACAGGAACTACGTCAATGAAAATCTTCTACATTAAAGAGCTGTATGAAGAGAAGATAACTCTAACTTATTGATCAGACCACAACTAAGTATTAAGCGTGTACTGGGCAAGGTAAGACTAAGAACCCTCGAGTTCTTCTGGAAAGTCGTTGAACAATGACTGAACCAATCATTGCCTAACTTAAAAAACTTATTTCGAAAAATTTGATAACTTTTCTTCAAAGCTGTTCAAAATCAAATTTATGTTACTACCAAAATTAATAGCCTATCACACAATCAAGAAAAGTCGTAGAACCGATCGACGGACGGATGAGCAGAGAGAAGGATACATTCAAATTTCCATCGGAGTACAAATGTAATCAAAATAATGATCCATATTTAAAAAAAGATAACAGGCATAGTCGTAGGCTTTCAATCTTCCATATAATCTTTCAATGATTATCCCACAAATAAACTCAACATTTTTAGCGTATAGGCAGTGCTTTTTTAGGGTATGCCCCCCCCCCCCCCTCCCTACTTCGGACCATAAAATCTTCCAGAGAAAGGCCACCCTGACCCCCATCATGATCCTCTAAAATCAACAACAAAGCGCCGAAGGGACGCCCACTTCCTCCACGCCCGGTTTAAGACTGAGCTATAGCCCGCAGTCCGCAGCGCTAAGATTCTCTAATAGAAACTACCAGATCAGCAATAAGGGGGGGCCTTCATTTCCAGATCATTCCAGAGGATTTTTGTTGTTAAAAGAAAAAAAAATATTTACAAATATTTTATTAAACAAGCAGAAAATATTTCGTCCCAGGCCAACACTAATTGTGACAAATTGTTCTGTTAGTATGACTTTTGGCATTATTTCATTGAGAGAGTAGGCCTCTCTTCTATAATACGCAATAGCCTATTTTGTGACATTGTAACTGAAAGTGAACTTATTTGTATATCTGGTACCCTTTTATGAAAATGCTCGATAACCTATAGTAAAGAACTTTTGAAATGTCTTCAAACATGTTAATTGAGATTTGTTGAAAAATTCCATCTGTTCTTGAAAGTACTCAATCATCTAATTGTAATAGTTGATCACACAAAGTTTCATTAAAAAACAAATGAAAATTGTAGTCTCTATAGTGTTCATAAACAAATTTTGATGCGTCAAGGGCAATAACTCAAGCGCCGTTTATTGAAATATCGCAAATTTTGTACTTGACCAAGATCTCATCAATATAAATGATCACACCAAATTTCATTTAAATAAGACGAAATCTGTAGTTTTATTGTGTTCTCAAACAAATTTTGATACGTTTCTGATACATAAATACGCCAATGTGGGCGTATAAAAAGACAGAAGGCTTAAATCATCCACCATAAAATAAATAAAATTCATTTAAACTAACATTTTAAATCATAAATCATTCAACAAACAACAATATTCAGTCATACTCTGAAATATTTCTACAAGGTATACTACCTCTTAGAATGACCAAAAAAATTGAAATATTGAAATATTGAAACTTGGCCAAACGAGTATGGTGTCATAACTATACAACAGAGTCCCTTTATAATCCAATAAATCTATACAACTAAGCAATAATTCATTAAGCTTTGTAATTTTGAAACAAAGTGTGCTACAATAAATATTTAGTTTAATGGATATATTGTCTTATATAGAGATTCTATTCTTTAGTCATGACACCTGGTATATAAGTCTAACTGATGAATATATACTTTTATTGAACAAGTTTAAGACTTAAAAAATTATGTCCATTCTAAGAGGTAGTATTCCTTTAAAATAACAACTCGACACACCTTAACACCATGTATATATATTTACATCATATTGTAATAATGTACAATAATAATAATAGCCCTGATGAAACCCATGTTTAGTCCGAACAGGATATCTGCACACAACAAACAAGGGATGCTTCAAAACAGTTTTAAGAAATAAAGTAAATAATCATGCATTAAAGTTTTTCGGTCGACTTTATTTTGTGGTAGGAAAAAAATAATTAGCCTATGAATACAATAGAATCTGGTTTAGTGCTTATTGCTACTTAAAGGGATTGTAAAGAGGTTTTCAGAATTTTTTACGTGTATCGTAGACACTGAAAGCATCAATTTGCACCATTCTAATTTTCAATCAGACATCTGTGATTCCTGCAATTCCACTAAAACTAAGTGTCGCTAAATATGCTTTATCACATAGGGCCATTCGCCATTAGTGACGTCAAAAAACACTGGAATTGCAGGAACCACATACTGATTGAAAATTGGAATGATGCAAATTGATGCTAGCCTATTAGTGTTCCCGATATTTTTTGAAAATCTCTTTATAATCTCTTAAAAACAATACAAACCAGATTTAAATGTTACTCATTACTATCTAAATTAACTAAAAATATAGCAGAATAATCGTGTATATGCCTTAAATCTAAAAAGATCTGCATAAAAGCAAAAAAGTCATTTGTAAATTTTAACAGCAATTCAAAACAATTACCATAACAATAAAATACATTAAGAGATTCGCGATCTTTAATATACTCCTTATTTTCCAATATAAAAAAAATATACAGTTGTCGTTTGAAACTTGTGTACCGATTCCGAATATACTAAAATCAGATATCGAAATCTTCACCTTCCATGGAAGATGCCATGAAAAGAGAATCGACTAGACCACCTATTCACATCCTCAGAGGACTGAAGATCTGTAAACCCAAATCCCTTTTCGATGCCCTTTCTGATAACTTGCATTCATAGATGAAGAATTTTCACCAGAAATGAAGCGAACGCATTGGTAAAACAGTGCGATCACCACGATGGTGAAAGATATGGATAATGTACCCACTGAAAACGGTGATATGAAAACAGTGTGAAAATTATATTAAATTACTTCGTCAGATCATTTCAAGATATACTACCTTTTAGGATGACCAAAAAATTGAAATTTTTAAACTTAGCTAAAATGAGTCTTTGTTCATCAGCTGACTTATTTGGCGTCATAACAGAATCCTTCTATAATCCAATAAGTCCATATAACTAAGTAATAGTCCATTAAACTAAATAATTTTAAAACAAGCTTAGAAGCGTTTTTCAGTAACGGATATACCGCCTTATATAGAGATTCTATTCTTTAGTCATGGCACCTGGTAAGTCCAACTGATGAATATTTTATACACTTATTTGACTAAATAACTGGACACAATTGTATGGATAACAATTACTTTAATAAATAACTCGCGACGTTTCGAGTATTTATTAAAATAATTGTTATCCATATCGTGTGTCCAGTTATTTATTACCCAATTACTAAATGCCACTTACGGAAATTATTGACCAAGTTTGAAACTTTAATTTTCTGTTCATTCTAAGAGGTAGTACTTCTTAAAATTGATTCATAGCCGAATGTTTTCATATCACGGTAACAATAGCAGTTCAACGATTTATTGTTAAAATGATACCATTCGATGAGGATAATAACCAAACTTTCTCATAGTAAACGGAATGTAAAATGTATTTAGAAAAATCCAAGGAACGATTTAGATTTCTCTGTTGCTGGCCCTGTCACAACCCGGAATGTACGAATTTCCATCGGTTCTAACACTACTGTGAATGGTTCATCCAAAATATCATTTGATGCAGCAGTACCTACAATGAAAATAATTAAACGTTGTAACATAAATTTCATTTTTTCTTTGGAATTTTTCTTCAAATTATCATCTTCACAATGTTAAGCTATTACTAACTTAGACTTATACCTCAAATGACTCTTAAAGCCCCTATTCTTGTATCACGGAAGTTTCCAAATGCAGTGATTTGATTGGATTGTTCGCCAGCGAATACAGCCAATCAGAGCTTTCGACAGAAAACAATATGCTTGCATTCTGTCTGTCCAAGTCTCTGATTGGCTGTTTTCGCTTGGGTACAATCAAATCAAATCACTGCATTTATAAAGTGTCGTTATACAAGAATAGTGGCTATTACAGTCAAGGTATAAGACTAAGTTTGTAATAGCTTAACATCTTGAAGATGATGGGCTACAATTTCATTGGTTCATTATGCATTTGTTCGAACTCTTCATAATATGAGCAGTGGAATTTTCCAGATAGTGAGTTCACAAGACAACGAATCACATAATTCCTTTAAAAATACTTCAAACTAGCTGCTCACTATTTCTATATTATGTCTTTTCTATATATCACAGAGTATCTTAACTTAACGTGTCGTCATTTTAACATTCAAACGCAGATAATTCAAAACACACATAGATTTGAAGGCCCACAGGGAACTGTGAACACTATTACTGATTAGCCCAGCTAAAAAATTCCAGTTTCTGAGACTTAAGTATAAAAATGGCCTATCTGTCCCTTTAACAGTGAAAATATTTTATAATTGAAGACTAAACTACATGCAGATAATTGAAATATGTTAAAGATGGGTTTCCTTATTTTTTAGTGTCAAATTAAGCAAACTATTTGATGTTTCTAATGAATTATTGTGTATTCTTAATCATATCATTATATTCTTATTGCATATAATAGAGAGTTTTAACCATATCATTAATGTCCATGTATGTACAGTCTGGATAAACAAAAAAAGTCTTTTTGACCTTTCTTGATCGGTCACTCATTTGAATTCTGCTGGTAATTCTCTTCTAATTCAGCTAATTATGAGACAAACTGGTATTTTTCCAAGTCGTTACAACATCTCTATTTTCCGTTCATATAATATGAAAATAAGGGAACCCATCTTTAAGCCTATTATCTGAGTATAGTTTCGTACTTACCTATCTCGGACGGAGTAACTCGACCATCTTCTGTGGTCCATTGTAATCTCTTTATATCTGAGATTCTAAAACTGGCACCCAGACTAACTTCATGTACTTCTTTGATATCAAAAGGCACAAATAAACGCTGAAAATGACAAGATGAGCTCTCAAAGACAATGTATAACCATTAATTCATAAGAAATTCACAAGAAATTATATTCATAAGAAATTCATAAGAAATGAAATTCATAAAAACTAAAACTAAAAAAGAAAATTGGGCAGTGAATATTTTTACCTATATCAATATTATTATAGGGATATTTAGCTGTCTCAGTCAGTAGCAGTCAAAACAATTTCCCCCTATTGCGCACTATATAAGACACATGAGACGTCCTTTGATATTAAAGGAATACTTCCTCTTAGAATAGACATAACATTTAATGTCTCAAACTTGGTCAACACGTGTATAATATATTCATCAATTACCAGGTGCCTCTACAATAAACGATTATGTCAATCGAACTAAATAGTTATTGAAACACGCCTCTAACATGACTTCAAAGGAATTAACGAAATTGACATACCTGTAAACTGACTTCTGCTTTTTTATTAGATAAATTATTTTCATCAACTTCATAAAAGTTTTCCAGACGTATTAATAACTTAACATTACCACCATTGTAGACTTGATCTAACGTCAACAGATGGACATTGGACGGTAAACTTTCTCTTAAACCTGACCACTGAAACACAATGTAGAGGAACATCTTTATCAGTCATTTATTTACTTGTAAACTTAAGAAGATATTGAGCATCCTGGGATATGTGTTATTTTTGAGGATACTGAAAACATCGATTTGCGCCATTCTAATTGTCCGTCAGATGTCTGTGCTTTTTGCTATTCAACAAAATCGGAGCATTTTTATGACGTCACCGTCTCAAAGGCCTACGTCTGATTGAAAATACGAATGGTGCAAATTGACGCTTAAGATGTTCCCGATACACAGAAAAAAAATAGGAAAACCTCTTTACAATCACTTTAAGATCTATCACTTGCTAAATTTTTTAAAAAGTCTAGACTCTACGATATATCCATTAAAGCATGTTAAGAAAGTCGAAGATTCGCCTTGTTTAGAGTTTTAGGCACCTACCTGCATATTAAAGAGTTGTTTCCAGTTATCAAATGACTCGGTTGTTTTCATGAATGATATAGTTGGTTGTTGATGGACCTGCAGTCCCATAGATCTATAGTTATTATTAACATCACCTATCTTTTCTAGTAATAAATAGTGCTTTCCTGAAGAAAAAACAGGAGGCTCCAGTGTAAAAATAGAAGGGAGTTTTACGGCTTATTGCTATTTTACTATCACTATAGTGAGCGGGTTTTGATAAGGGATTGGTAAAACAATCTTGAAAGATCAAATAAATACCAAGTCATGTTTTGTTTAAACCCAAATAGTTCCTACATCAGCTAATTATGCTCAATATCAGCTATCCATGTCACTATTAAGAACAAATATCAGACGAAATTAAGGTATTACATAGAAACAACTGTCGTCCGTCGTCATCCGTTGGAACTATCCATGAAAACGTTGATAACAATAACAAAACGTAACAACAGCGCGATTTTTCTTAATTGCAGGGCAACCAGATGCAGGATTTGAGATCTGAAACGTGATACTGATAGCCGAAACTCAGTTTCATCAGATAAGTCGATTTCATCACTTTGAACTACAATATTTACCTCTGTAGATGAGTCCTTTACCATCAATACCCTTTTCATTCAGAGGTTCTACTACGCCTAAATCATCATCATGTAGCAATCGACGATGTACCTGAAAGATGGGGAACTCGTGTTATTTTCTAGTACTAAAGGAACAGCAAATTCTCATGACAGTAAAAGTTGATGATTATCGCAAATCATTCTTTCACAATCACATTAGTTCAGGTGTTGATTGAGCAGCTCTGAACCCTTTCTAGGATCCCAAGCCATTTTCTCAACTGATCGTGAGAATACTGCTTCAAAGCCAGAAAAATGAGACAACCACAACTTCGATTATTCTTGTCCAGCCTACCTATACACAATTTCCAATTTGGATGTAGCCTTTGGGTTTGGTTTTTAAAAGAATTCGAAAAAACAGATAAATAAAAACCTCGGACAGCGTCCAATCGTGCGCCCCACTGTCCATTCATGCATTGGTTAATTTTTTTCAACCATTTGAATTCTGATTGCCAGATTATTATCGACCCGATGAGGTAGTGCCGTTATTCCCCATCCCTCCACAAAGGAAACAAGAAGTAAAATGAATTCCAAACGGATATAACAGTAGACTGTACTCACCATAATTTCAAAAGCACCATCTTGAATACTTCCTCCTCCCTGAGATCTATCATTGATTACAGTCAATTGTATATTCTTCTCTGCATCCTAAAATACAGCAAACTGTACGATATAGTTGTAAGTACTGGCGTATTTAGGGGGAGGGTGCTAATGCCCCCCTCGATAATTATGTGCCCCCCTCCCCCTCCATTCCGTTTTATAGAAATGCCACTACCTGTATGCTATACGTTAAAGATCCCTCGACAGTTGGGAATTGAAAAAGAGTTGGCCGATGTAAAATTTGCATGGTATGCCTTTCATCATTAGCACACATGGTGCAGAAAAGTAAGACGCAAGACTCCATTCATTTCATTTATTTGTTCAGCCATTGTACAAGCTCAACTCGCTATAGACTGAACTATTCTATTATTAGTCCATAGTGATTGATTGATAAAATCTACTCATTAATAAAAGTAATCTTACCCTAATAAATATTTTATTGGTTATCGGATAATAATTTCCTGAAACTTTATCTGTAACATTAAGTGGCCAGGTGGCACGATAATTACGCCTAAAAATAAATAATTTTTTTTTATCAAAATGTGCAATAAACTTTATATTTTGTATGCCTTGGGCGCAATATTCGTACATAATAATAATACTAGTTTTTGAACGTGGCATAGTGAAAAATCTGACCAAACCAGTAGATCACTCAGATGTGATATGCCGATGTGACATCGTCAACAGTAGGATAAATGCCTTAAGGATAGATGCACATAACTCTTAAAGATGGATTCTCTTAATTTCATATTTATGAAAATGAACATGCTAATACATATATTATTAGAAAGAGGAAGTGTTTTAATGACTTGGAAAAATACCAGTTTGTCTCACATGTCCATGATTAATTTATAATTAGCTAAGTTAGAATTACCAACAGAATTCCAATGAATGACCGATCAAGAATGGTCAACAAGTTTTCTTTTTAATTCGGACTTTACATACATGGACATTTATGATTGGTTAAAACACTTAATTATATGCAATATGATAATAATATTTGATTAAGAATAGTCTACATGATAATTCATAAGAAACACCAATTAATCAAATAGTTTGCTTCTTAAAAAGATGTGTTATACCATAATATAATATTCCCTTGTGTTTCCTATTATATCATCTGCATTGTATTGTCCGTCTTCATTTAAAGTATTGTACGAAAAACTCAGGCTGGACAATTGAGAAACTTCAGAAAGAAATAATAAATACTTACTTTCTCTCTAACATTTCACGACCATTAGAATCAGTATAAAATAAACTTTTAGTATTGAGATCTGTAGCAAAATGAGACACAATTTCTCTACCTTGTCGATCGCTGAAAACAACAAATTTTAGCATCAATTTATTAATTAATATATCACCAAATATATCTGATATATATTCAATTTATTAATTAATATATCACTAAATTTATCAAACATAGCATTAATTTATCAATTAATATATCACTAAATTTATCAATTATAGCATTAATTTATCAATTAATATAACACGAAATTTATCAGATATAGCATTAATCTATCAATTAATATAACACGAAATTTATCAAATATAGCATTAATTTATCAATTAATATATCACTAAATTTATCAATTATAGCATTAATTTATCAATTAATATAACACGAAATTTATCAGATATAGCATTAATCTATCAATTAATATAACACGAAATTTATCAAATTATAGCATCCATTTATCACTTAATAAAACACAAAAATCAAATATAGCATCCATTTATCATTTGATATAACATCTAATTGATCAAATATAGCATCAATTTATCAATTATTGTAACGTCAAATTTATCATAACTACCAAATGTAGCATCCATTTATCAATTAATGTAAAAACAAATTTATCAAATGTCCCATCAATTTATCGATTAGGAATGAAGATCTATAAATTGAAACAAATAGTTATAGTTATATACAAATATGAATGATAAGATATTCCACAAAGTTAAAAAAAAGAGTCACTTACTCGACGTCAATAGGTCCAACAGTCCATTCAATTTCCAGGTATTTAGCATCATCATACAGTCGTATTACTTGAGATGTCCATGGGTTATATTGTTGATGGACTTCTTGAACATTTTTACCCTATAAAAGCAATAATGCCATGGATTAAGGCTTAAAAAATATCATTAAGCTTGAAAGGTTTTGAAGTGATTTAGATCTAAAGGTATACTACCTCTTAGGATGACATAAATGTTAATGGATTTATCCTCTTAGATAGAGATTCTATTCTTTAGCCATGGCATCTGGTAAGTTCAACTGATGAATATATACACTTATTGACCAAGTTCGAGACTTCAAATTTTATATCCATTCTAAGAAGTAGTATTCCTTTAAGAAAGTTGATCGCACGCACTGTAAGCGCCAGGACATACATCATTCGCCTTCAATAGTTACCCACTATAGTTCGGACTTCATTACATATTTCTGTTTAAGGTCTATTGTAACTATTGGACATTAGGTCAGAGAAATAAGTAACAACACAAACCTTTGTAACAGTGTACTTCACAGAAGATTTGCCTCGGACCGGTTCTGGTGGGGTGTTCAGTTTTGGTACAAAAGTGTAAGCACCAGAAGCTCTTCGATGGTTTCCATATAAAGTATGGACACTAGGATTTCTCGGCTGTCCTACATCACCAATATAGTAGAGATATTCTTGATCAACCTTGGCATGGATGTTGAATTCATCGTTAGAGACGGTTGAAAGCTTTCCAGTTAGTTTGTCGATGGTGAAGGACATATGCTGAAAAGGAAAAGATATCAACCAAGATAAAAATTAAAGAAAGAGCGTCTTGATTTTATCAAGGGTGTACGTAAGAAAAGCTCGTCATTCCCTTGGTTAATCTGGCTTTGAAGTCGAGAAGAACGCCCGTTGATCGACCTGTTCATGAAAGATGGCCAAAAGAACTGGGTAAAAATATCCAAGCAGAGACAGTCAATCAGTGCCATTATTATGTACCATTAGGTAGGGGTAAGGCATTAGGTGGGGGGGGGGGGGATTATTTACTTACCGAGTTTGAGATTGTGATAGATGCTGCCGTATTCTGGTCTGCAGGAATAGGGTTTGTCAGTTCCGAGTTGCCTGAAAATAGAAATCCTATACTTAAACCGTGTTTATTTATATAATTCTTGTACAACCATTGTATAAATAAACCGGTTATAAAGCAAGAAACAACACTATCTAGAAATATTGTTAAGAGATCTTTGAATACGTCTCATTAAGGGTCAATAAGACTGTCCAGCATGAAACAAATCCAAGCGGATTCTGTCTCACAAGCGTTACCAGTAGCATTAATAAAATGTGGATGGCATTTTACGTTCTTTTCTGTAACATGTGCTCTAATGAAGACGGTCAACACCATGCAGGGTGCAATGATGGAAATTTTGCCAGGACAGCGGCATTAGCCTAGTCTTATTCCAAGTGTCAAGAGACTTTTAACGTACACCAACTGTAATCCACGGTTCAACGGTGTATTGTTCCACCCAAACAACAAAGGAAACCGGGTCGGAAAAAACGAAGGTATCAATTAAAGCGGCCTTGACTGAACCCTGGAGCTTCAGGTAAGCGAGCAAGCGTCTAACTCACTGGACAACCGCGGTTCCCAGAAGCATTAATAAACCATTTATACAGTCGCAAACATTTAATCAATATCCTTTACACCCTTATGTATTTACACCTACCGGATGACGCTTCCATATAATAACTAGCAAATCCAACAGGAGGTACTATAGCTTTAAAAACTAGTTCATTCTTGGCTTGTGAATTTCCTCTTTCTGGAATAGTTGTTGTAACTGATGATAGCGGTACCACCTAAATATACAAATAGGGTAATCTCCTTTTAAAGATCTAAACTAATAACAAACAGCTAATTTTATTACGATGTTTTCATGTGATGTCTACATCTCTAGCCACTATTGCTAATAGCTGTCAGATTGAACTAATTTGAAAACTTTATCGATAATCCAGAAAGATCATTGTCAAACTAATTGATTGACCTAATTTTCAAAACCTAAATAGTCATCGTTTTAAATTATCGATGTTTCTTTGTTTCTGGCTTTTTTTTTTGTGGCACGTAGCCAGGCGTGATTGTTCGGAGATGCATTTAATATATCCTCGGGTGCAATCAAGTATGGTGTTTAGTTGCAGTTATGGAATTGGTCGGTTGTCTGGGTTTTTTTAGGCGTTAATTGAAGCCCCCTATAGGGCCTGGTCAAGCGATTAAAAAGTACATCCGATTACTTTAACAAAGTAATTAATTAATAAGCCTACAGCTGATAATCACTACAGATTACGATTCTGGTCGACATCGCCAAGATATCATAGTAAAGATATTATACCTGTGTCTGTATCTTGTTGCCTTCAGGACAAGTAACACCTACAGAGTCTGTTTTAATAGGTAGACGAACCCAATAGTTGATTTGTTGAGCCAGCGGGTTGAACAAAGTAATAACTCCCTGAAATAAAGATGAAATGAAGATGAAATGAAGATGAAATGAAGATGAAATGAAGATGAAATGAAGATGGCATGAAGATACCGAAGATGGAATGAAGATGAAATGAAGATATCGAAGATGAAATGAAGATGAAATGAAGATGAAATGGGGATGGTATGAAGATATGGAAGATGAAATGAAGATATGGAAGATGAAACGAAGATATCAACGATGGAATGAAGATATGGATCGAAGATATGGAAGATGAAATGAAGATATGGAAGATGAAACGAAGATATCAACGATGGAATGAAGATATGGATCGAAGATATGGAAGATGAAATGAAGATATCAAAGATGAAATGAAGATATGGAAGATGAAATGAAGATATGGAAGATGAAAAGAAGATATCAAAGATGGAATGAAGATGAGGTGAAAGTGAAATGAAGATGAAATGAAGGTGAAATGAAACTGAGTTTTTAATTATATTTATTTTCTATTAGTTCTTGGTTATTCTTTGGTCAAAGCAGTATGTCCAGAGCATCCACGGTTGACCTGTAAATATGTCCCGGAGGACTCCTGTTGCATTGTAAACATGTCCAAGAAGACTCTCAGTATGTCAAATGAACATGACATAGAGCATACCCGGTTTCTCGTTGAACATGTCCTAGAACATCCTTGGTTGGTCGAGAAGGGGAATCACGAGGAAAGTTACCTTGTCCATGTTCTCAGTAAAGTCACAAACAGACATATTTAAACCAGGACAGTATTGTTGTTGGGGAAGCTGCATTGGTGATCCTCCAAGAGCCATTAATCTTCCATAGGCTTCATGGATTACAGACTGAAAATAGAAAACATTCGAACACATCTTGAAAATGAATTAAAAGATTCTTTTCTTCCCCCAAGGGTCACTTATATGAATTTTGAAAAAATCAGAACGTTTTTTTTCAGAGTTGATGGAAAGCTTTATGGACCCAACCTGGGTTACCTCTGATGGTACTTGTCTTTTGAGGAGTCTACCACAATACAACTTTTACTCTTACTTTCGCTATTCTTTGGGCGATATTTTCGATTGATGGAATCGTCTTGCTTGTGTGGATTTTTCAATGCAACGAATCCTTCAGGAATAAGGTCTAATCCCTAGATATCGTTTTGTTAACTGAACGCGCAGCAGCTATTAAAATTTTTCTCTTTTAGCAAACTGTAACAATTCAAAGATGGAAAATCACGCACCCGATTTCGAACTGGAAGCCTTTAAACTCCATTAAGATGCAGGTGGTAATAAACCATCTGCAAGTCCGTGCCGAGTACACTTTTAATCTCACGATATATTATTTATCTTCTTAACTCTTTGAATGCTTTTAGATGTAGCTACGATTTCTGGCCAGGTGGATTTTATACCGTTGTTTAAATAGACGACACCGCTTAACATTTAATATGTGTTTATCAGAGGCAATTCATTGGCGAATTCAAATTTTTAGTGTCAAATTAAGCAAACTTTAGATTACTTGTTGTTTCTAATGAATTTTCATGTATTCTTAATTATATCATTATATTATTATTGCACATAATTAAGAGTTTTAACCAATCATAAATGTTCTTGTATGTACAGTCTGGATAAACAAAACAAAAAATTTTTTTGACCTTTATCCGTCGGTCACTTATTGGAATTCTGCTGGAAATTCTCTTCTAATTTAGCTAATTATGAATTAATTATGGGCATGTGAGACAAACTGGTACTTTTTCTAGTCATTAGAACAATCCTACTTTCTATTCATACAAGTATTAACATTTTCAATTTCATAAATGAAAATAAGGGAACCCATCTTTAAGTAAGGGTTTGTAGTGGAAGGGGTAATGCAATCGATCAGGGATCCTGAAAGGGGCAATTGAAAATGACAAAAGGGATGTCGTCGTCGAAGTCATTGTATATATTCTACATACATAATTATTTCGTATAACTATATATTTACCAGATTATGGAGCTAAATGTGAACCTTAAATCTCTCAGTATAAATATCTAATATCAAGTTCGCACATAAAACTAAATAACAGTTAAAGTGATTGTAAAGAGGTTTTCTAATTTTTTAAGTGTATCGGGAACACTGATAGCATCAATTTGCAACATTCCAATTTTTAATCAGACGACCGTGGTTCCTACAATTCCACTAAAACTGACGTCATTAATCGCGTAGGGCCTTATGTGATATATATTTTGCGATTAGTGACGTCGTCAAACACTTATTTTAAGTGGAATTGCAGGAACCACAGTCGTCTTATTAAAAATTGGAATGGTGCAAATTGTTGCTATCAGTGTCCCTGATACACATAAATTTTTTAGAAAATCTTTTTACAATCCCTTCAAAAGGCAACTTTTCATTATGAAATTTAATACAGGTTTAAAATCTTTATTCTGGTAACAGCTATGTCCATTTAATCAATACAGATCTTGAAATTATTAGCAAGCTCAATCATTTAGACACTTTTGATTTAAGACGTTAGTCAATAACATTCTCCGTGGAACAGCCTCTTTATTAAACTATTGATTTATTGATTAGTAAACTCATTAAGTTTAACCCCGTGTCTGGATACTAATAAAACAAAGTAGTTAACGATTATACAGGATGATTCTATGCGAGGTCTGCTTCCATATCCTAAGGGACTTTTAAGTTCGTGGGACGTTATCAAAACGGATCAGTATTCGTGCTTATGAAATCACCAACATACGAGCGAGATTGAGCTTAAACGAACTACGAACTGAAATGTACAGCGAAATCAGGTTCTGTTTGAAAAAACGAACCGCAATTTTTAACGAATCCATAAAGTAGATTCGCTTAAATAACGAACCAAAATCTATAGTTATAAAGGCCTGTGAATTAGAATCCGTTTTAATTACGAACCAAGAACAGTAAAAACCATTTCATGAACCGGTTTCGATATTTTTGAGAAAAAAAAGAGGATACGAATTACATGGTAGGAATAAGCTTACGATTCAGGATGAATAATTTTATAAACTTAAAAACTTTGCACGCCTTACTGATTTTAACGAAATTTGGCAATGGTTTACCGAAGGTCCCTGTCTTTATATTTCGTAAACAGCTAATTGAACCAATTTAAATTGCCAGTGACATTATGCTATTATTTGGCTGTTTATCCAATTGCAAACGTACCTTACGTCGATTTGTATTCTGAAAAACTATATGAATAGCTACAATTGAGCTGAATCAGTTGGTAATCTGTATAGTTTAAGATACGTACCTGGCAAGCTGTTTCACCCCGACTTAACATAAGATTATAATCATCGGTAACATGTTGTTTTTCTGTTCCACTGAAATTAAATTATACAGTAACAATCTAAGGCCATGGTTTGTCATTTTCGGGGGTTGATTTGGGTCTTGAATATATGTAAATAATCTTCAGAAGAACTAGAACTGCACGAAAATCTCATAATTCCTTCAAACTAGAAATTTCCCTTTTTTTTATATAATATGTCTTTTCTATATATGAGTCTCAAGCAAATACGAGTCGTCAATTTATCTTTCAAAAGTGGATCATTTTGCATAAACATGGATTTGAAGTATCAGTTGAACTACTTATTAGTTTAGCTAAACAATTCCTGTTCTGACTAAGGTACGATTAGTCAGATCAAACGGGTGTCCCTTTAATATTTTATCAAGTAGCATAATACATGAAATTGATATAACAGTAAAAAGAATACAATCTGACAAAATCCAAATCTCTAGAGATGTTTCATTCGTTTTTTTTTTGTCGTGCAGTTACATTTTGATAGAAATATAATTTGTTATTAGCATTATGAGGTGATTTTTAACATAATATGACCCCCACTATACATGTCAGGTATACTATAACAAGTGTTACTATCAAGGCAGATATGCTAACCCTTTCTTAGCACCTGATTTCACTCTGGTAGGAATTTCTTTCGAACAATTCATCATAGAAGTTAAACTTACGTTATGGCGTCATGATGTTGTAAAACAGCCACTGCCTCCCCTAGTGAGAACATAATCATAAAATACATAAAATGATAAAAATCTACATTAACCGCATAAAACAATATTAAAATCTCATTGAAAATGATACATAAAGTGGAAATTTGGTCTAAATTTTAACCTCGTATAATTTATGAGTTTTGAAATGCCATGGTACTTGACTTAATGAACACTATTCCATGCTGACTTCCATTCCTTTTCAATTTGCTGATTATAAAATGTTCAACAATACTGATATAGGGATTTCTCGCTGTAAAATAGGGAGTACTGTTGTCTTACTCTAAGGAATTTGTCTCGCATTGTTTGTTTGGTGTTATTACAGAACTATGGCAAGTGGTGTGATCTAATCCTCGCTTCGCGACCTTTTGGGTTACCTTACTTTCTTCATTTTGTTATGAATTTTACAGCTTAAATGAAGATGTTTGTCCAACAAGTAAATGAATGTTCACATAAAAGATATACTTACTGAGTATTTGTGTTTTATTAAAGACATTAACTAAACCAGCCAAAGCACTGATGTCTTTACAAGTCTAAAATTACAAAGAATTTTATTTATTACAGCAGTCAAGACTAAAGGTCTCAGGCTTGTTTTTCAAGAGCGGAACTTTCCAGTAGCTACGGACACTGGAAATAGGGGTTAACCTCTCCGATATATAAGACATAGATGGACTCAAATTAAGATTTTATGAATATCGAGGACATTTTTAGATCCAATGTGCACCATTACAGTCTTTCATCCACGACAACAATACGCTTACAAATGTTAAAAAACCATATAAGACGTATGGGTACAGTGTAACTGATCTCAATGGTTTTCCTTACCTGTAAGAAACTGCTAGCATGTTTCACGTGTAATTTTAATCCTGCTCGGCTGACGAAGTATCCTGTCCAATGTGAAGCAGGTATTATAGAATAAGGGAAGAAATCATCTTCTTTAGCTTGGAACTTGGTACCAGCTTGATTCACATAGTTCACATAACATGTTGGCGTAGAAAATAGAGCATGCACTTTGCTTCCTGACGCTTGCTGCAAAGAGAAAGATTTACGATTGAAAAACATTCTGTTAGAGCTATCATTCTGTTGGCTATCATTTTGTTTGCTATCATTCTGTTACCTATCATTCTGTTTGCAATCACTCTGTTTGCCATCATTCTGTTAGCTATCATTCTGTTTGCTATCATTCTGTTAGCTATCATTCTGTTTGCTATCATTCTGTTTGCTATCATTCTGTTAGCTACCATTCTGTTTGCTATCATACTGTTAGTTATCATTTTGTTTGCTATCATTCTGTTACCTATCATTCTGTTTGCCATCATTCTGTTAGCTATCATTATGTTAGTTATCGTTCTGTTTGCTATCATTCTGTTTGCTATCATTCTGTTAGCTATCATTCTGTTTGCGATCATTCTGTTAGTTATCATTCTGTTAGTTACCATTCTGTTTGCTATTTTTCCGTTGTCAGTTATGTTTGCTATCATCATTTTTAGGCATCAATCTGTTAGATACCATTCGGTGAGCATCAGCCTGCTAGCTTAGCTATTATTCTACATGTAATCTTATCTAATATTACCTATCATTTCAGTTGCTATCATTCTGTTTGCTATCATTCTATTTGTTGTAATTACTCTAGAATTGGTCAAATTGAAAGGTAATAAACATTATCCCTTACCATATTATTTACTGTTTCAATGATCTTTTCTAATGATCCTATATAATTTTCAGCATTTCTAAAAGCAAAATCTCCCCCAAATGGTATGAGTACATGTTGTGTTTTAAATCCTTGCGACTGAAAATGAAGAAAGAAAAAATCAAAATCGCATGACAATTCAGGCTATTAACCGGACATTTTATGAAAATCAAACTACATAATTATAAGAAAATATTTACATTAGCTATAATATCATTGTTTTGTCATCATAAATGCGCATTTATTCAATTTTCCAGCCAACCTTTGTATCAAATAGAAACAATCATGTCGGTAGTCACAACGTAAATATAAGCAATAAACTGTTAGCCTATGGTGGTTATGGTCGTATATCAGGA